CAGCCATTTCTTCACAATAGCCACTGTTGTCCACTCTATGACATGTGGGCGATTCTCCTGCTTCAGACATTCATTTCCATGATTGGATTATGTTGATCCGAGTTGATTTGACCGAGATACGGCCAAAGAGGGTTTACATCAATCCACACATCTAACCATGCTCTATGTTGCTCAACTGAAGTAACCTTGTATGAGCGTAACTCAGCCAAATCAACTCGGATCAACATAATCCAATCATGAAAATGAATGTCTGAAGCAGGAGCATCGTTCCACTGTCATAGAATGGGCAACATTGCCGATTGTGAGGAAATGGCTGTTAGCTCGCAATGTATGGGATATTGTCAATAGTATACAGTATCATTCTTCCATCCTTCTAGTCATGCAAAGTAGCTGAGTTACACAAAGAGGTCCCTCTGCGTCTTTTGCTCTATTATAGTCATACTATTTTACATTAAACAAAGACCACTTCTCATATAGCATCACCCTTACAGCATATGTAAAACATAAAGGTGCCTGTATCTCCAAACTTTACAATCAAACGTGGGCTCTTTAATAGATCAACGTGCTCGCCGGGGTCAAAGGAATCTTGTGTCAAAGTATGAAGTTCATCGTGGCCATTCCCAGATTTCGCAATGTCGCTACCAGCCAAACTGGATCCGGGGGTCGACCTCTTCGACGACGACGACCAAAAAATATTTTTTGGGCTGTTTGCGACATTGAACGCGAAACTTTCACACAAGGTGCTGTTGGCCAAGCCGAGCCCATTGCTCTAATAAAAACCGCATGTTTCATTGTAAAGTCTGGAGATACAGGCGTCTTTATGTTGTGTGCGTGATGCTATATGAAAAGAGGTCGTTGTTCATTGTCAAGTAGTATGACTATAATACGGCCGAAGATGCAGAGGGGCGTGTTTGTGTAACTCAGCAGCTTTGCATGAATGGAAGGGGCAATGCATGATACTACACACTGCTTAATACAGTTTATAGGTTGGCAGCTAGCAGCCCGTTCCTCCCATTCACCCTTTTTACCCAAAACAATGCATGTGAACGATTGTCCTGCTCCAGCTCATCATCTCCATCCTTCAACTTTCTTGATCCGAGAGGTTTTGACGGAGTTACGCTCAAGCACAAAACATCATCCAATTTCACAAAAATCATTTTGCAAAGTTATTTGTAAACTGCCACTTGATAGCCCATTCCTGCCATTCACCCTTTTTACCCAATCCAATGCATACGATCGATTGTCCTGCTCCAGCTCACCATCCCCATCATTCAACTTTCTTGATCCGAGAGGTTTAGACGGAGTTACGCTCAAGCACAAAATATCATCCAAGTATCAGAACAATCAAGTTAATTTGCAGCTCTTCCCCTCTTCCTCCCATTCTCAACTGTTGCCCCATTCAAGTACAACTACTACCTGCGAACGATTGTCCTGCTTCAACCCCATCATGTAAATCCTGCAACTGCCTTGATCCCAATGTCTTTGACTGAATGGGCAGGTCCATGGCATGTACACAGCCTTCTTGTCACTCATCCACAACACACGCTCTTGCACACTTCTCTTCCACGACCAATCGTAACAGCAGTCATTGCAGCAGTTGCTATTAGCTCCATTGTCTCGTACAGCGTTCACAATCTTGTCACTTTACTACATCACACGCTCTTGCACACTCCTCTGCCGCGACCCAAACGTAACAGGCGCATCCATTAGCAAGGTCTTTGCTCCATTTGTCTCCAAGTTGCAGCAACCTCTTTTGCACCATCCTTGACGTGAACAGCAGATAGCCATTGTATAGAAGCAGCTTTATTTACGTGTAGCAACTTTTGTTCAATACATACAACTTCTTGTGGATATGGATATGGATATTGCTTTGATGCATGAGATGGAAGGAATTGGATACATGTCATTATCATATGGCATACGGTGATCAAGTGTCTGTTACTTAAGTTTGTTTATTTGGACCATGGTAAGGAAAGGAAAAGCAATGATGGATGATGGAGGGTATGCTTCCAATAATCCGTGGAGGTCAAGAGGATGTCGATTCATTCAAGTTGTAGCACGGCATGTGTCATAATGAAGCATGCGTGTTAATATCCAATCGCATCATCCACAATAGTAGTAGCGTTCCTTGTGATTTGTGATAATGATGCTTCATCTTGTTGCTGCTGCTCCTGCATAAGCAATCATTCATTTGTGCAACCTGTCAACAATCGATGTGTAACCACCTCATCATCCCATTCTCGCTTGTGCTCAGTGAGTACCACTACCTGTGACCTGTTACCAATCTTATAGAGTAGTTCGATCATTCAAAGACCATCTTCTCAAGTTTGCTACTTGCACAAATCAACCACATAAGAAACAATAGATAAATCCATTTAATCTTTTTTTGAGTCCAACTATAAAGATACAACAGGTATTAAAGTAAAGAGTGATTATCGCTATTTAGCGCATCCATGCTGTTAATGCGAATCGTTGTTGATTGGCGGGGAGCACTGCATGGTCTACGACACCGCTAAGGAAAATGACCATTCGTCCAAGCAAAGGATCCACTGTTCTATCCGCAGCATCCGTCATACCATTTCCATTCGAATGACCATAAATCTTGAGTTCGCCACCATGACCAGGGGTCCATCCAGGATTCAAATACAAGATGGCGGTGACACGTCGTTGATGCGTATCCTCAGGATCATCCGTGGGGAAAGCGTCACGATGGCGTTCATAGCGTGCACCCATGTTTGGATTGTATACAGCTAATTGGTACTCTGTGCGGCCTTGCAGACGAATCATCTTTGATAAATCATGATGCAATGGACCCGAAAAGAAGTTCAATACCTCCTGCAAATGCTTGCTGTTTTCACCCTTGGGATCCAACCTTTTCAAAAGAGAAACGTCAATCCCCAGCAACAAGAGTCGCCTATGCCCACACACTTTCTCTCTTACCAAGTAATCCAATCATCACGAGCGGTACCATCACGGAATGGATCATCGGGATCGTTTTCTGACAATGCACTTGCGCGTGTGAATGCATCATTCTTGAGTAATTGCTCGGCTTCAGCACGTGCACCTAATGATCATGTAACCGTCAATGATGATTTGTATAGGCATAATGAGAAGAGTGTATGTAGCACATACCCTTGAGCGTGGAGAGATCAATCAAGCCATCGACAGTAGCCCAACCATGAGCATACAAATCCTCAAGGACGCGACACGACAGCTTTTCGAGTTGCCAATTGGGGCAACTTGCTTGAGAAGCGACTGTATTGATCTCCTTGTAGAAGAGTCGTTGTGCAATGTGGAGCGGATTCTCTTGGTTGTCAAGGTATTTCAACAACTCATTCTCGGACACCTCTTCGACGATTTCCTCTTCTTCTTCAAGCTGATCGGCGTCGTACTCGTAATCGGAAGGCAAATCGCTCTTGTCATCAGGGAATTCTGGAAATTCAGTGTTGTTGCTACTAGCAACCTTTAGAATACGGGATTCTAGCGTATCACTCATGGGTTTTTGATATGAAAAGGAAAAAGAATGTTTCTCTCTCACACTCTCCCCCGCCGCCCGTCCACAATGACACAATCAAGAAGAGCACGCATGAAAACATTTCAATGTCATACTACGGAGTTTATATTGTTGTTGTTGTTGCTTTGAAGATAGCTGTCAAGATCCCACAATTCGCCGCTATCGAACCCAAGCTCCTGAACCAATGCATCAATGTTGTTACCAAGTTGATCAATGCTTTCACTAATTGAGTTGACTGAATCGATATGATCACTGACGACCTTGGTCATCGAAGGAGGAGGAGGAGGGGTCACAGGGCCTGTCATCATCTCATGCTCTGCACGGGAGAAGAACACATCACCCGTTGCCACCGTTCCAGCCGCCGTCAAATCATTGTTGTTGTTGTTGCAAAATGTTGGAGGGGTCAGGGAGGAGGCTACATTATTGCTATTCTGGGAGGTGGTGCTTGTTGCTGTTGAGAGGTCTAATGGTCTGCTCATCATCATCATCTCGGCTTCGGGATGTAAAATAGGTGTGGTAGTGGTAGTGGTAGTAGAACTAGTAGTAGTAGTGGCGGCCATGTTTTCCTTGTCTTCCTTCTCCTTTTCCTCTTCCATCCTCTTGCATTGTTGTGTAGTAAGTGACATTAATGAATCCAACATGAGACTTGATCGATCTATGTATGCATGATCTTATTAGAAACATCTATCATCATCCAATCATAAAAAATGATCCTTTCAACTTACCTGATTTGTCAGTGCGTGCCAATTTGTGAGGTGATACTGTTCGCACATCCTCCTCATTATCCGTGTTGCTAAGCAAAAAGGGTCGTTTGCGTGAGATGCCATTGTGGGTCTTTTCAGAGAACACAGATGCCAGAAAATGCAAAATCTTATCAATGGTGTCCTGCTGCTGCTGATAACGCTCTCGTGCTGCCAACGTCTCTTGCCATAAAAGTTGATTGTCGTTTTGGATTTGTTTCAAGTCTGTGCTAACCATCATTTGGTGTTTCTTGATAGCAGCCATTTCATCCAAAAGATGTTGCAAGTCTGTCGATGTCGGCGATCGATTCTCCGTATTGTCAGCGTCACGTGATCCTTTTTTGCGTGAAACAAGAAGCAAGAGATCGGGCTGGTCCCGTTTGAAATGTGGGTTGCTGAACTCAAGTCGATCAAGGCATCCTTCCATGGCACCTTGTTGTAAATGAGGCACCTTGTGAAATCCATACATGTTGAGTTGACGCACAAATGATGAAAAGTTGCCATGCTTGAAAAAACGAGGAAGCACTTGCTTTGCAAAGTCCTGTTGTCGCTGCACGATAAATGTGTCTCCCGCATCCGACCATGATATCATGCTATTCGATTGAGGCTCATTCACCATACTATATCATTGTTGTCCCACTTGATTGGTTAGCATATACTGACATGTGAATAAAAAGAAAAGGAGATAAAAAAAACTTACTTGTATAGCTTGTTGAGGAATGGAGGGACATTGCGGTTCATGATTGCTTTCGGTTGGGCCTTGGATCTTGTGGTAACCAATGACGACGGCATGTTGACAACAATAAAACAAGTAAAACAGTGAAAAGTGGGAGAAAGAGAGAGAGGTAGATGGAGACGGCGCCACCAACACACTCATATCAGATACATCTTTCAGGGAGCCCATCTTGTGGTCCCCATGCATCCGCGGGCTTTTAAAAATACACTCCTTGCTTTGCCAACTTGGTCAGCTGAACAACTTCTTTGTTGACCAGCAGATTCCGGAACCTTCTAAAATGAAAAAAGACGATTGGGTCTCGACCTCTTTATCTTTAAGAAATCCTCCACAATATTCTACACCACACAATGATCCTATGTCTTTATGCAGTTGCGTGCTGCAAGCAACGTTGTTTGAATGACAAAAGATAAATCATGATGATTATTAGATTGAATTCAATCATTAACTTTCTCACGCACGAATGATATCCATTCCTCGGAAGTACCATCTTTTTCCATATGCAGTTGAATCATCATGCTATCCAGTAAAGTGGTGAATGCTTTCCAAATAAAACCATACACATAGTATCGATATATCCCGAATCTTCTAGATTGTTCATTACCATGAATGTTAATTCACATGAGAAGCGGTCATTGATGTGGTGGTATTCAAGGAGGAAGACACAAGAGAAGCTTGGTGATGAAGAAAGAGTTATGTACAAGGGAGGACGAGATTAAAGTATGATTAGAAGGAGAAAACGGGAACGTGCTGAGAAAGAATAACAAGTGGGCATGTAAACATCTTAGAGTGTGCTTGAACGAGTATAGAAAACAAAGTTGCCAAGGGATGGGCTACGTCCACTTGTAAAAGATGTGTTGCGACGTTTAAACATTTGGTCTTCAAGCTCATGTTGTTCTAATTGCTCAGAGGGTAACAAGACAGCACGATCAATCGCTGATGGTAGACCTGGAAACAATCATCATTTGCATTAAAATCCGAGTACGACAATGAGACCACCCTCTTCTATATTTACCTCGATGGCGTCCACGATACATAAGAAGGATGATTACCAGCTTGCTAAGGGTGCGGTATTGAGCTGCTTGTGAGGTGTTGGTATCAGGGTATCCAATAGAGCCGCCTACATTGGCAAAGGCAGAAACGCATTCATAGATAACAGTGGCCATTGTGATGGCTGTGGACGACATCATGGTGGCACTTTCGATAATACAAATGCAAAAAACACCTACAATGACCCAACAGATATCGCTGGTCAATTGGCGTTGGATTTGTGTAAGCACAAAGAAATCGGGTTGTCGTATCTTGCGGGATTGTGTCATGACGCTGTTGATAGTAGGATGGCGGCGTAATTTGATAAAAGGAGCAGGGCCTTTCAAGTCATTGTCGGTGAAGACCATGGATTCTTCATCATCTCCTCGATATATGCCAAGAGCACGTTCCTGGAATAGTAATAGTAGTAGTAGGCATGTTAGCATGGATGCTTTTTTATTCCGCTGGCATGAAATCCTGCATCATTACCTGGTACACATTACTGTTACGCATTGAAATGGCCACGGGGTATACACTGATGTACATGGCTACAATAAAAACAAGCTGTGTTCCAGGGTTTAGATGACTCAATGGCAACACTGTAAAGCCAGCTTTTGTGAAAAAAGAAGTTAGATGACATGTATGATGAAACGAGAAACCTATAGCTCACCATTACGAGTAGCCACCGATTGGAAGATGCCATCCAATACACGAGATCCCCAAGGTAGCTCTTGTAGCACTGGTAACCAAAAATCAAGTGCAAGGAAACAAATGACTTCAACAACGGTGATGGTTACCACAATGATGAGTAGCCACCAAGTTTGTGTTGACGGAAATAGTAACGTGTAGCAACGACGTGGATGATCCAGTAGATAACGAAGCCCTTCTCGACGCATGGGTTTGGTACGTGGTGTGATCTTGTACAAGGCCCAAATGATAAATCGTAAAAGAATGGCATAGGCGGTATTACCAACAAGAATCAATGTAATGGCAACCAAAAGTGGGAAGGGTGCATTTTGAAAAGGTGATACACTCGCATCCAGCAAAGTGAGACCAAGGTTGTTGAGTGCTGAGACACCAAAAAAGAAGGAAAAGAGCCATGGGTCTACTGGTGCGTTGGCATTGGAAGTCGACAGCACCTGCTGTGCATAATCTGAACATGCAATGTAACCTCGAAAGCAAAAGGAGGAGATGATAATGAATCCAAGGTAGTAGGCTGGTACCAAACGTGATAAAATATCCAATGCCATATACTCTGCACCACCAATGCGATATCGTTGTTGTCGCGTCAATTGGCTCTTGTCAATGGGTTGTCTCATAATGTCTTCAAAGAATGAATCATTGTCCTCATCTTCATCTTCGGATGTATCAACAAGCGTTTCGGTCAATGGCACATCACGCCTAATCTTTTCCATCAATTCCTCAAATCGGCGTTCTTGTTCTAGTCGTCGTCGTGCCATTTCACGCTGTTGTTCAATATTGCCTGCAAATGCAATGCCTTGTTGTTCTTTGTTGTCATGGACGGTGCTGCTACTGCCGCTGTTATTTACTTTATGATCGTATGGGTGTACTGCTCTTGTCATTTGTTTTTCAAGTTGATCTAGATTATTGGTAGTAGTAGTATCATCCAACACGGTGTTGCTGCTATCGTTGTTGAGATTGATGTTGATTTGTTGCTCTCGTTGATCCATCAACTTGTTTTGTTCTTGCCGTAAATCTTGAAAGAATGCACGTATTTCATTGTGGCTGGTCATCCAGGTTGAAGCTGAACGGTGGCGTCGTGGAGTATTCCGATCATGCACGCCACGCACAGGAGATGAAGCAATTGAATTGAGTGATGAACGGCGGTGTTGTTGGGGGTCAATGATGGCGGAGGATGCTGATAAGGTAATAGCTGCACTGCGTCGCTTGCCAATGTGTGTGTCTAAAGGTCGAATGACAACGCTGCTCGTGCTTTGTTGTTGATGTTTTCTTTGTTGTCGTTGTCGACGTCGACTTTCTTCACGCATGCGACGAGCCTTGTTGAACAAGAGAATGTCTTCAAATCGCTTTGAAAAGTAATGTTTGCGGACAACGAGGACAATGTAGGAGACGGCGACATGGGATGTAATAAAAGAGTTGAATAACATGATGAGGATTTGAAAAGTAGAAAGAGCGGACATGTCAATGACATTAAGACCAGTGTTTGTGACACCAGTTGTTGCCGTAAAGAGAGCATCGATGTAATTCCATGAGGTACCTGGTTGGCAGTAGTAGAGCCCCGATGATAAAAAGATCATAAAGCCGATATAGAGATAATGCAGCTCGATGAAATGTACATGATTCTCCCAAAAGGTGGCAATGGCACGGCGTACTGCCTCCAGGATGCGGACACCCATGAACAATGGAGAGCAATGTCGACTGCAAAAGATGTGAAAGAAAGAGGAAAAAGGGAAGCTTGGAATAACGCGTGAAAAGGGGGAGGAGGTGGAAAGAGCAGGAGGAGGAGAACCAAATATTTTTTCAGCGGTCCACGTTGTCGGTTCATTGCTTTCTTTCATGGCATATACCTAAATAAAGATCAAAGAACCATACATTGGTTGTCTTGTTTACGCAATGGTTCAGAGCTTGGATCGTTAAAAAATCAAGCATTTAGGTAGTAGACATGTGTCTAGACACATATTGATGTTGTTGACCCAGATTGAAATCACCACGAGGTGCATCTTATCCTTATTGAGATACAGTCGGATATGCTCCCTTTTGCTTTTTTGCTTTGAAAACATTTTTGCAACATGCATTAGCTCCACATGGATATCCCTGACACCTTCCCTCCTCTTTGCTATATGCCTTGTTACCTTGCATATGTTTATATATGACATGTATCAAACACACAGGCGGCATTGAATGTATCATTACTACTACTACTACTATCACTCCCTTTTTGTGGCAATGTGATGATGTCTCCTGAAATGGGTGTTGTTCATTGCATCCCTGATTGTCTATTTGCCATGTTGGGTATATAACTCAAGTTGTGTTACACTTGATAACATATGCATGAACAAAGAGATGCTGTGTGTGTGTGCATGTAGACAAACAAAGAACATGGCTATGTGGACATAAACATCGTGTCACGTTACTAATGTCACCTGACGCCATTTAAATAAGTCCCTATTTATTATGTAGCTCCAGCGTTATCGCTACTGCTGCATACCTGCATTAATCATTGCCATTGATGAATCCATCTACTACTACTAAATTGCAGCCTGGAATGCAGCCATATTGGAATTGAGCCTTGATACACATACGTACGTATGGCAATCATGAATCGATCTAGGCTTTTTCTTTATTAATCTTCTCGATTCTTCGCTATTGGATTCTCGAGCAATGGGGTCACTTTCAAGAAAGAAATAGAACTTCATTATGGGATGGTATCCATGCCAAACATGGGATGGGTGTTGTGGCTGCCGAGGACAAGTCTTGTGCAATGCGTTTGCAATAACCGCATTGGCAGCTGAGTCCTGGTAGGGATTAATTGCCCACTCAGCAAGCAAGCATTCTTTTAGACGCGCCTTCTCTTTTCTACTTTTCTTTGACCTTTCTCATGACACTCAACGAAGATCACAACTGGAAATTTGCTCAATGCTTTGGTGACAAGGGCGATTCAGACGACATCACTGAAGGTTCGTTGTCCATCTCTGTGCTAAATCGCCATGCCAACTTTACGCACAACAACTCCACCCACGGCTCTTGTGCTCACTTTTTTTCTCTTTACATTGGCAGCCGACATTATCTCGACAGTCGAATTCGATCACACCGGTGACTACTTGGCGACAGGCGACAAGGGTGGACGTGTTGTTTTATTTGAAAGAAGCGATAGTGTAAGGGTGAACAGTGGTGTGTGTGTGTGTGTGTGTGTACGTTTCATAGCAAGGATAACTAAATGCTGCATGTCAATAGAAAAAAGGCGTCGAATACCGTTTCCACACCGAGTTCCAATCGCACGAAGCCGAGTTCGACTATCTCAAGAGCTTGGAGATTGAGGAAAAGATCAACAAGATCAAATGGTGCAAACGGCAAAACTCGGCTCACTTTTTGTTGTCAGCCAACGGTACATCATGATACAATTGCATCTTTAGGATCATGTATTAAATAAGGATCATCATCATCATTAGACAAAACCATCAAGCTATGGAAGGTGTTTGAAAAGTCATTGAAGGTCGTTGCTGAAAACAACTTGGGCGATGGACCCGTTGCACCCACCTCTCAACTGCGCATTCCAAAGATGGCACACCATGACACGATTGTTGCTGCTGTACCACGACGTATCTATGCAAATGGTAAGAAATTAGGCATGCAATGATGGAGGTCTATTGTACTTATCAATGTTGATTAGCACACACATACCACATCAATTCCATCTCGGTCAACTCTGATAGTGAAACCTATATTTCGGCTGACGATTTGCGAGTCAATCTCTGGAACCTCGATATCTCGGATCAAAGTTTCAGTAAGTGAAATCAATGAAGGGATAAGACTCAAGGACGTGTATGTTAATTAGGGTATCATAGACATTGTTGATATCAAGCCAGCTAATATGGAAGAATTGACCGAAGTGATCACAGCAGCCGAATTCCATCCATATCATTGCAACCTTTTCATGTACAGCTCCAGCAAGGGCACTGTGAAGTTGTGTGACATGCGAGAAGCAGCATTGTGCGACCAATACGCTCAAGGTAAAAGAGAGGATGGCTGGGTACATGAGACGATGATGGTTCTAATATAGGGGGGTGGAATGTAGTTTTTGAATCACAAGAAGATCCATCCAGCCGTTCATTCTTCTCCGAGATCATCCAATCCATATCAGACATCAAGTTCAGTCATGATGGTCGATACATCCTTTCTCGTGATTACCTCACATTAAAGATCTGGGACATCAACATGGATCGGGAGCCAGTGCAGACTATCAATATTCATGATCAATTGAGATCCAAGTTATGTGATCTTTACGAGAATGATTGCATCTTTGACAAGTTTGAGTGCGTCTTTAGTGGTGATGACAGGTAAGCAGCAATCGAATGGAGATATGGTTACTTGTTTATTGACGCCTTTGCTTTTAGCCATGTCATGACTGGATCCTACAACAACACATTCCATTTATACGATCGTGAGGGCAATTCGGATATCATGCTCCAGGCGGACAAATCAGCATTCAAAGCGAAACGATTGGGATCTGCCAAGAACAAGATGGCTCTTTCACGTGGCAAACCTGGCATGATGTATGGTGACAGCTCAGACTTCAACAAAAAGATTCTTCATGCGTCCTGGCACCCACAAGAAAACGTTTTGGCTGTGGCAGCAACAAACAATCTCTTCATCTTTACGTAAGTGTTGGCAAGGAGTAGGGGCATGGATGGATCTCGTTACTAATAATGCGAGTTGTTGTCGTTGTGTAGTGACAAGCAACAACAATAGTAGTAGACAATCACCAACACCACACATCAAGGAAAAAACGTTAACACTCCTCGACATCAACAACATAATCCGCTTCTCATCTACGCAAAGTCATCGATTTATCACCACCTTCTTTGTATTATCTTTCCCCACAACCACCAACATTTATGCTAGCATCGTCCTACGAGTCCCTGTATGCCCTCTTTTTGCTTATGGCATATCCGTTTTTGAACAAGTATTCGCCATATTGATTTCTTTCCAAACACATGATGTTTGCCATGTTGTGTGGGGGGGTTGTGTCTGATGATAGGCTTGACGTTGAAGGGTGGGTGATACATCATCCCTGTTTTATTTGCAATGTTATGCATGGTTCTTTCTATCGAAACAATGTCTATCAGGAATTTGTCGTTGTCGGAATCTTTTTCATGCACAAAAAGCATAAAGTGGATGCATAATTGAGCGGGGGACATACAAGACCGTGTGATGTACGTTCGTTCTCATGCATGCTGCTGCATCCTAAAAGCCCAGTATTGTAGAACCCTAGTAGTAGTCAACATGATAAAAAAAGTCACTTTTTCTCCTCTTCTGCAACAACCCTTTTTTGGCACTTCCAAAGGGGATGGTAACCGAAAAGAAACAACGAAGAAGGGGGATGATGGTGTTGTGGATGAATGGGTCAATACGGCAAACATGATAATGGTCATTATGATGAAGGTATCATTATGAGCGGATAGCCATTGTTGTATTATCGGACATGTAGCTAATGGCAATGATAAACTACCTGAAGTAGCAAGCAATTGATTCCCGGGCATGCAAAAAGAGGACCCTCTCCAAGGATAAGGGATGAAGAGTCGCATTTTGCCCCTTTAATTACCACACAGGGTCATCAGCTTGTCTTCTTTTTTATCTTTTTCTTTCTCTCGCCTTTTTTCTTTCCCTCCTTTTTTTCTTTGCTTTCTCTCTTGTGCGCAGTGTACATACATACACACACGATGGCATCAAAGGATGACATCGACTTTCCTTCTAAAGATCCATACCGTATGCGTCCACCAGCGGCAGCCATAGCAACAGGAGGTGAGGAGCGGGGAATTGAGAAAATATGTGTGTTGTGTCATTAATGCAGCAACCTATTACAAAGACAGACGCGATGCACCACCACCACCACCAAGTATATACACGGATCATCAAGAAGACAATATAGAAAAAAGAGCCAATTCATATCTACCCTATTCCAATCATGCACCAGAATTGCGCCCAGTCGAATTATACATTGATGAAAACGAGCACCCAACAACCACAACAGCACCCCATCACCCGCATGTTCGATTGGATTTGTATAATGCTGAAGGTGCTAGTAAATCCATGCTATCAGCGCCTGCTCTTTCACTTATCAAAGCACTTGCAACACATCCAACGCATCAACATCACGATAATAATAACAATAATGCGAGCACGACAGCACCAAAATCAGCCTTGGGCAATCCACCACTTTCATCGATTGACCTTGTACAACGACGACGACAACGACGACAACGTTGCACGCGTCGCATGTATATTTTGTGTTGGACGATTGCACTTGTGCTTGCAGCTGTCGGGATTATCATTTTCTTTTGTTGGCCAAGGACACCTGGTGTTGCCATGGCAGATAAGGCACAATCCATCTATTTACCAGCGGATTGGGGTCCCGACCATCAACCTTCGTTGAGGGCTACATGGCAACTCAATGTGACATTGGACAATACACAAAACTGGATCCCAACGCGTGTGCATGGCATTGACTTTACAATGGTCGACGATGCTACAGGTGTTACGTTTGCAACAGGACGACAAGAACCTGCAGGGCTGATCGTATTACCACCACGCGCTATGCATCCATTACGTGTGGTATTACATGTCAGCTACGAACCTCCTTCTATCAATGATACCACCTTTCAAGACTTGTACAATGCCTGTGGGCCTAAAAAGATGGGTGCTGCTTCTGATCTTGACGTTCACTTGCAGGTAAGACAAAGGGTTGTGCATGTGCTTTGTCAAGGCAATAACTCAACCTCGATGGTATCCTACGTAGGCATCCTTCCACATCTGGGGATTGGCATGGAAACCAACAGCAGTAGCACAACCTGAATCCGATACATTTGCATGTCCTACCAACTAAGATAATCGCATTACACTTGTCAATCTCTTTTGTATATACCCAACCATCTACATCATCATCATCATCATCACCATCACCATTGCCCATATAAAGATATAATATCTCATGCATGTGCACGTTTTTTGACCATTGGAGGATACGCTACACAAGCATGGGGACCCTTGTTTTATACTAATTCAGTGAGCGGAGGTCAATGGTTGCATGGGCCATTTTGTATAGGAAAAGGTTCCAGCCTTTGTATTTCTGTAATCTTTTAAGCTTGCATGGAGAAAACATCATGTGATGTCTGTGCGAGCTGGTGGATGGGTGGGTAGGGGGGAGGGAGAGGGTAAAATAGAAAAAGAAAATGCAAATGAATGAATGTAGGTGTATAACGGAAAAGGAAAAGGGGGGTATCCAAAGTATGAGCATTGTTTGTTTTTTTCTTCTTCTTCTCTTTTACCAATGCATTCTCCCGGTTCTTTTTGTACATGACTATTTTTACAGACAAGGTGTTTCCCTTTTAACCACCAAATGCCCCGCCTAAAGCCGAAGTAAACCCGTCGTTCTAAAAAAGGGATATGGTGGAGGTCAGCTACTGCCTGAAAATAAAGTCCCTTCCCCTTGTATGCATGGTTGTTGCCCTTACCGAGAGTGGACATGCGAATGATGCCGAACCTGAGATTGACGGGTGAATCGTGACAAACAATACACTTGCTGCCAAATGGATCGTGTAATCCACGGTGATATCGGTTGGGTCGCTGCCGCCATATAATCCGCATTCTTGCAATAGCGTATTCAGCATAAGTTGGGAGGATGACGACGTGGTATCGTATTGGATGGTAAATGGAAACGTAAAATTCGAGTTGCTGTGCGTTGGGATTGTATGTTTTGCAAGATAACCCGAGCCAAGAAATGCATTGCCATCCTTGGTTGGTAATGTGGCCTATATCAAACATGTGTTTAATCATCCGTGTCAATCCACACGTCCGCTCTTTCTTTTTTCCCTCGCTCTCTTTCAGGAACCAATATTTACCGTTGCATGCATATCCGATAGATGGATAGGAAGGTTGTTTGGGCTGACCACGTTCACAATGAGCCCAATTCCAATATCAAACTCAGTGCCATTGTAGTCGATTTGTAATTGATTGGTACCAGGTGGATTGGTGACATCCAGCACGTTGACTTCGGGCATCTTGAAAGTACCCAGTAACGCTCCAATAACAATGATACAGATAATGATACCAATGATAATGAACCACACAATGTAACGTGCCCAAACAGGCAAACAACATGCGCAACATAGGCATCGACAACAACAATTCCTTTCGGTCAATGGGCGTTTCTTTTGTGGTATTGCTTCAGGTTGCCATGATGCTATGTAATGTACATGGATACGTAAGAGAGCTGTCAATTCGAATTGAGCTTATTAATTACTACCTCGATGAAATTGACTATGCTTCTCGATATCATAGTCTGCATGGGGTGGAGGTGGCGGTGGTGGCGGTTGAGCTGGATACGATTGATGTTGGAATGTCATTTTATACACACACGGGAGGAAGCTGGAAAAAAAGAAACAAGAGAGATGAAACCTGAAAGAAAAAGATGTCGTATTATATACGTATCAAGTAGCATGGCACCGAAAAACCGAATAATGGTCGGGCCGGGCCATGGGTTGTTGTGGGTTACAAGGCCCGCACCACGTGCCGGTTTGTCTACCACAACTTGCCCTACCAATTTGAACATGTCAAGTGAGTCCAATTAATTGACAAGCCGACGATTCTTCAACATCGTTTTAGCTAGAGCTTGCGTTCGGCAAAAAAGAGGAACAAGCGAGTGTGGACAGGCGATGAAGATTCCAATGACTACATTACAAAAGAAAATGATAAATAGTATGAAAGAGCTATGGAAAAAAGATGTCATGGATTTAGCTTATGCCAAGAGCTTTGACTTCGGAAAAGGCGCGCCGCGCACATGTGCACAAAATTTTGCTGTTGGCTGGGATAAACAATGACAGCGGGTTTCTGTATTCCCATTTGTCGGTGGGTTGTTTGCATTGTCGTCCCTTACATCGTGTGCGACCATCTACTATCGATATATAAATGACAGCTTGACACCATCGGGTTAACCTTTTTGTCACTTTTACACACACACACACACGTAAATGACACAACTTTTCCCGAGAATAATTGGTTGCGGGAGATGACGATTTTGATCGATCGATCGCCATTCTTTCTTCTTGTCGTAGTTAATAATATCATCATGATGACAACTTTTATTTTAGCCTGCGTTATCAACATCCTCTAAAATGGCTTCGTGACACATAAAAAGTCATCTCTACATCACTGACAAGCATCGCTATTGTGTCACCCCTGCTAACAAGATATCACTTTGCAGCCTAAAACATTCAGCCGGCATAGTACATGGATATGATCGTCGCTAAAGTGAAATCCCGAACACTACTAAAGAGACCCAGCAAACCCCAAGAGAAAAATATGCCATCCAATTACAGTTTTTAGTGACCTGTCTTTTAATCCTCATCATCAAAGAATGGATCTAACGCTTCATCATTATCCTTCCGAGACTCCTGAACTACATCAAAGACAACGGTATCCTTGGCGGGAGCTTGCTCAGATGCGTCATCCTCCTCCTTCTTCTTCTTGTCGTCCTTTTCATCATGAGTGGGCTCTTTTTTATCATTGTCCTCCTCCTCATTCTTCTTCTTCTCTACTTGTTGTTTCTCGGGAGCAGAGTTGGATGCTTCTTCGGATGGTGGTGGTGGTGGTGGTGGTGCAGGTGCTTTGACGGGTGATAAAGGAGGAGAATCTTGCATAGTGGCTGTACCACTGGTCATGGGTGTGGGTCGTGTGAATGATGATGATGAAACTCGCTCTGAGGAAGCAACACTAGCAGCTGAGGATGATGATGTGGCTGATGTAGTTCCTGCACCATTACGCTGGAAGATCATGTTCCATTTCTCTTCATTGTTGCTGCGCATAAATGACATCAGGCTACGGCGTTGTTGTGGTTGTTTGGTAGCATCTCCGAGATTGGATTCGGCTCGTAAAGGACGTGCTTGACGACGCTTTTCACTTTCAGCATGTGATTTCAGGGTCGCTTCATTAAAGAATGTATCATAATGCTTGATGAGATCCCGACCAAAATACATGGGCACGCGACTCGTGAGTGTGGTAAGCGATTCATGGCGTGGTCGAAGTATCACTGATCCCAAAGAGTCACCGATTGATTCCACTGCAGCATCATCAAGCTTGTTGTCCTGAACAAATCTTTAAGCTTTGATGAGTATCCTACCCTTCATAATCGTTTACTGTCGTACTACTTACCCACGGATTTGAGATATCAACAGTTTGAGTGTCGAGAAATGGCTGCCTGGCAATGTTGCTATTAGATTGCTTAATGGTTGTAAGCGTATGCTGTCATCTTGTTCATCTATGTAAAAAAGGCATTAGTACATGTATCAAAAGCCACCACACACCCATCCTGGATACTCACGGTTGCTATACAGCGCTTGTGCCGCGTCATAAAACTCAAATGTCATTAGACATTCTGGTAATTCCAATAAATAGAGGCGTAACACCGCAACGAGTGTCATAGGATCGTATGGCTGAAGAAGCTCCAGTGTCAATTGGTCACTTGGAATGTTGAGATTGGAGCATGCTGCATAAACGCGATCCAAAGGTAGCTTTGTAGACCATAATTGGAGTTTCTCTATGAAGCGGAAAAATATGTGTTACATTATGCAAACCGTCATCTGTATCACGCACACACACACACACACATACCTTCCTGATTCAGCTTCCCTGTCCCTGTATTGTTGTAATCAATGAGTAAAAAAGAAAACGAAAATCGAATCGATTTGCAATGATAATTACCTTTATCGATAGCGTCAAGAACAAGGGTAACAAATCTCGGGATGTCATCTTCAGATTGCCTTGCCAACCCATCAAGTGGAACGCCAAAGATTTGGTCTATTCATCATTCATTGTGCCAAGCATCATCAGCCTGAGTGCCACATGCTGTTCCTTCCCCTTTATATTACCTTGTGAAACCCCATGGAATTGGTTCTCATACAAGATTGGTTGCGGCGAAAAACTGGATACGCAGTATTGCTGTACAATGTATTGGATGTCGTGATCAGGCTTCAAAGATTCTTGATAAACGAGCATGTCATCCACCAGTGCCTTGTCTCCAGGGATCATCTCCGATAAGCATAGTGAGAACGAGGCAATGGCTATATATTTAACCACCTAGTAAGTAATCCCATCCATCGCATTGACTCAATCGACCTCACTCACTTACCTTGTTTAAGCACAGCTATACGCTTGAGTTCCATTTGTTCCATTTCTGCAAAATGTGCAAACTATCCACCACATGTTAGAGCCAATATCAAGATCACCCTTCCATCCAAACTTACCAATGATTGTTCAACCACCATACGCATTTGATCCATGCGTTTGACAGCCACTCGATATGCTTCATCTGCAAGTTCGGCCTCGCGTTGTGCACGTTTCAATTGATCCTCGATGGGTATTTGCTGTCCACCACCACCAATGCGTTCAAGAAATCCAAAACCATAACCTGATGATGAAGAAGAAGAAGAGGCACCTCCTGGTGTATCTTCGCGCCATTGATAAAATGATTGAGGAGAAGGTGAAAACTTGTTGCCACGTTGACCCACAAGACGCAAGATTTCAAGAGGTTGAATCAATTGCTGAGCAACGACGTCTGCCATAGCAGGAGAATCCTTGCATTGAGGCATATTGTGCTGCAACCAAATCGAGATGGATTCACCTGATGAAGTATTCTGGTATCGGCCAAGAATAGGTACACGATGTTCACCCACGGGGATCTCATTCTTCATATTGCTGACCATCTTATCCAATTCGGCTCGTGACATTCGCTGGTTGCCAATCAAGATCGTTGTTGTATCTTGATCCATCATCTGCTCTCCTTGCTTTCCTTCCAATGGTGATTGTTGTTGCTGTTGTTGTGATGGTGAAGTGGTCGTCGTAGGTGATGTAGCTGCTGCTGCTGCTGCTGCTGCTTCCTCCTTTTGTTCCTCTTCCATCATCCATGCACGATGCTTCTTTTGGTAATTGCCCTTGGCTCGATCCATTTCCTTGACAAGACCATCAAACTGCTTAAGGCTTGCATCCACCGATTGCTTGCTCGTAGTCAGGGTCCTCTTATAATCTTCTTGGAACTTTTGCAATGGCTTGAGTACAGTGTCTGTCAATGTATCTGCCGTGCGTTTGTGCTGTTCACCAAAGCGACCACTTGTCGCCTTTAGGTTCTCAAAGCATCCTCTTAATACGGCACCATCGTCACGTGCAAAACCACTGCTTTTGAGAGGAGTCCTGGCTTGTTCGCTTAATCGGAATGCAAAGCTCTCTTCGATGGCAATACGCTCCTTAAAGAAGGCAATCATTTCATCGTTCTCCACCTTGCTTTGGTTCAACTTGCTGTGAAGGACTTGAAGACCTGTTTGGAAATCAGGCACCGATGACTGGGGTTGTTTCTGTGACCAGAATGCATTGTCGAAACGTAGTGCTGGCGGCATGAGGTGCAAGGGAGAAGAAAAAGGAAGAGACACCACCAGAGAGAATGAGGCGCGCGCTCGTGCTTACAAGCATGTCTTTGTGTCACATGCCCCATTGTTGTGTGTCCGCTCGTCAACGTACAATGCCTACTATTGCATTGGTCATAGCAACCATGAATACCCCATCTTGTCCATATGTAATATTGATTAGCAAAAAGTATCCTTATCAAAAAAGCTATATCATAAAGACGATCCACATAGTAATGCTATAAGGTTTATATAAAAGTAAACCTTTATTGAAGAAGTACATGCGTGCATGTAATAACCGGTGTAGCTATGTTAAAACAAAAGCAATCTATTTGATTGAGAGATAACATGTCTCTTGAACAAGTGATGGAAGGTGGGGGGGGGTTGACAAGAGGCCAACATGGCGGTCCATATAAGAAGTTTGGTGGTATAGCTCACCCTCATCAATATCTATTAGCTATTCGTAGGCGGTATTATTATATGTAATAGCAATATCAGTATACGATGTGAAGACTTCCAATGATGTTGCTATGGGATTTATTGATTACTTTGAAAGAAGGATGATGTGTAGCTTGGCAACGATGAACAATGTGACCTAAAGCAGTAAGGCTGCTGGATGAGAGGAGACGAGCGGACTAAGCATGGCCTGGGCTGTATTCAGATTCCATAAGGTGGATTGGTTGTAAGCGCGCTCATTTCTTGCAGGAACTTCTTTGATAAGAGCACACCAGCAACCCTTCAGACTCTTGAAAAGGCTTTCATGTTTTTGGACTGGATTGCGCAGCTTCAGCTGCTGCGACACGACCCACGTACGTTTTTACAATGACCCCCCTGATACCCGGTTTATCAGATCAGTTCTTTTGTACTGCATGTCTTCCCATTCCAACATATTCGTTTTCTCTGGCATAGAGACTAACATTCTTGGATCGCTTCCATTGTCCACTCGCCGAGTCTTGGTATCGGAAATTACGCACTATCTTCATCCTGGTCCTGGAAAGCATGCGCCTGATCCGAGCATCTTCACATCACCAGCTCACGTCAAGTGGTACTTTGAAGTTATCGGTCAAGGGTTCACTTTGCCGCTGGAGGATATGGATATCACCAGCATCGATGTCAACTTGTACGCACAATGGTTATTAGAGCCTTCGCTACGACCTGCCGTTATCAGCAAAGATGGCCTCGAGCAAGAGTTTTATCAAATCATCTTCCATCAGTATTCCCTCCTCTTCCAACCTCGTCTTACCCAAACGCCCCAACAACAACAGCAACAACATCAACAGCAGCAGCAGCAACAGGGTCATCATCATCATCATCATCCAACATCAACACCACCACGTAGCGTATCATCTAGACCCAATAGCTTCCATCTTGGTATTTCAGGATCATCCTCCTCCTCTCAGCAACCTAATCACCATCAACAAAATGAAGCAACACTGGCTCAGCTAGCACATCAACACATCGAGCTTTGCAAAAAGACATTGACCGTATTAGCCATGGCAGGAAGAACACTCGAATTCAGCAATGATACATGGACTGTGCTTCTCAAAGTGATGCTGGGTGTCACCGATTATCTATTGAAAGAACCTATTGGTGCAGGTGGAATGTCCGGTGTACCCAATATGGGAGATGAGCTCTGTGAACATCTCTTAAAGGTATGGATAAGGCTGATTTGGATAATGAGGATAATGAACTTATAGTTCTTTGTGTAGGTTCTCTTTGAACTTTGGTTGCGATCGGAGATACGACAAGTGGAGATGTGGGATATACTCAAGGTTTGTTGTAAACAATGAATATGGATGATCCAATGTTTATATATCTATTATAGAGTTGTTTTATGCGCTGGACGCATCGACCCCAAGCGATACGCCAATGGAGTTCAACATCTTTGGCATTGACGAAGCGGGTGGTGAATCTATTATATGGATCAGAGGAAGGCACCGACCTGGTGATACTTTCATCCCACGGCACTATCAATGTCAAGCTTGATCTGGAACATGGATTTATGAATTACGCATGGCACCAAATGCTACATTTATCGCCACATCCACTTCAGCTTCCTTCTCACAACTTTGCATATGCAATGCTTGGTATCGGTCAATGTGTGGATGTGTTCAACAATGTTGGTTACAAAGGATCGGATGGCAACACGCTAGCCCCGCCTCATACGCATCATCATCATCGACCTGAAGGCAATACGATTCTTCATATCTTTGGTACCTACTTGTTCGACGCATGTTCAGCAGCTGCTAGTAGCACAGACCCTGATTCGCAACGAGGATGCGCTGAAGCATATGCAACATTGTGCAAGATCTTTTGCCGGCCACAGCATACACGACCCTTCCTACGCACATACATTGAACGATTTTATGCAGCCTTGTGTATGGGGTTGAAATCTGAAGCTTGCTTACCAACAATTCTCTTGCATTGCACGGAGCTATTTGCGACTGATCTTGAGGGTGTGAGGATGTTGGTTCCTGATTTCATTACGGCTATCAAAATGGTGCTTCCCAAGCTGTTGATTGTGGTCAATACGGATTTTGTGAGCGTGGAAGATTTACGACTCGCCGCTATCAAGGTTGTCAGTACCGTCATGTGCCTACCCAATCATTTCGACAAGGTGGAATTGAAACCTGAATGGGACCGAGATCTTCAATGTGCCTCAGATAGCGCTTCCATCTTGGGTGAACAAGAACAAATCGTCACTCAGTTGGTAAAACGACAAGGGGGAATGGGACAGGCAAATGAATACTTTCTTTGTATTGTTCCTTTTTGTGCGACGCTGACCTAAGCATCCTTTTCTTTTTCCGGCAGATCCGAGTCTTGTATGCCGATCAACCTCATGATGATGTGGAAAGACCTTTCACTTGTGTAAAGTATCACACAGCATTACCTTCTCTCTACCTATCATCTTTATGCTCATATAAGTCTTTAGCTCAAGTTTTATATCCTCGAGGTCCTTCTCATGTCACTACGCACCGAGACATCGTCATACAACATGAGATACCTATTGCATTTGATCAATGTCTATGTCGTTGAAGATGTTCCTTTTTGCCCGGGATTGGTTGGTACAGTAGTGAAATTAATCGAGGAAAAGGTAAGCATGTCATATCGCCTCTTGATGTAATTATAAATGAACTAATGCCTTTTATAGATTTTGACAATGCAAATGCCTGCTGATGTGACGTTGGTGGCCTTTGATGTTCTCATTGACTTTGTGGATTTATATGATTATGTCAAAAGAGATAGCAAGGTAATACACACATTCCCATGAACAACAAGGAGGATGGTAATAACAAGGATGCAATATAGAATGTTGCTCGTGAGCTGGTGCTGGCACTCAGCCGATATGTGGATACCCTGATCAATGCAGGCAAGCTGGTGGGTAAAACATTATCATTCTTGATTATCAATGTTGGATATTAAGATGACTTTTTGTAGTCTCACTCGTATCCTTTGATTGTTCAAGCTTACGACTGCATGATGAAATGGATATTGACAAGCCAATGGATTATCGATGATCGGGACTGCTACAAGGCTGTTATTTCCACCCTAAGTCGAGGCATTACTATCTTTGATCGCGACACGGATCAGCCACCTGAGACACCACAAGAGAAAAAGAAACGACGTGATCCAATGCCATCGAAACCGCTTTTCCAGCTTCCACCACGACCCAGTGTTAAAATGTCAACATCATCCAGTGGCAACAATAGTGGCGGTGGGAACGCTTCACAATCCAGCAGCCGAAGCAATTCCAGTGCTGTTAGGAAGGAGCAGGTGGCAGTACGCATGGCAGCTGAATATTGTATGTCCCAATTTGTCAATCAACTTGGACGTGCTTCCCCCTTGAATGGATCAGTCAATCAGAAAGCTGAGGATCTACAACAACTTCGAATTCGACGTTCTCAACGACGTAGCGATCAAGGTGACTTGTTGCCATGGGAATCGAGAGACGCGATTCGCTACTTTTTGCTTGACAAGCGCATGATCTTGGCAGTATTTGATATTGAGAGTCAGCAAGATGAAAAGGATGTGCCGGCTGTCAAGTTCATTATACGTGACACAACAGGTCGCCATATTTGGTCCATTGACGCACAATACCAAGATGCACAAAAGCACACTCTCTCTTCGCCACTATCGCCACCACCACCACCACAACAACAACAACAATCACCCAAGATGGCACATCAAAAATCCATTGGAGGATCAACATCAGTCACCGATTCTCTTCAAGTATCAGAAGCACCTACAGCAGATGCTGCCAACTCGGATGCTATTCCTAGTATCGATGACCTTGTATCAGTGGATCCAGCTAGTTGGAGTCAATGGGAGTTTGTCAAATCGATGGCAGAGTGCGAGCAAGAGGAGGAAAACGAGACTTTGGATCGGATACATAAAAGGCCGCTGGATCGGTTTATGATATCACCCACTGCTTCCAACGTCAACACAGAAAGGTATTTATACACAATCGGTGTACTATCCATAACGAAAAAGAGGTTAATTTGTGTATAGTGCACGAGGTTTCCGATTACTACTTTCTGAGCTGGGCTTATTGCTACCCAAGAACCGATCCCGTATTACACCTTTAAGGATTACAGATTCTTTGATCACAGAGATTGAGACGTTGGATATGTTGAATGAGTAAGTTCCTTTAAAAAGAGGGTTTCGATGTCCAAATGACTCACCATGTTATTCTAGTCGAGATTGTATATCCATCACAGCCTATTATGCATCATCAGGAAATACCACTTGGGAGGATCTCATTGAGACACCACCACCACTCAGCCCACAATTTCTGCAATTCCTTAATTGTCTTGGTTGGCCGGTACGTATTCTCACCTTTAGTGATATTAACATCCTAATCCCATGTAATAGATCCAGGTGGAATCTCATACGGGCTTCAAAGGAAAATTGGATTCATCGATTTGCAAGACAATACCATACTATGCTGATCGCAATGTGGAGTTTGTGGTGAACGTGCCATACTTTTTGCATACACCTCCTAACGACGACAACACATGGGGGTCAGCTAGCAACATTACCAAGATCCATCGTATGGTGTCTGCCGATGATCACGTGTGCGTTATATGGATTGAGGATCTCGACAACTATACAGCTCTTGCCAAACGTATAAAGACATCAAACTCGTCAAATGCCAAATCCATGGTATACATCTTTATCAACCCGCTTCGGAACAGCGCCAACAGCCTTTATTGGATTCGTGTTCATATACCACTCATTGGGAATAATGCAACATCCGTTGTATCAAGTCAACGGTTAAACGACAATGCATTGGTAACATGGAGATGGGTTATGTGGAAGCTATTTTCGTTGTGCTCACACACCTTGGATACTAGATATTTGGACCACTGGCGGATGGCATGATTGTGAGTCGGCATGCACTAGGAAGCATGGTGAGGAATACCGCCATTTCAGCACATCAAGCATGTCGTGTCGTCACCGATACCTATACACGCCCCTACGTTGTACGAAAGCAGTTCATTGAAGAGATGCTTCATCGACATCGAAGCAAAATGCAGCTTTCAGAGTATGTTGTAAACAATGGCCATGATGGATCGTAGTAGTAGTAGTGGTTACTAATAATGAACATGTACTTTAGGTTCTACGCTGAAATGTTTTCAGGGAAAGACACTTGATCTTGATGTTTGCATCATTCGATATATGTAGACGACCACGCCCTTTCTTTATACATTCCTAATCCTGCAACGCAGAATACGCCTACTATTATTAATCAATTCTCCTGTCATCAGCATCATACATCAATATATCAGCTCTACACTATTCGATAATAAGATCGCCACAATCACTTTCTGCAGCGACCATTGAATTGGAAATTTGGATAAAGCAGCATCCTATTTGCATGAATCTTGTATCACCGGAACCAGTCCAGCCGTGTGAACTGATGAAGCACGGGCCATATTAAGTTTGCTCGGTCCGATAGGATGGGAATCTCAATCAGCTGTTTGTGTTGATGGTGTTATCGATTGCATCTTTTATAAATACCAACATTCTCGTCATTTGATTCCCTTTTTCTTTCGCGTGCTCGTATGCAAATTTGATATCAACATCATGAGACGTATACTACTTTTTACATTGTGGATGATGATCCTCTTATGGTTGCCATGCAACGGCCAACAACACCATGACGACAACCAGCAATTTGTGATGGTTGCTTCCAACCATTCGGATTATCCTGGTGAGTGACGATCTACAACCCGCTGCATATTGGGCTGCTAATGACCGATGGCTTTTGCATTGCACATGTACATAGAAAAAGGCTACATGGTGAAACAAGTTATTTCCACTGATACGGGCTTGGAGATCCCTCTTGCTGTCATTCCCAGTAGACCCATCCATGGCAAAACGATTCATCATCTAGTCGTTGAAGTCGATTTTGAAACCAGTGAACGCTTACATGTCAAGGTAAAAAGCATATTAGATACCCTGAAAAAGCATCCAACGCGCGTTGTTGTTGCCTACAATAGATCCGTGATGAAGACCATAAGCAAGTACCCGTACCTGATTCACCACATGGATTGAAGCGTCCAAAGCTAGATACAGCCGCTGCATCGGACCGTAATTATGACTTTACGTATACCGAGAACCCATTCGGCTTTCAAGTGATTCGTGCATCCGACCAAGCTATTTTATTTGATACACGCCATTTTCCCCTGGTGTTCGAGGACCAATATTTAGAGATTTCAACATCTATATCGGAGGACACACACATTTATGGGTTTGGGGAAACACCCTTAAAACACTTGAAGCGTCAAAAAGGAGTAAGTAGGTTGAGATTGTGGGGGTGGCTTTTGATGATGAGCTGATTACTGATAATGCACATGCAGAGCATAACAACTCTTTTCGCACGTGATGCAGCTTGTCCGTACGTATATTATTACGATCATCAACGTGCATAATCATTCACACATGGACACTATAGATTCAATGAAAACATATATGGCACACATCCCTTCTATATGGAAATTCATGATGGCAAGGCACATGGTGTCCTTCTCTTGAACGCTCATGGCCAAGACGTGCTCTTGCATAAGGATCGGATCACGTGGAAGGTTATTGGAGGTGTTCTCGAGTACTACTTTTTCGTACCCAAAGACAACAAGCCAAACTCGGTGATGCGCGCATACACAGACCTCGTTGGTAAACCCATGATGATTGGTACGTATGATACACAAATGCATTGTGCTGGTATAGGTATACTAATGTAGTCATCGCCTCTTACATGTATAAGCTCATTGGATGCTTGGATGGCAACATTGTCGATGGGGTTATCACGACATTGAAGAAGTGGAAGCGGTTATCAAAGGCTACAAGGACCATTCAATCCCATGTAAGAGTTCCATTTTCTTTACAAGTTGACATTATGATTCACCATCTTTTGATGTAATAGTGGAAGTAAAGTGGATTGATATCGGTATGTATCTGACATGGAAGCTGTAACTTGATGATGAAATTAATTCCCCCATCACGCATTGTAGATTATATGGATACGTACAAGGATTTTACGTTTGATCCACAGCATTTCCCGGAACACAGAATGTGTGCTCTTAGCGACACATTGCATCAAAATAAGCAACGCATGGTGGTGATAGTGGATGCAGGCAAGGCAACATTTAGCGACTATGGCCCTTACACTCGAGGCAAAGAGCTCGATGTCTTTATGAAGAATCCTGATGGATCCGATTACGTTGGCCAAGTATGGCCTGGGTATACCGGTAAAGCGAGTACGATTATTGATAAAAGAGCCCTATGCTAATGCACAAAGTAGTTTTCCCTGATTGGTTCCATCCCAATGCAAGCACCTATTGGGAGTACGAGGTGGCCGTATGGCTGGATAAGCTCAACTTGGATGGATTGTGGATCGACATGGATGAGCCTTCATCCTTTTGTTTGGGATCGTGTGGAACAGGCAAGCTCGACCAACTGCCCCCCGCTTTTGAACCATGGACGTTGCCCGAGGATGTTCAACAACAACTTCACAAGGAGCAAAGGGATGCATTGCATACAATGGCTGAGAAGATTTCTATCAAAGAGACACGAGATCTTTTGTATCCTGGATATGCCATTAGGAATGGTGAAGGTGATCTCTCGGAGAAAACGGTTGCCATGACCGCGTATCACTATGGAGACATCGCCCATTATGATCTACATTCTCTTTATGGCCATGCTGAATGCAGTTTAACACGACAGGTAAAGTACATTTATAAGATCTCGGCCGAGGTTCATTGTGATGTTGGCATTTAGGAGAGAGGTTTCTCATTTCATTCTCTAAATGATTCATTGTGTAGGCGATGATCAAGCATAGGAGCAACGAACGTCCCTTTATCCTGAGCAGATCGACATTCTCTGGGTAGGTCAAACAACTTTACAAATTCACTTGAATGACCGAAAAAAGCGCATGCACTCACAATCAAGGGGATGATATCGGGTAAATAGATCGGGACAATACAGCGGACATTGGACAGGTGAGAAGGTGAAAATGAGCTCTTTTTGCCCCACTTGCTCATGATGATACATAGGTGACAACTGGTCAACATGGACTCAACTCAAAAGCTCGATCATTGATATCTTCAACGTGCAAATGTTCGGCATCTCCTATTCAGGAGCAGATATTTGTGGCTTTAATGGCAATGCGACAGAAGAGCTATGTACACGTTGGGTGGAACTTGGTGCTTTTTATCCATTTGCTCGTAATCATAATGGTATGTAAGCGAAACGTATTATGTATCATAAAGCTCACGTACGACATGCCCAATGCAACGATCTCTTTTGTGTGACCCATCTATTTCTTTGGTTAGTGAAAGGAGCGGTTTCTCAAGCACCCTACGAATGGGAATCGACAGCTGAAGCCTTACGCAAAGCCCTTGCCATACGTTACGCTTTACTCCCATATTTGTATACTGTCTTCGAAGAATCGCATCGGCTTGGTACAGGCGTGTGGCGGCCGCTCATTTTCGAGTACCCTCATGTGAATGATTTTGCGGATCATGCAACGCAAGTACTTGTTGGAAAAGATGTTCTCTTGTCGCCTGTGTTAGATGAAGGAGCTACAACGGTGGTGGATGCAAAGTTCCCTTCTGGTGTATGGTATGATTGGTACACTCACGAGCGTATACATGTGGTGCCTCAACAAGATGCAGCAGCCTACTATGAGACCTATACATTGGATGCTCCATTGACACATATCCCTGTTCATGTACGAGGAGGTGCTATTCTTCCACTGAAGCAGCCTGAAATGCTGGTGGAGGATACATTTTCCCATCCCTATACCTTATTGATTGCTTTGGATGAAAACGAGGAGGCATCCGGAAGACTCTACATGGACGACGGGCACTCAATCCACCAATCGCATGTATCCAACATTGTGTTTTCCTTTTCTCAGGATGGCGTACTGCATGCTCAGGGTGAATTTGCATATCACCATGGATCGGAAACAACAATCAAAAGTATCCAAATTGTCGGCAAGATGTATTCAACTGCCACCTATCAATCCAACAATGACAGCTCTTTCAAAAGCTACACCCTTACGCAACAAGCTCAAACATCTTCCTCCATCCTAGAGAATGCTGACATTCCTCTTACCGATGGGCCATTCACTATTCGTTTTGACCAGCAATAAAATCACCAACATGTCTTCATGCAAAGAACAAAAATGAATGTATGTGTGTTGTATGTTGTTGTCATAGCCTCTTGGTGTAAGGGTCAGTATTTAATACGCCAGCAGTGGGTGGAATTAAAGCAGAGCAAGTTGGTAGTGATGGTGCAGGAAATGGGGTATCCTTGGTAACGATAGGTGGTGGTTGCTGATAATGATGATGATGATGGTGATATGTAGGGGAAGAAAAGGATGGTAGAGAAGAGGAAGTACTAACGAAAGGCAGAGAAGGAGCTGAAGTTGGGACTGTAGTAGTGGTAGTATTGGTGCTGTTAGTGGGTTGCTGTTGCTCAACATAAGGAAGATTGGAAATGGATGATGCATCATCAGGGTCTTGGTTCATTTCTTGTGATAACGTTGCCAGGCGATAAACCCGCATCACCCGTTCTTGTGGAGACATCCTTGTTGAATCGTTTGCTTTTGGCTCATGCACTTTAAAATGTCGTCGTAAATTACTGATAACAGCAAAACCTCGATTGCATCCAGGGCTAAAGAACAATGGCTGTAAGTAATTTGATCACCTATTAGGCGTATCCAGGCAACTCACAAATGGCATACAAATGGCTTTTCGCCTGTGTGTGTATAAATGTGTGGTTGCAATGCACTTGGCTTGGTAAAACTCTTTTCGCAATAGGAGCATTGATAAAGTCTTTTCCTTTTGTTGTTACTGCTGCCTTGATATGAATGAATGGAGCCGTGAATCATAGTGCCATCATGGGAGGGCGGTGATGGTGGTGGCGATACTGAAGGCGAGGAGCCAGCATAGGTGTTAGAGCATGGTGGTGTTGGAATCATAAGGCGACGATGTAGTAAAAAGAGAAGCAACCGGCAGCAGATAAAAGGATATGCGTGTAATTGGAGATATTTAAGAAGCGTCTAGAAAGAAAGAGGAAAAAGTAATGCGCACATTTTCCACTCTTTATATATTTGTGCATCATAGGTATTGAGAGCTGACGGGATAAGGGATGGGATAGCAGCAGTGGTGGTGATGACATGATCGTCATGCCGCCAGTTTACCATACTTTGTATGGGATCGTCGTCGATGTTGTGATATGCGAGAGCCACATGTGTCCTGCTCAGTATGTAAGGATCTCGTGGGTGACGCAGTCGCATGTTCGGTGTGAGTGTGGCATTCGATTGCTTTTTCCATAGAGTTGGGGGACGAGGGGGGTTTTAGAGTGGGAGAGGCTGGTAAGGATAAGCCTTTGAATAGCATATCTTTCTCTCTGCAAGGGAAGCCTTCATTTCCCCTTTTCCTCATGTTCACCTCTTAACACTAAGCCATGAGCCATACATCTTAATTATGATGCTCCATGATCGATTTTTCGTGCACACGCATAACCCTCCTATGATTTATCCGTGAGCCAAGCAGTTGGCATGGCACTAAATTGTCTTGCTTCTCGTTTGCTGCTTCCTTCCCATAATTACAGTTAAGCGCCCTGAATACACTTTTTATTCTCCTTTTGTTTTCCAGGGAGGTCAATAATGTAACCAATTCAGGTAGGCCATGTACGATCCTTCTTCATCGTCTTTTTGTAATGATGATCGTTTTTGCTTTCACCTCCACATTAATGACAAGCCCACTTTGATCCATAACAATAAGATTTTCATCATTCCCAAATACGAAACATTTGTGGGTAACGTCGTTAGGTGGTGTGACAAGACGCGTGTATCTGACACATATTGTGAAAAAAGTTGTTACTCTACCTGTTCACGGGCCCAGCACCAGTTGCCCGCCATCAATGCATATTGGGGTCTCATGTTACACACAACGAAAGATCCTGTGTGTTCTCTTCTCCGTGTGCCCATTATCCTTTTTTTTGCTTTTGTAGTTCTTGCTTGAGTCATGTCCCCTAAAGAGTATGACTCTAGCATTGGCGTACTGCAAAACGGAGGATTAAGGTATCACTCATTTTACGGGAGGGGTTGGATATGGACCAAGGGATTGGCCGAGCAGTGCCGAATAGCGATGAGTAAAATGAATATAAGAATCGTGATTAACGTAAATAGTAGTATTCTCACAAATCAAGATCATGTCTGACCTAATATGTAAAGTTGCCGAGCCAAGTGACAATGAGAAGCTGGGTTTTTCTCATTTCGATTACTGTGTGTGCGTGTGCGTTTGTCCAACCAGCATTGTTCACTCCGTAGGACACTATCCTGTCTACTCACTTGATATGTACATCCCAATTTTCAGCCCCCCACTCCTTTAGGCCTTGGACCAGGAGAATGGTAACGTACACGTGAGGAGCACGACGACTCGCTGCTATAAACAAAACAGCTTGTTGACACACTAGGGGGTGGTTGTAATGTTCTCCTCTTCTAGTCATCAGCCACAAACATCATCATCACCCCCCCCGCGTCAATTGGGAGGGGAGAAAGAGAGAGAGAAGCAAAATTGAGCCATAATGCTTCGGGGACAAGGTGTGTGAAAGGGAAAGGTCCCAATCTGCAGTCAGACCCTTTATTATAGCACATGATGCATGCCTTTGGTGGGTTGGATCAAAACATTATTGTCCTCTCTATGCCATTCTTCCCACCGAAAGAAAGATGTGTATGTGCACATCGCCAACATCACAATGTATTCTGCGATCAAGAAGGGTGGATGGTTGTACACACTCATGCAAGATCGCATGTGTCATCGGAATCCTTATTCTGGTTTCGTTTTCTTGTACGACATAAGATGACAAGGACATCTTGGTTGCCAAACGCATATATGCAATCTCAGAACCAAGCCCCCATCCAGTACTTAACCCACCACGAATGAATCAATATCCCTATCCTATACATTTAAAAATGTTGTTAAGCGTATACATGCATCAGTTTTAAGCATAATTAATCATCATCAGGAGTATGCAGTGATGATGTTGGGGGGCTCATAATAGCTATCGCGTTACTTTGAACCAAGATTTCGGGGATAAACATTTGATAACCTCAAGTAACCGAAATTGCATTACATAACAATATTACCGAATCCTCCTGCCGATTTAATAAATACAATACAACATGGTATCCTTATTGCCTCTCGTCGACTTGTAATCCCAATGGAGCCTCATATGGCTCTTTTCTTATTAGGTTTAAAGCATGCAGAAAAGCGTTGGTGTCGTTTTCAGAGTTATAGTTAAGACGCAGCAGCAAATCAATTTCAAAGCGTTGAAAGGGGATTTGCGTTCATCATCGTTCTTTCTATTTTGCTGATAAAGGTAATCGCTTCCAACAACAAGGCTGCCCTACGCATGTAACATTGAACTTGTGCTACCACCACTGTTATCATCCATCGTTCGCTTGCGTTTTTGTTTTCAACCCTTACCAACCTCCCCCCAAAAAACAATTCTCATACGCAACTTTGCACACACACACACGCTTTGGTCATGAGACCAAAGCATGGATTTCACACAAAACAAACGATCGTGTTGAACCTTCCTCAACAAGTTGGTCTAATGTTGTACATATCGGATCGTTTTTCCACGCCTTCGGAATCCGATGCCGTTGATGAATGGACGTGAAGCGCATTGCTCTCATCATGGTTGATCGATTTTGATCTTGATTTTCCATACTGGTGGTGGTCACGATTGATGAACGATCCAGCAGCAGCAGGTTGCTATACACACGAGCCTTTCGTTTTTGGCTCCTTGATCAAAAGACACCACCATTGCATTCTCTATCCTTCCGATCATCGATTTACCCTTGAAGGCACTGTTTCAGTTGTTGTAGATCGATCCACCCGCTATTGACCCCATGATGATGGTATCTGTCAAGCTTAATACTACAACAATGTCAATGGCTAATGTTCCACGAACATGCAAAGGGTACATATTGTAAGCCTAGGACAAGCATGTACGTGCACGCAAGATGCCAATCGTATACATATACACAATAATGGGTTGGTCTTAAGCAAACTTTTGATGCTGCTGCTGCTGCTGCTGTTGCTGCATGTGTGTGATTGTACATAGAGTTGGCTCATCGACTTGCAATTAGCCCCATGACACAGGCCTGGATCGTCCATGTAGAGGTCTGTTGTACAACTTTTCGTTGCCCTGCGCTCATACCACATTGTCGTACTGCATTCCTTGATGATGGTAAACAATTGCAATGAATCGATGTTCACGTTTCCTTAGCCCTTGTTTGACGCCGAATGAGCTCGTTTTGCTGAATGATGTTATGATCGTTCTTTTAGCTGTGGCGCATCATATCCGATTCAATTGCAACTCGCTGTTGTTGTTGTAAAACTTTGTCGTGAGAGCATTGACAAAGATGCAGGAGATGATGATGGTGGACCACCAATGCTTGCTCCTGCTGGATTCATAATGTTGGATCATTGGCTTTGTCCGTGACCCCCTGCCAACATCATTGTATCTCTTTCTCCTTGGCATTCGTCATCTATATAATATTCTAAGCTATGCACTTGGTTCGTCATGTAGCAAGGTGAAGGTTCATCCCGATAGTTTTTTTTTCTTGATACCCCAACACACGTTACAACCCATATCCCAATGCAGGATCGAGGTTGATGCTTACCACACACAATCACTTCAGGTGACTTGGTGGGTGTATGCGTAGTAGTAAATGCCCCTAAACAAAAACATCGTTACCCTTGCTGCATGTCATTTCGAATCTTAGAATCTTGGTTGAGCAGGAGAAACGACATGTCAATATCATCTGAGCAAAGCATGTGGTAAGTATATGCACATAGGATGGAGGAGGAGAGAGCCCCCCCCGTGACCAAATAGGCAAAAGTGCGATCGTTTACAGATATGCATAACCCAGATTTGGCGCGAAAGGGAGGGTCCAACAAGTTGAAAATAAAGGAGGGTGGGGGTTTGGTTAGTCTTAGTTTAAGCTTTGCGCGGTATAAAGAAGATGGGGGTTCATAATGCTTTCCCTCGAGGCCGGCCCAGGGCAACATTACAAGTGCTTTGTTTCTCATACCCTGTGCTGTTGTGCCAACAAACCTGAAGCTTACCTGTCAATGATATTAGCGTATTGGCTGATCTCCATCCTTCATTTGTAGGATTAAAATGTTGTAGCCTATATAGGGATCACCTTGCATATAGGAGTCTTCTCCTACTAAGCATCTCTATCTACCCTAAATCGATTCTTCTACCTTTTCGATCATGAAGCATGTATAACGCGATGCTGTTCATAGCCTAATGTGCATGTCATTAAGACGTTTAAAGCACTCATACAGATACAAATTGAGATACAAGTTAAACAAGTCAATACTGGTGGATCAAGATGATGTTGTAAAAATGGAGATACCCATTCAAGGTCGTAGCTTTTTCACATCTTTATGACCCAAAAGCCTAAATGGCGGGAGCCTATATGGGCATGTGTGATTTGGATCATATACATGGTTGCACGTCAATTGTATCAAAGCACGTGGTATGGTATCAATTCATAATGGGTGTATCTTTTTCAAGCCGGGTTTTCTCGTTCTCCTCATCGGAAGTCTCCTTTCTAATATTCTTGATGGCTCACCTCAACATCATCCTGATCCTGTACATGCGTTTTTTCTCGACAATGATGTACCTTTGTTCTGTTCTCAAACGTCACACTGGCAAAATAAGAGTTCCTAGTATGTGACGATGTCCACTATAATTGACGCTTTATGCTACACGGAATGGCTGATGCGTTCCTCCCATTGAAGTAGAGATAAGACAAAGCTAATAGTAAACACTTCTAAAGCGAACGCAGCAGGTCACATGAAGCGATGTATCTCATCATCTGAATGCGAAATACCCTTTGCTGTAATATCACAGATGTTGGTTGAGATCGAAATGGAGGGATTGTTGTTCTTCATTGAGGTGACAACAATCGCTATTATAGCACTGCTAGCTTAATCTTCCTCACGTTCACATGACGTTATTACTAAACGGGATCCATGGTTTATCATAGATGTCATTTGTCGATCGAGGAGATGATGCAGTGGGTGATCAAGTTATAGTGATACCATCCTTTTGTAGTGACACAAGAGTATATCGCTGGGTCATGACGTGCATGTTCAGTGCGCAAGGAAGGGGATATGTTTTTAGCATCTTGCACATGGGATCAAACATAGTGTCCTAGTCGCACACTAAACAAGTGCGCTTGTAAAAATACGGACAAGTATGACTGCAGCCGCCACACACTTTACTGCTTATATCAATCAGCATAATAATATTTGTATCAGCTAAAGTGACGGGCTATAACTTTATGTCAATGAAGTTGATGGGGAATGAGACGGCAGGTATTATTCAATGTCTAAAAGAGGCATGGGTTTATTGTATGAGGGTGGATGTTTAGTGGTAAAATTATATCTTATGCATGTGTCACAAGGTAGTGGTCGGGTTTTGAGCCATTGTATGTAACCTTTCCCCTTTTGAACCTCCAAGCAGGCTGCCTGTGCTCCACATCAGGACAAAGGAAGAAGAAAAAAAGGCCGCCGAGGATATCAAGTACTCTTTTTCTTCTCATCAAACTCAAAGTATATCTAAACTCGTCTCTTAAGAGGTAAACCATTGATAGCAAACCCCATGAATACCCCTGAACGTACCTCGCTCATCTCAGACGTTTTGCTGCTGCTCTTGGTCAGACATTCTTGGAACATCTCTCCACCCATCAACCCCAATCCTCTCCTTTGATACAATGACCGACATTGGCTTTGAGAACCTACGAATCTCGGATGGTCCACACGATCCCCCTCGAGAACACGAATTGCCGGTACCACCTCAGCCTGCTACTTCAGCCATGCCAGCTCCACCGGGAATAGCCGTTGAAGGCGTCATGTGGCAAGGACACGATGAATCGGATGACAGTGACGATGAGCAGCCGTTGTCAGTGCCAACGTTTGGTGACAATAGCACCCTTCCACCACCTCCACCACCTCCAATGCATGGGAATTCATCCACCACACGACCCGTATCCGTACGCAACGAGGCTGCTATGCAACGCAACTCCTTTCGACCTACGAGATTCATCAAGGCTGAACAAAAGGGGAAGGCATCACCTGCTGCCATCCAAATGATGCCACAAGAAATGGCAAATGTACAGCGCATGTATGAGCATTATCAATCCAAGGTTTATATGGAAGGATATCTTTATCGCAAGAGTGAACGTAGCGAGCATGAAGGATGGGTGCGCACGTATGTCGAATTATGTGGTCCCGTATTGACCATGTGGGATGCCGATAAGGATGATCAAAGCGAAGTGATGCCACAGTATCTCAACATTGCTGATGCGACTGCCGAATACAATGATCAAAGCATGGTTTCTCTCAAGGCCGGTGGAATCAGTCGTCTTTTGTTCGAGATTGATCCTGACAGCACAAGCCATGACAACCGTAGTGCTGTACTTGACCGATGGATTCGTGCTGTTCGATTGTCATGCTTTGAAGGTGCACGTATTCATGAGATCTACACCAAAAAGATCATTATGCGACATAAGAATTCGAGCGAAGATGGCGATGAAGAGGATGATATTCTTGCCAAACCAATCCCCAAGATGGAAAGCTTTTTGCAAGTACGATTTGCTGGTGTCAATGAATGGCAAAAGTATTGGGTTGTTGTATCGGACCGTCCCAATACCAAGAAGCTCTTTGGCAAAAAGTCGTCGACTCCTCAACAAGGACAGCTCCTGTTTTATGAATCCAAAAAGGCAAAGCATCCAATCAAAGTCCTCACCAACGTCTTTCAAGCATACACCATCTATCCTGAAACACCTCAACTTGCTGATATGGCCACTTTGCTCAAGATTGATGGCACTACGGGAGGAACCAATTCGGATGAGAGTGATGAAGGTGGTGTTCCTGCAAGCGTGTTGATGATGACAACCAATACGCGTTATTTGGTACAATGGCTGGTGGGCGTATACGATACTTTCAAGCTCTATGGTCGACCCTCTCAACTATTACGTGATCCAACCAATGCCAATTCCCTCAACTTTGGTGAGACCGTATCGAGCACGCGTCTATTTCTTGAAGTGGATGAAATTAGCGGCATGGATGTATACGCTGACGGCACTGAAAAGAATCGTATGGCTATGACGGATGTGATGCTCAACAAATTCAAACAACCTGCTATTCAACATGTACCTATCAATGGTGGTGGAATGGGGCCAAGAACCAATAGCATGCCTCAGATTGCACCGGGACCTCCTGGTAATAACAACAATGCTCGTGTTCCTCGTCAACGCACTGTCTCAGCTGATGCAGAAGTACCTATGGCAGGAGGTGCTGCTGCTAATCCAAGAGCAACCATGATGATGAATGCTTATGGTGGTGGTCCTAATCGAACATCCGTGTATCCTATGCAAAATCAGCCACCCATGATGCCACAGCAACAGCAACAGCAACAACAACATCGAGTCTCGACTATGCCACGTACTCAATCGGGAAAGATTATTTATGCAAGTGATGACAGCGATGAGGATGAGGATGAAGATGACGAGAGTGAATCTGAGGATGAAGATGATGATGATGACGATGACTCTGTATTTGGTGGAGGAGATCAACATCATAGCAACGCACACAAAGCTGATAGCAACAACAGCAACAACAAAGCTAGTCCCACAGCAACTCCTACTCCAACACCTTTACCTGCTGCATCATCGAGTACGCCATCTATCACCGATAAAAATGCCGACGCAGTGAATCACAATGACCAGCATGATGATAAACAAGTCAGCAATGATACCCTCGACAAGCAATCAGACAATGAATCAGAAAAGCCAAAGACGCCTGCCAAAGCCAAGCAACGACGACCCAATCCTATCAATTCGGATGAGAGCAGCAGTGAGGAAGAGGAAGAAGAAGAAGATAGTGAGGAAGATGATGATGCAAGTGATGAAGAGTATACACCTCATCGACCCAAGTCGCGTTGGCCTACCAACAACAATGCTACATCACGTGCTAGTACGATGTCGCCTACACCCATGCAGCAGCAGCAGCAACAACAGCAACCTCAAAGTGATTATCAGCTTCCACCTTTTGAAATTGATCAACAACCCATGATGGATATGTACAACCACCCAATGTACCAACAACAGGCAGTGATTGATGAAGACGGACCTATTATTCCTCAATTGGGTGAAGATTTTGCCAATCCACATAGTCTTCTTGGTTCGGTGAGCAAGACGGATCCACAAGTGACTGTACGTGATCAAGCCGAGTATGCTAAGGCTACAGGTCAACCTCTTGTGAGCATTTCTCAACAGCCAAAGGATCCCAAGGCAGGTCTTGTTGGTATGATCTCTCAAATTGAACATGACAAGAAGAATCCAAACAAGGGTCGAATGATGGATGCTGAACGTGAGAGGCTCATGATGGAACAACAGCAACAACAACAGGCAATGATGGTAAGTGTGAAAGCGGATTTATTTATAAAGGCTGGTTGACTTATATATACGTTTCTATTAGGGTGGACCAATGATGGGTATGATGGATCCACGTATGTCGATGATGCCTCCAAATATGATGATGGGCGGCCACAACTCGATGATGATGATGCCCATGATGGATCCTCGCATGTCAATGATGCCACCCAACATGATGATGATGCCCATGATGGACCCACGCATGTCAATGATGAACCCGAACATGATGAACAATGGCAATGGCAACAATAGCAACCCACATGCCTCCATGATGATGCCACCTACATCGATGGGTAACCCACACGCTTCAATGATGATGCAACAACCACCCAGTTCCATGCCAAGTGGCAGCAATACCAATACGAATCCACATGCTTCGATGATGATGCCTCCTCCTGCTTCAACCATGGCTGGCATGAATGGTGGTAATGGTGGTGGTAATGGCCATGCTTCAATGATGATACCCATGATGGATCCACGGATGTCAATGATGCCTCCCAATATGATGATGTATGGCGGCATGTGGAACGGTCAACAGCAACATTTTGGTCAACAACAACAGTTTGGTATTCCAGAAGAAGAAGATGATGAAGACGATGATGTGCCACTTGGTGCTGGCAGCCAAGCAAAACCCTCCTCCTCTAAAAAGTAGCCCACCATCCGATTCTTCTCCTCTATCTCGTTTCATTCACCCCCACCAACAATCATACGTTTGCTCATTAATCTAATAAAAAGACATCCTATAACATTATCATTTCACCATAACAACTCTGTAGGTTGCATGAACGTTACACGCATAAGAAGTGTGGAGGAGTGGGGTGGGGGGGTGTTGGGTAAAAATGATCAAGTTTGATTGACCAAACCCTTATTTCATATTCCGATGTGAAATGGGAGAGCGGGCGGCTGGCAGCACCAGGTCTGAGCGAAGCATCCATCCAATAGTACCTCCTCTTTCACGCCGCGTAAGGTATGTTATCATCATCTCATATGGATTAAGGGAAAGGGAAAAATGAAGGGAGTGAAGAAATGGGTATGGATGGATGAATGAAATCAATGGCGGATGCATTGATACAAATGAGCGAAACGACGCATACACACTATCAACCCATCACGGCCAATCCATCCTACAGCACTGTGGAATCATCATCATCCAACGATCAACACTCGATCCACATACCAACATACACAGCCCATATGATATCGTTTATTGAAAGAGATGGATGGATGGATGGATGAATGAATGGATGGATGTATGGATAGTGTGTACCGCCATGTCACAGCTCTCGACCATTGATGGGGTTTGGAATGGGGGGGTTACATGCATATGGCAATGGGATAATGAACTAACGATTGGATATATAGCAAACAATGGCCCACGCACCCAGAAACAGCTTCCTTGTTCCCGGCGTTGCCCGTTACAGCCGTTCGGCTATGTATGCCAAGAAGGCTCTTCACAAGCGTTCTAAGAAGGGTGTCACTGCTCCTGCTAAGCAAGCTGCTGCTGACAAGACCGTTGAAGTCAAGGGTGCCAAGAATGGTGGCAAGCGTGTGATCCCTGCTGAAAAGGCTCCTCGTTTCTACCCTGCTGAAGATGTCCCCAAGGCCAAGGCTTCCCGCAAGTCTCCCAAGACCGCTGCTCTCCGTGGTTCTATCACCCCTGGCTCTGTTGTCATCCTTCTTGCTGGTCGCCACCAAGGCAAGCGTGTTGTTGTCCTTAAGCAACTTGCTAGCGGTCTCTTGCTTGTCACTGGTCCCTTCAAGGTCAACGGTGTCCCTCTTCGTCGTGTCAACCAAGCCTACGTCATTGCCACTTCCACCAAGGTCGACATCTCCGGTGTCAAGGTACGGTATCCAACAAACGTTGTTGTTGTTGCTGTTGCTGTTGTGGAGAATAAAGGATGGTATATACTTATATATGATGGATAGGTTGATGACAAGATCAACGATGCCTACTTCTCCAAGAAGGGTGCCAAGCAACAAAAGCAATTCCTCGAAGGTGAACAGGTAAGGATTTATATGATTACTTGGTAACCAAAGTATTTGGTATTGATGTTATGGTATAGCAAAAGAAGGCTGCTCTCCCCGAGTCCAAGGTTGCTGACCAAAAGGCCGTTGACAAGGCTCTTCTCGAATCCATCAAGAAGACTCCCTTCCTTACTCAATACTTGGCTTCCACCTTCACCCTTAAGAAGGGTCAGTTCCCCCACGCCATGAAGTTCTAAGTGGTGCTCTCTTCCCATCTTTTCACAATAAAGATTACCTTTCAGGACAATATACAGCAGCTGGATGATGTTGAGGATCAAAATTGTAATGCATTACGTTGTTGTTAGCGGATCAAATTTAGGGGCTAGTGCACCATCATTATGCATGGTGATGGCTCGTGCGTCTCATAGTAGTATTTGGTTTCATTATCAAATTAGGCGAGCTGTATTATACATATGGGACATCCGTAAGCTTTCATTTCCAGTGAATGAGATGCCGCATGACATCCATTGCACATGATCAAGTAATCCCGGGAACAGCATACATGTCAACATTATGCATACCATTATCGTATATGTAACGCCTTCGTTTATTACATCTGCAAGTATAGGATGTTGCAGTAAGATGATCAATTATCACCAACCCCCTCCCTCCTGTTGAAGATTGCAAGTAATGCACCAAAAGGCGTCAAATGCATGATTCTATGCAGGCTACGAGTGGGCTTGTTTCAGAATCAGAACCTGAAGCAAAGAATGCCGACAAGCGGCGGGAGGAACGACACCGATTGACAACAGGGATTGCCATGGAAATCAAAAGTAAGGGATGATGCTGCATGCATGCACCCTAATGGATGATCAAATAGACCGATCCCTACAATGAGACTCGCTTGATAATGGACAATGAAGCGTGTTTGTTGCATGTACAATGGCATCTAATTTTCCCAGACCAGTGGTGATGCATGACATCATTGAGTCACCAATTTGATAGCGTATGCGTTGCCAAGAGCGCTACGCAACTACCATTCCACTCTTCTCTTTTTTCTTTTTCCTTTCTAAATCGCCACTACCATGAAACTTTTCGCTCTCTCGGCGGCTGTTACAGCCTTACTTGCTGTCTCAGATGCAGCATTGAACAGGTAATTGTGCTCGATAAGAAGCTGCTATAGCACCAAGGCTTGGCATATCCCTCCGCGTGTACACATACACACACACACACTCTCTTCCTCTCTCTCCTTCCTTCCCTTTCTCTCTCTCTCTCCCGCATACGCATACAGCCACCACCGACATTAACGCTTTGTTCAATGACAGAATTCCCATTAAGAAGACGATGGAGACACCTGCTCAAAAGTTGGAGCGTTATTCTCACACTGGCGAATACCTTACCCAAAAGTACTTTGGTGCCCAACGCAGCCAACAATCCACCGCCTTGCAAACCTTCCAAGTGGATGAAAACGGCAATGTCGAACATGGTGTTCCTATCAGCAACTATATGAATGCACAGGTAAATGGTGGTGTCCTATCGGCAGTTTTTTTATGTATATACCTACGGAGAGATGCTCATGATGACGAATCTAGTACTATGGCGAGATTGCTCTTGGTACGCCTGCTCAAACATTCACCGTGGTGTTCGATACTGGTTCTTCCAATCTTTGGGTGCCTTCCACACGCTGCACATCCATTGCCTGTTTCTTGCATCGTCGTTATGACGCTGGCCAATCCAAGACATTCAAGGAAAACGGCACTGAATTTGCTATCCAATATGGCACAGGTTCGCTTGAAGGCATCATCAGCGAGGTACTTAAAGAAGAATGGCAATTATGAATGTCTACCTCTCTCTCACTCACACACACATACACACACATACAAATAGGATACGCTTGAAGTAGGTGGTATCTCTGTCGAAGGTCAAGGATTTGCCGAATCCGTCAAAGAACCCGGTTTTACTTTTGCACTTGCACGTTTCGATGGCATCTTTGGTCTTGGCTATGATCGCATCTCTGTTAAGGGTGTCGTTCCTCCCTTTTACAGAATGGTCGAACGTGACTTGATTGATGAACCTCTCTTTTCCTTCTGGTTGAACGGTGATCCTGACAATGAAGCCAATGGTGGAGAGCTTGTCTTTGGTGCCGTTGACCCTGATCATTTTGAAGGTGATATTACTTGGGCCCCCATCAAGCGTAAGGGCTACTGGGAGATTGAGCTTGAAGATATCAAGTTTGGTGGCGAATCAGTGGACTTGGATCCCATGGGTGCTGCTATCGATACTGGTTCCTCGTTGCTTGTTGCTCCTACTACAATTGCCGACTTGATCAATCAAGAACTTGGTGCTGAAAAGAACTGGGCTGGCCAATACACCGTTGACTGTGCCAAGATCCCTGATCTTCCCGAATTTTGCTTTGTCTTTAATGGCAAAGATTTCTGCCTCGAAGGCAAGGACTACGTCCTCAAGGTTCAAGATCAATGCATTTCTGGTTTCATGGGCATGGACATCCCTGAGCCTGCTGGTCCCCTTTGGATTGGTAAGTCTATTCAATGAACATGTACACTTTCTTTTATTAACCATAATCCTTCTTCTTCCTAGTGGGTGATGTCTTCTTGCGTAAATTCTATAGCGTTTATGACCTTGGCAATGACCGCGTCGGTTTGGCAAAGTCTCGTGCATGAATTGATATCTCCGAGTGGAATTTGTAGCAGCAGTGTCAATCTTTCTCTCTTTCTCTCTTTTCTTTTATTGTTCCCACGTCTTTTTATCCCAATTGTTGATAAACGTACAAACGTATATATATATTTTAAACATGGCTACTATCGCTGAACGTGGTCTTGCCCATTTGAAGACATTGTACGGCTCCGAGGCAGCTATCAACCAGGAAGCTGCACGCCAACTAGCATCCAAAGTGGCTCTAAGGTGCGCGTTGTGTTTGTTGCCTCGACGTATTTGCTTATCGTTGTTCCCATCAGCTCCCAAGACATCACCAAACTCAATGTCGATGCTATCGGTATGACAAAGCCAGCCAACATGCACCATTGCATTGGAAACTCATTAGTACTGCTTTACTACAGTCAATGCTGCTAACAACTCACTGCTTGGTGGAGGTGGAGGTAACATGATCGAAGAACATTCTATCAATGATGATGATATGACAGCTGACACACTATTGGAATAGTGGATGGCGCCATCCATAGGTAATGCTGCTACGCGTATATAGCAAGATGGCTTCCTTTGATTGACATGGCAAGAATGTAGAGCCGCTGGACCAAAGCTATTGGAAGAGTGTAGAACACTGAAAGGATGCAAGGATGGTGTAAGTTGATATGCATGTATCATTCAACGTTGTACTCATTGTCATCGTTTTCTTTGTTCAGGAAGCCAAAATCACCAAAGGTAGGAGGACAAAGGATGTCTTGGTCTTCTATCATTGCTGACAACCCCACTCGTTTGCATCAGGATACAATCTCCCTGCTAAACGTAAGTATTGTATTCGTATCACTTTTTAGCTTTATGTCTCACCATGTGTCCATTGAATAGATGTCATTCATACGGTGGGGCCCCAAACAGAGGACAAAGGATTGTTGACAAGCTGCTACTGGGAATCTTTACGTGTGCTGGAAGAGAACAACCTTGATTCAATTGCTTTCCCATGCATCGCCACCGGGGTATACGGTTATGACAAGGAACGTGGTGCCAACGTTGCTCTTGGAACTGTGCGTCGCTATCTCGAGAAAAGCGATAAGGTTAGTATTTAGCCGAGGAGAAGGAGGAGGAGGGGCATGTATTATTGTCGTTATGCTCACCGTTTGGGATATACCTTTCAGATTGACAAGGTCATCTTTTGCCTGTTCAATGACAAGGATAAAGCTATCTACAAAGGTAAGTTCATTTATCATTGATGTATGTGTTGGATGGGTGCTCACACTGATTATAGAATTGTTGCCTGTTTACTTTCCTGGAAGCTCTGTCAACTTTGTATGAGAAACGAGAGACATTGAACAACACAATAAAACAAAATCGAGATCATCGCGAAAGGAATACCTGTCACGGTAGATATCGAGGGGATGAGGGAGGATTTGTGAGACAGTGGTGGAAATGACGATACAGGCTTTTGATATAGATTATCATCATGGTGATATGGTATGTATGTTCTTTCATATCTCGGCAATTGGTTCACCCCCAACTCAATGTATAAGGATGTGCAACAGCAAATTACATATTCGTGAATCATGGCGATCCATATATGGCACGCATCAATTATGGCTGAAAATGGGACTCAGGTGGTGGATCAAGGATCATGAAGACGTGGGATCGTGTTGAACATCATGTGCTCTGGTAAGTGAAACTTTGATCTGCTTACAAAGAAAACATTAACCGGTGACAGATTCTTTGCCTTTTTTGATCATTCACGTTTGGTGCGTTGAGGAGAGAGGAATCCCGGATCAGCGTCATGCAAAGGCTCTAATTCATGCTGAATATCACCAGCAACGCCGCTATTTCTTTTTTCCTATATCGGATGTCCTCATGAAGGTGCGTGATTTTCCCTGGTTCACAAAATACATTGACAGGTTGGCCCGTGATTAATAAGGTTTTGGTGATCCATTTGCCGTAGTAGGCTATGCAGGTGTATACGCCACCATGGGAAATGGCAAAAGGCAAGGATATCTTTGTGATGGATGGTTCCGACATTCTGGAGCAGTTGAACTTGGTGGTGGCTTGCAACGCGGGATCTTCTATCAATACCTGTACTTTCCCGCCTTCCCCCGAGAACAATACCGGAAAAAGGATTTTCAAGTTAAGCTCTTGGTCAGCAGCTGTCATCCATCATGCACAGACATCTGACACACGCCACACACACAACACACAACATCAGGTCCATGATAGGGCAAAAGCACAAGGTAGGTACATAGCTTGATATCGTTGTTGAATACATTGATTCTTATAACGCTCATTTTTCTATGCCAAGGCAGCACACACAACTCAGCGGTTGGGGAAGATATAGAAAAGTTCGCTCGGCAGCATTCCTCTTTTGTATCATAATCCAGGTACTATGCAACTATGTACATACCCTTTTATGTATCAGCTTCATGCGCTTATATATCCTTTTCTTTTACATCAAAGCAGGCTCCTTGTTATAGTTCATCATCATGCAAAGAGGATGGTAGGCATAAGGTGCTTTCAGCATAATACCTGTTTCTAATATGAACTTTTTTCGGTAGATCAATCCAGGCACATGGCATATTAACGGTGAACAACAACGACTACTTTTGGTGCTGCCAAACCCAAAGTGGATTGCCTCTCACCCATTATTCTACCCGAAATGGGGCAACCATCAGGATGACAAAGCGCGTTGGGATGTACCATGATCGGAGCGGATGGGGAATCAAAAAAAGTGGTGCACGCACCCCACAGGCTGTCCCTCGGGTGACCTGCCATTCCGGAACATCGCCATCTTTTGGACCCTGCATTATAAAAGGACCTGCTGTCAAAAACATCCATGCAACTCAATCAGCAAATCCTCTTTTCACTTTTTTATTCCTTGCCTTACATTTCCATTATCATACCATGTCTTCTGTCAGCGCTGCTTTGAAATCACGTATTCGCCGTCCACAACTTCTCAAGAAGGTCATGAAGGCTGAAGATACCGTTCCCATTTTCCAAGATGGTCAATACCTTGGATGGTCTGGATTCACTGGTGTTGGGTAAGACGTCGCTATCTCTCTTTTTACAAAAAGAATCTCGATGACTGATAACTTTTGCATAAAACACAGCTACCCAAAAATGATCCCAGCTGCCCTTGCCGATCACGTTGAAAAGAACAATCTCCAAGGAAAGATGAAGTTCAACTTGTTTGTTGGTGCATCCACGGGTGCCGAGACCGAAGATCGTTGGGCACGTTTGGACATGATTGATCGCCGCTATCCCCATCAAGTGGGCAAGAATATCAAAAAGGGCATCAATGAAGGCCGCATTCGCTTTGCTGATAAGCATCTGTCAATGTTCCCGCAAGATTTGCTCTATGGTATGTGTGTAACACAAGCTCATCATTGTCTCCTCGGGTCATGTGCTAAAAAGAGATGCAACGTTTATTAGGCTATTACACCAAGGACAAGCCCAACAACAAGCTTGATGTAGTCATTGTCGAAGCCACTGCTATCACTGAAGATGGTGCTATTGTTCCTGGTGCCTCTGTTGGTGCCACCCCCGAATTGCTCCAAATGGCCGACAAGGTCATTATCGAAGTCAACACTCGTATCCCCTCTTTTGAAGGCCTTCATGATATGGTGATGGGCTGCAAGCCTCCTCATCGCAAGCCCTACCTTATCATGAACACTGAGGATCGTATTGGCACGGTATGTATTATAAAATTTTGGGTCGGAGCATACTTGAAGGAATCGGGTTGGGGAAGCAAAAAGACAAAAAGAAAGCACGCCCTAATTTTCCACGGATCCATTGCCATTTTTAGACCGCCCTCCCTATCGATCAAGACAAGATTATCGCTGTTGTTGAGAGTGATCGTCCAGATAATACTGGTCCCAATTCGCCTGCTGATGCCACCTCCGAAGCTATTGCTAGCCATCTTATTGAATTCCTCTCTCATGAAGTTAAGATGGGTCGTCTTCCCGATAACCTCTTGCCCTTGCAATCGGGTATTGGTAACATTGCCAACGCTGTTATTGGTGGTTTAGCCAAATCACCTTTCAAGGACGTCACTGTGTAAGTCACCATCATCATTATTGGGCAACCCTGAATTATTGTATGCTGACATAAACATGCATAGCTTTACAGAGGTGTTGCAAGATACTTTCCTTGAATTCTTTGATTCCGATAAGCTCAAGTTTGCCAGTGCCACATCCATTCGTTTCTCGCCTGAAGGATTTGATCGCTTCTACAACAACTGGGAAAAGTATAAGGATCGTCTTTTGTTGCGTTCTCAACAAGTCTCCAACTCGCCTGAAATCATTCGTCGTCTTGGTTGTATCGCTATGAACACCCCTGTTGAAGTGGATATCTATGCACATGCCAATTCTACTATGGTGTGCGGCTCTGGCATGTTGAATGGTCTTGGTGGATCTGGCGACTTTTTGCGTAACGCATCCCTGTCAATTATGCATACACCCTCGTCTCGTCCTTCAAAGACCGATCCTACCGGTATCTCGTGCATTGTTCCATTTGCTACCCATATCGATCACACCGAGCACGATCTCGATATTATTGTGACTGAACAAGGTCTTGCTGATGTTCGTGGCCTTTGCCCACGTGATCGCGCCCAAGTCATTATTGACAAGTGTGCCCATCCTGATTACAAGCCTCTTCTTCAAGACTACTTTGACTTTGCCACCAAGCGTTGTCTTGCCGCTGGTCGTGGTCACGAGCCCCACATGCTTGAAAAGGCATTCAAGATGCATACCAACCTTACGGAAAAGGGTACCATGAAGATTGACTCTTGGTAAACGAGGGGACATGCTCCTTGTTCGTCGCATCATCTCTTTTCTTACACATAGCACACACACACACACACACTCCGCATCTTTATTTTCACATTTACATCACATCAGTCCATTAGCATAATTGCTTCTCTCCCATACACCTTGTACATACCTTACTTAGAATTAACCAAAAAGGCATTTCTGCTCTAATACAGTTTCGTTTTTGCTACTGCTAAGCACAAAAAGAGCCGCATGAATAATGTTCGCATCATGTTGTTTTCTCACATCTTTGTAATGGTTGTGACACTGTGACATGGGTATACCCTGTTATGTGTCTCGTGTCCCATTGTAGCATTCGATCGCGTAGTTGTGGATCTCACGCTTGGTTTTCCCCGCCCTACATTATGAACTGTACGACGCTGCTTATGTGCTCACAAGAACGTGTGCATATCAAAAGAGGAAAGATCAGGTACACAAATTCCTCTGGATTGTACGACCTTGATTATGTATTCATCCCGCATGTCGATTATACACGCCAATCCCCTCTTTCTATGGCTATTCATGCCTATACCATATCCATGGTTGTGTACGTGAAATATACATCGGCGTGTGTATAGGAGTTTCCTGTTATGACCCAGGGCAAGGGAAGCTAATTCGCATTTACCCGCCTTTGTTTGTTGTCGCGTATATATAAACTAACGTTGAGTAAACATTGGGACGATCTTGTATCCTGTCATTGTCGATCTCTCCTTGGCGCAACATAATGGCTAATACTACCCATATGCATTGGATCCTTTTCTCATTGGCTATGATGTTGCTATTGGCAACGGTGTCAATGGCTCATCCTACCACCACCACTACTACCACCGTCCATCGTACTCGACGCTCTCCTGATTATGAGCTCATCAAGCGAGCAACTGAACATGATCCTGAAAAGTGGGCCTTGGATCTCAATGGTGCTTTGCCTAATGGAACCAAGAACAAGTCCGGCTATGCTATGGATTGCACTCAATACCCTCAATCCGTTTCCAAGGCATTATCAGGCGCCACTGCTCGTGCAGCTGATGGTGTTGTCAATGCAACCGCCAAGCAAGTCCAAGATCTCAAGTGGTATATGGCACTATGCACCAATGTCTATTGCCCCAATGTCATTGTGAATGATGTTTGGGATTGTCCTTACTGCAACATGACCGATGATTTGGATATCATCAAGACATTCAACACGAAAAAGGAGGATACCAATGTGCTCGTAGCTCGTGGTGACAAGGAAAAAGGCATCTTTATTGCATTCCGTGGCAGTGGATCAGCAAAGAATTGGATTGCTGTAAGTACGAAGACGTATAGTAGTTGACGTAGTAGACTCACTAAATCTTCAATTATTAGAACTTGGATTTCATTCTTGTGGATTATCCTCCAGCTGATGGCACTAAAGTACACAAAGGTACGCAAGCTGGTATACTTAATACTCACGTACAGAAAGTGTAACGTCACACGCGTATTAGGTTTCTTTGATAGCTACAATGATGTCGCGAATGAGCTCACTCCCCTGGTCAAAGAACTTGCGGGGAACTACTCCGATTATGCCATTCATGTCACAGGGTAGGAGGTGTTCCAAAAAGGAGAAAAAACGATCAATAATGAATGATTCACACGCTCACATCATTGTTTACAGCCATTCGCTCGGTGCCGCTACTGCTCTCCTTTGTGCCATGGATCTTTATGAACAAGGATTAAAGCCTTCGCTTTACACCTTTGGTGGTCCTCGTGTAGGCGATCCAGCTTTTGCAGAATACGTTGTTGGTACCAAGATTCTATATGAGCGCACTGTCAACAAGCGAGATCGTGAGTGCAATAGAAACATGATGTTGTAGTAGTAGTAGTAGTAGCAATAATCACTCATTTCACGTGCTTAGTTGTTGCTCACTTGCCACCCGCTGCATTTGGCTATCGTCATGCTGGTCAAGAATTCTGGATCACTGAGGATGAATCTGTTGGTAAGTAGTGGGGCCATCTATGTATGATGCTTGCCCTCTCTCTCTCTCCCTATAGCATGTATTTACTAAAAGACAATGTGTAATAGTGATTTGCCCCAATGGTGTTGAATCGGACTCATGCTCCAATTCCATTGTGCCCTTTACCAGTACTTCGGATCACACCGAGTGAGTATACCTTTTTCCATCATTGTCACGTGCATCATTCACTCATTTCATACCTCCTCTAAAATAGCTACTTTGGCTTGGATGCCAGCTGTTAATTAATATCATGTACAATCTACCACCATATGTATAATAAAACAATTCTTTATAAGACCTAAATCACAAAAAAGGCTCGCGTGTGTGCGATGTAATTGACAAGTTCTAATCACAAAAGAAAGGGAGGTGAGTTAAACTATCGAATGTACAGCCTTTGTTCAAGGCGCAATGAATCCTTTTCTCTTCCTCTCATTTTCCCTTAACACAGCATTCACAAGTGGACCATAAATCGCTCGATAACACAATACATCCAAGTACCCACACACGACGAGGTGCAACTCAGGAAGAACGAATGTCTCTTTCGCTACACAAACTTGGAAAAGGTTGGTAACGCAATGTCGTATTCCTTAATGTGACCCTTTAATCCAACATCATTCATAAGACTAAACTGAGAGGTACAACGGGTTGCTCGAATGGGGGAGATACATCGATTTGGAAAGTTCTATCCTCTGGGTATGCATTGTGCAAAGGTGAATGGATGGCGAATCATATGCATGGCGTTTCGAAACATGGAGTCGTATGATGATGGTTGTACACCGTTCATAGGTTGCACAAGGATGATGATGATTGTTGCCATGGAATACCATACTTGGATGCACCAATCGTTCAGGATGACAACATCAAGCATAATGGTCCACGTTGATAATTGATCCACCCTCTTTTCCACGTGTTGTGTATATCCAGTTCCTTCCATCCCATATACCAAACCAATATTCTGATCCATATCCATATCGACAAGAAGTCGTATGTATTGAACCAAGTTGCTACGTGTAAATAAAGCTGTTTCTATACAATGGCTATCTGCTGCTCACGTGAACAAGGCTTCAAGGCAAGTTGCTGCAAGTAAAGAACGCTGTTTGAGGCAATGGATTAAAGGCCTTGCTAATAGCAATTGCTGGAATGAATGCTGTTACGATTGGCCGTGGCAGAGGAGTGTGCAAGAGCGTGTGTTGTGTCAAGAGACTCGTGTGTTGAAGTAGAGTGACAAGGAGGCTGTGTACATGCCATGGACTTGCCATTCAGCCAAAGACAATCGGATCAAGGAAGTTGTAGGATTGACATGGTGGGTTGAAGCAGGACAATCGTTCGCAGGTGGTAATCGTGCATGAATTGGGCAACAGTTGAGAATGGAGAAAGAGACAAGAAGTTGTGGGAGTGGAAGGAGTGGAAATTAAGTAGGGCGGACACCTCTTGTATCGATGCACGAACACTGTACATCAATGCTTGATATTGAGATTGCCCCTATCGAACCTGAAACTTTCACACATGGTGCTTTTGGTCATGCTGATCACGTTGATCTAAAAAAGACCTCATGTTTCATTTGAAAATTTGGAATGGGAGGGTATAATGTGGGTTTACAATGTAAATCGCAAATGGAGGACAGCGCCGATTCATGATTTACCGAAATAGTATGTATTACCTTGGGATTCCCCATTTCGAACTTGAAACTTTGTCAGAAGGTTCGCTGGGACATGCTGATCAACTTCATTCATTTAAAAGTCGCAGACTTCATTGTGAAGATTTAAAATGCGGGGGCGGAACAAATGGTGGATGACGGCAACAAAAGAGCGGACGGCCCACCGCCCCGAAGTTGCCCACCTCCAACTTGAAAATTGGTCAGAAGGGTGCTCTCGAGCATGCTGATCACGTTGATCTAAAAAAGACCTCACGCTTCATTTGAAAATTTGAATGGGAGCGTCCAAAAGTTTGAGAGACGGAGACATTCGCAGGGTCTGCGATTCAAGAATTAACATGTTTGCTGTTCCAGCGTAGCTCAGTCAAATCAGCTCGGATCAAGAAGATGAAAAGATGGAAATGATGGGCTGGATCAGGAGAATCGTTCGTATGCAGTGGATTGGGCAACAATGCTGATTGGATAAAAGTAGCTGTTAGCTGCCAATGTATGCACTGCAAATGAAGCCTGCGTACCTGTCAAGTATTGTCCCTGAAGTCCTGAGTTTAACTCAGTTGCACAAAAATGTCGCTCTGCATCTTTGGCTCTATTGTAGTCGTACTACTTGACAATGAACAAAGACCACTTGTCATATAACATCACGCACACAACATAAAGACGCCCGTATCTTAAGATTTTACTATGAAATGTGGAGTCTTTAAGAGAACAAGCTGCTCGGCTGAGTCAAAGCGATCTTGTGTCAAAGTATGAAGTTCATCGTGGCCATTCCCAGATTTCGCAAGGTCGCTACCAGCCAAACTGGATCTGAGGGTCGACCTCTTCGACGACGACGACCCAAAAAATATTTTTTGGGCTGTTTGCGACATTGAACGCGAAACTTTCACACAAGGTGCTGTTGGGCAAGCCGAGCCCATTGCTCTATTCAAAACCCCACGTTTCATTGTAAAGTTTGGAGATACAGGCACCTTTATGTTTGTAAGTGTGATGCTATAAGAAGAGTGGTCTTTGTTCATTGTCAATTTGTAGTGTATGTTTTATTCCGCGTCAATATAAGACGCATTAATATGAAAAGAGAAAAAAAAATTATGTAGGGGAACGTACAAAGCGGCCTTGAGAACGGAAACGTTCAATGAGAGTGTATGCGAGCGTAAAAAGATGGTCTTCATTGTTCATTGTCAAGTAGGTGGACCCTGACAGAGCAAAAGATGCAGATGGTCGTGTTGTGTAACACAGCTACACTTGCATGAATGAAAGGGTCAATGTATAATTACTTTATGGATCATCTAGGAACAGGCATGTATTGCTAGCTATCGGCCACTTTTATCCAATCATCATTGTTGCGAGATCCACTGCATGGGAACGATGCCCCTGCTCCAGACATTCATTTACATGATTAAAGTAGGTTGATCCGAGCTGATTTGACTGAGCTGCGGTCAAAGAGAGATTACATCACTCTGAACATAGAGCACGCTCGATGTAGCTCAACCGATGTAATCTTGTGTGAGCGTAACTCAACCAAATCAGCTCGAATCAACCTACTTTAATCATGGAAATGAATGTCTAGAGCAGGAGCATCGTTCACCTACAATAGAATGTACAAAAGTTGGGAATGCACAAAAGTGGCTATCAGCTGCCAATGTATGACATAAAAGTGAGGGTTGCGTACCTATCATGCACTGTCCCTGAAGTCCTGACTTTTTAGCTGAGTTACCCAAAGAGGTCCTTCTGCATCTTTGGCTCTCCAAGGTCTAGCTACTTGGCAATGAACAAAGACCACTTCTCATATAGCATCACGCTTACAAACATAAAGGTGCCTGCATCTCCGAACTTTACAATGAAACGTCGGGTCTTATAATAGAACAGAGCTGCTCGGCGGGGTGAAAGCGATCTTGTGTCAAACTATGAAGTCGATCGTGGCCGATCCCAATTTCACCCAATGTCGCCACCAGCCAAACTGGATCTGGGGGTCGACCTCTTCGTTATATGGAGGCTTGTTTAGCCTCGGTTTTTATTGGGAGTATGTCTGAGAGTGATACCCCAAAGACGTTACAAGAATGAAGAAATGTTATAGGAAGGAAAGGAGATGACTTTAGACTTATGTTGGATCATTGTTCCCCTTTGACAGGGAACTCACCGAGGAAAGAGTAGTTGGTGTGGACGAAGACAAAGATTTACCTTGATCTTTCAAAGTGTGACAAAGACGTTCAAGTTCAGGAATCGATAAGGAGGCAATAATGGTCTTAGCGTGGTCGGACATAGGATAACGCTTTTCAACATGCTGTACCATGGCGTCTCGATCAGGGGAAGGAGGCTGAGGTTTGAGATCAATTTGGTCATCGGGGATAAAGTCACTAATAATGGCATCATTGTGGCTTTCAAAAGGCGAAGGATCAACGCTGAGCATGGAGATATCTGAATTTGAGCTATTGACTGAATACGATGAAGGCGATGATGGTGTAGGTGGGTTATAAGTATCAGGTGTAGGCTTGACTTGACGGTTGGTACATTGGGCTGCTTGGTGACCTGGTTGGCCACAGGTCCAACAAAGACGGCTACGGCTAGGATGGCGGGGACAAGCAGAGGTCGCATGACCAGCTGTGTGACAACGAAGGCAGTGTAGCGGCATTTCAGCCCAAGTGGCGTGGAACGAATCATCTGATGTAAGCCAAGGGATAGTGTGGGAAAGCTGCTTGTACTTGTAGTTGGCTGGGATTTTCAAGGTAGCGTAACCTCGTCCCATGAAGAGGTTTGATGCATGATCACGGAAGATGCCATAGTCACTAAGGCTACCATAAGGTGCCAGGGATTTGCGAAGACCAAGTCTTAATTTGTCTAGTGTAGTGAATGGAAGATCGGAGAGTTGAAGATGCACTAAACGGGTATCAGCGGAGATGGGCTTTGAGGCAAGAATACATTCACCATCATCAAAGGTGATGCCTGTTACAGATGTCTCTTCACACTGCTTGGATGTGGGAAGGAAGAGCTCAACAATGCGGCGTGATTGATCAGAATGAAGACGTACACCACAATTGTCTGGATAGCATTCGTTGATATAGCAAAGTAGAGCAGCGCGGTTTTCGGGGCGAGACGTGAAGTCGAAAAACATGCTAGGACAAGAAGCTGGGGAACCACCCACCTTCCATACTCTGGAACGGATGGTATTGTCAGTATCTTTTGATATCAGAGACTCCTTTATAGGAGGATGAGCACGCGTAGCATGAGCATAAGATGGGTGACGTTGTTGACTGTTTTGGGTGCCTGATGCCTTATCAGGCGATTTGATAAAATTCGCGGAAGACATGGGTCGACCTCTTCGACAACGACGAGCAAAAAAAAAAATATTTTTTGGGCTAGTTGCGACATTGAACGTGAAACTTTCACACAAGGTGCAGTTGGCCAAGGCGAGCCCATTGCTCTAATAAAAACCTCACGTTTCATTGTAAAGTTTGGAGATACAGGCACCTTTATGTTTTCACTATGCTGTAAGCGTGATGGAGTTGCTTTTTCCTAGTGGATGATGTCGGCTGCATTAACGGAAAGATGAAGAGCTGAGTGAAATGGCACGTGGTGGTTACACAGACACGTCCTTGACAGGTCGCTACACAAATGGATGGATGGTGATGATGATTGTCTTTAGGAAGGTATGTATGCAAGTTGGGGTACACATCATCCAATAAGGAAGGTGTGCCAATAACAATAATAATGGTTCCATAACACATTTGGATGTAGGGGAAGGTCGAGCTGCATAAACCAATTTGCACATGTAAACCCAATAATGAATTCAGTGCGCACGGACATGGCAGTAAGATGTTATTGATGGTTCACTTTTTCTCTTCTCAAGGTCATCCTACTCCTCCTTATTGTATCACAAAAGGCATACACTTCTTGCATGAACGATACATAAGCGAACCACCTTTATTATTCCATCTTCCAAGCTACATTATGTAATCCACAAGATAGCAAAGTCCAAGTGTGTAATAAAGAAATAATGCTTTATCCCATCTAGCTACATTGCCACCATCCTCGTCTTCGTCCTCCATCATCATTCGTACTCGTACTCGTACTGATCAGCAGTCGTCAATCTCATCGTCACCACCTTCAATACCCAAAAAGCACAAAGAGGCCGACTAGGTACGCGTCAATTCCATCCCATCCATCATCATCTTCAACCGTATCCACATGACATGATTCATCCCTGCTGACAACGTGACAAGTAAACACCATGATTCTCATTTGCATTCATCCATCCACCATCACCATTCCAGATCCAACATGTTGGTAGAAAGGAGCCCCAGTGATTGCTGTTGATATGCCTCCTTTTCCATACGATCCTTGGCCACTCTCTCTTTGTTGGTCATGTTTGATTGCAGCTCAACCAGCTGAAGATTGCTTGTATTGATGGCTGATATGGTGTCATCCAAAGTAGACATCACGTTCTCAATGCGTTGTGTATATCCGATTCCTTCCATCCCATACACCAAACCATTATTCAGATCCATATCCATATCAACAAGAAGTTGTATGTATTGTACAAAGTTGCTACGCGTAAATAAAGCTGCTTCTATACAATGACTATCTGCTGTTCACGTAAACAAGGCTGTAAGGCAAGTTGCTGCAAGTAAAGAACGCTGTTTGAGGCAATGGAGTAAAGACCTTGCTAATAGCAACCACTGTAATGAATGCTGTTACGATTGGTTGTGGTAGATGAGTGTACAAGAGCGTGTGTTGTGTCAAGAGATTCGTGTGTTGTAAGAGCGACAAGAAGGCTGTGTACATGCCATGGACTTGCCATTCAGTCAAAGACAATCGGATCAAGACATTCGTAGGATGGACATGGTGGGCTGAAGCAAGACAATCGTTCGCATGGTGGTAGTTGTATACATGAATGGTGCAACAGTTGGGAAAGGGAGGAAGAGGGAAGAAGCGGTGAGTAGAAGAAGTGGATATTGAATAGGTCGAACACCTCTTGTATAAATGCATGAACACTGTACATCAATCCTTGATATTGAGATTGTCCTTCTCGAACCTGAAACTTTCACACAAGATGCTCTTGGACATGTTAATCATCCTCGTTCAAATAAAAATCACACGCTTCACTATGACAATTTTAAATGGGAGTGTGCAAATGGGAGGAAGAAGATATTAGCTGGGAAGTTAAATAGGATATACGGTTTCATGAACATTGTTCAGGGCAGCTTATTAGAGAGGTAGTCATCTTATTGTAAATATGGAAAATATGGATAAAGCAAAGGGTTGCAGGATCCTGTAAAATGTGATTGCATAAACGAGTAGGCTTATTGTAAGATCATTACTCCATACGTCTTGATACTGCCATTCAACGAGAAATCAAGTGAGCAACCTTCGCCGCTAGTCTACCCATTATTCCCATCACACACTAATAATAAACTTTTTTCCTTGACACAAAGGGATGAACCTTTAATACTCTTCATGCATGATGACAATTGGCTATCGTACAACAAGAGAATGCGAATAAATGCTAAAGAATGACGACGTTGCGATAAGCTTAGTCGAAAAGACCGAAGCCCATATCCTCATCGGATTCCTCAGGCTCTTCTTCCTTGGCCTCTTCCTTCTTTTCTTCACCACCAGCAGCGGGAGCGGCAGCAACGACGAAGGCATCAGGGTTTTCCAAGAATTCCTTGATCTTCTCAGAGCCTTCGAAGGTGTAATCGGAAGCAACGGAGACGGCGAGCAAGTTCTTGTAGCCGTTGATGATGGAGTGGGGAACAGCGGCAGCAGTGGGGTAACCAACAGCCAAAGAGATGGAAGCAACATCACGGAGAACAGCAACCAAGTTGGCAACAAGGGTGGATTCCTCAACATCCAAGACTTCGGGAGAGAAGACGGTACCGTCATCGAAGACTTGAGTGATGCTCATACCATAGGTGAAGGGAGAGATGTTCAACATGTTAAGCAAAGAGGCTTCGGAAGCACCAACACGTTCACCAGCAGTGACGACCTTGACATCGCTAACGATTTCAATGGTACCACGAGAAATCTTGGTAGGGATACCGAGAGCTTGGAAGAAAGAGGTCTTGCCGGGTTCCATACCAGTGTTACCAGCAGGAACGAAGACATCCTTGGGAGCATAAGCACCAGCACGAGCAGGAGCAGCAACACGGTTCTCAAGAATCTTTTCACGGATTTCCTTCAAGTCGCCGTTGGTGAAAACGAAACCAACGTTGCCACGGACGTGAACAAGAAGCTTCTCAAGTTCAGGACGCTCTTGGATGAAGCCCTTCATAGCACGGCGGACCATGGTGTTCTTACCCATAAGGACAACAGCTTCACCACGAAGGGAGTGACGAATCTGGTGCATTTGGTTGGAACCGACATTGTCAACGTTGACAACGAAGACGGTCTTGTAGCTGTCAAGGTAGTTCTTGAGCTATAATTGATAAAGAAAAAAAAGTGGCCATGTTAGCATGCATGCCATGTGTATGTTTTTTGTGTATCCACTTGCCTTTTCAAAGTACAATTCCTTGGATTCTCGCTTCGACATGCTGATAGATTTGCTGTTCGAGGACTTTTAAAGAACCTATCATGGATGGATGAATATGTGTGTCGATGGATGGATGGATCGATGATGATGGATCATGGATTACTTACCGAGGGGCAATAGAGAAAGAACATCACAATGCGTGCCCTCTTCATCCATATATGTCCACAGCGGAGTTAAACGTCAAATGCGTCTCCTTGGATACTGCGAACAATGAGCATCTTTTTAGAAACCTATCCTTGAATGATACAATAGGACCTTTGAATCAACACGGTGTAATCCACAAATACGAATTTCATTAAAGCAAGGATATGGATATCTTATCACGAGTGTTTTATCATCCACTCCTTCTCCATTGTAGACGACCATATTTGTAAAGCGTGATTGATCTCATTTATTATGCCCATCTACAGCGTTGACATGATGCATTAAATGCAATGGTCATTCATACAAGAGTTCCCAAAAGGTGATTTACAAGGCCTGTAATCAATCAATGTTCACGTGGATCAAATGTTGGGGAAGGTGATTGAAGACTCAGACGATCATCATAGGGCCATAGTCATTCAGCAGTAGTGGTTGGGGCTATCATAAGCTATGGCTCCTCACTCAACTAGGACGTTGGCATGGTTGGTTCAAAATGGACGACTTGGGTTCATAGGTGGTATCCACTCGAAAGAAAATAAGTTTGATTGCCATGGCGACGATTACCGAATATGATGCAAGGTGAGACAATGCACTGCACCCGCCGTGGCGCGCTCTGCCAAATACAGTGAATTTCGACCACACGACCCGCTTCACCCCACTTTTCTTTCCTGACACAAATGAATCCCTTGCTCATGGCAGACATTCCAGATGCAGGCAAGTGCATTATAGATGACAGACGTCGATCGAGCGATAGATCTAATACCATTGTTGGGTGCAACTAGATATGGAGGATGGATACAGTAGCAGCAGCAGCCATTCTCAGTCGGTAAGTCTTTTTCGGTCTCGTTAAAAGTGTATACAGTGGATAATGGTAAAGGACGCATGATGTTAGTGGATCTCATGGTTCTGCTCGTTACCAGGCCACGAATTCTATTGCCGAGTACCAGAAAGTTTCATTGAGGATAGCTTCAATTTGGTGGGATTATCCGAGCATGTCATGTACTACAGGGAAGCCTATGAAATGATTTTGGATGTTGAGCGAGAGGATGACGAGATGAGCAGCAAGATACCAGATGTCAGCTTACTTGTCCCTAGTGCTGAGATGCTTTACGGCCTAATACACCAACGTTACATCATTACAACAATGGGATTAAGGCAAATGGTGAGTTATCTTTTGCAAAAAAGGGTGTGAGGATAGCACATGAGAATATTGATGCATTGCATGATTTACATCCAGCTCGAGAAATACAAATCAGGCGTGTTTGGATATTGCCCTCGCTTTTATTGTGATCGTTTTGGGCTCCTTCCTTGCGGCCAATATGACCTACCACGAAGAGATAACAACTTACGACTCTATTGCCCTAATTGCAATGATATCTATGTTAGCAGTGCCAAGTACTCCAATGTCGACGGCAAGTATTTTTACATGTCTTTCCATTTGAATCTTTTGCTAAAAGCAGATTGACTTTTGGTACAACACAGGTTCCCATTTTGGTACTTCTTTTCCACACCTCTTTGTGCAAGCTTTTCAAGAGGTTGTTGCTCCCCGTCCACAGAACATTTACGTGGCAAGAATATTCGGATTCCGTGTCAACGAACGCTCCCCTACAGGACCCCAAATGCAATGGCTACGCATGACCAAGCCATGACACAATACATTATAGCTATAATGATACCACCACCCAACCTCTCATCTCGCTTCATTGTGTAGATACATTCATTCTCATTCTAAATAAAGAAACCATCCTGGCTATATAACGCTGACGTATATGCGCGAGGTTGAATGAATCAAAGATAGTTACATACTTCCCAGCCAACAAGTGCTTTAATGTACATGTCTATGAATTTATTTCTTGCTCGACTTTTTCTCATTGGTATTACTAGGATTATCATGGGATGTGCTCTTGTTGCTAATGGTTTGCGAAGTCTTGAACGAAATGATATTATTCTTGCTGGTGATGATGGCATCCTCCGCCAACTACAGCAATCAAGAATAGCGATTAGCATACGATGATAGCCTTCACCACGTAGTATTCCCAATAACTTACCCGTGTGCCACCAGCACACTCAGCGTAGAGATAATACTTGTCAATCTCTGGATGTAGTATCTTTGCAAACTCACGCACAGTTGTATTGGGCCAAAGCAGAATACAATCTCTAAATGCGCCAGGCTTGTTCGAGCTAATCGTTTCAAGAGTGAGATGATTTCCCATTTTCTTTCACGCCTTTATCCATTTACCTTGCTGATCCAAATGTCGTGAGATTCTTCACTGGGAACACTGGAACAACTCCAAGCATTTCTACAGCCTTCTCCAAAACCTCTTGCACACCAGTCGATCCATAGCGATAGAGTACAAGGTCTACGGGAGAGAATCTATCAGCATGTGTGGTCGTTGTGGCACCGTATGATGTATAAGCGCTTACCTTGTACCTTCTCAACACGTCTGTATTTGATAATCCATAATGAGTTGTTGAAAACAACATAACAAAGAACCCAACTTACCCTCTCAGCTTGTCATCCATTGTCTTGAGATCTGAATCCGGCTAATATGATAATGTCAGCCCCACGCGGCCATCCATCCTCAATAAAAGTACTCACCAGATCTTCTTTTGTTTCGACGATCTCTGTTGCTTCGACGTAATTGATATACTTTTGCTTGTGAAGCTTTCGCAAAAAGTTCTCGGCTAGTGCACTTGTGAGCACAAGTTTATTCTATTGTCGATATCAGTATGATGAACGATGCATACCAACAAGGATGTTACCTGATCATAGCGTCGCATGATTTTTGTGATATTCTTATCAGCATCCGCCATATCAATTTTGTTCATGGCCTACAAAGATGATATCAATAAGGCTTTTCCAAATCCAAAGGTATACAAACACACATACCACAATTGTTGGAAACCGCTCATCCATAAAATACTCAACGATCTTCTTTACAGTCTCCTCATCCCATTTCTCCAGGGGCTCCTTGATACCGCTCTTGTCAAGTGCCTTTGCCACAACATTGGATGTGGATCCATAACCTGATAAAGGACGTTCATGGTGAATGGTCATGCTTCTCCTTACTTTTCCGAATCATCATCCTTACCTGAGAATTGGACTTGCAAGGTATCCACGGCGTTTGCCTCTGTGAATGATTATATAAGAACAAGTACGATCACTTTTCCTCTCTACGTTGATTCACTTACTCAATGCGATATGACGACGAACGATACCAGACCACTTTTTCAATAGGTTATTGGCGATCCAGCTGTGAATCTCGGTGCGTAGCCAATTGATATCATTGATTGGATCGTAACCTTGTGTTTCCTTTCCATTCTGATCGGTGGTGCCACTGACATCGACGACGTGGATAAGACCTTGAGCATGACGTAGATCGTCCAAGAATTGATTTCCTAAACCTGCACCTGTTGATGCACCTGGTACAAGACCTGCTACATCCATGATTTGTATCGGCATATAGCGTTGTCCATCCACACATCGGCCTAATTGTGCTCTGTGAGCCAACAAAGCGATCAAGTATGCACCACAAAAGTTTACCATATCGAGGACGGCACTGGTCTTGCTTCCCAAAGCGCTTACAGGGACACTGCACAGGGACATAGCTGACACCGTGATTCGGCTTGATTGTCGTAAAAGGATAGTTGCCTGGCACAATAGGGTGAGCAAAGGCCGATCGTATTGCTTAGGGTGTCGAGATTCAATTGCGTACCGACTTTGGCAGTTGCATCGGACACTGCATGTCAATGGTGGTGAGTGCTTTTGGTTCCTGAATCCTCATGTCTAATGTCGTTCAAAAGTACCTGCGTTGAGAAAGGAGGACTTGCCTGCAGAGGGCTTTCCAACACAAGCAAGCAACACTTCCTTGACCATATTCAAGCAACGAAACAAGCAAAGATGGCACCAAGTCAAAGCAAAATGCTTCTACTTTTCTGGCTCAGACATGTATATAAGCCTGTCATGTGACACAAGATATGGATCCCTGGAATCCGGAGCGCATAGCAACCCTTTCTTCACACTTTGTCAGTCTACTCCACCACCATGATACGATACCTTTGATTCATTGATCATTGTATTCAACCACCCTGCATTTGTACATAATGAGATCCCCATCATTCTTTATTACATTTCATTGTGCTGAAGCAATCATTGTCTTTGTTGTGAATGGATTGGCGGTTTATATCATATGAAAATGATATCATTATTAGAGCATCAAGTACAAGGATCGCTTATATACAATCTACCAATGTATAGATCACATGATGCCCGCATTGGAAAGGGGGGATGGTGGAAACAAGAATGAATGAATGTTTGTATGCGACGCGTGGATGTGACGCAGGGGTCAACAGCGTCATTTATTACTATCCAGGATCATCTGATGCGTGTGCAATGTTGTGGAGAGATCATGACAAGTTGGGCATATCTCATCCAGATCAATCTTTTCGCTTATCATTTATCGGGGGACCCGAGTATGCTCCTGCAGCATGCGATGATTGCCCTTTGATGAGTTTAAGCCAATGAGACGGTTATCAGTGGACATCTATAAGCTCTAGACAACATACACAATCTCCGTGAATGAACATCTCAGCGGATAAGACAATGCGCGGGTCTTGAAGTGACGACAAAACCTATGATGCAACTGGGGGGAGGATGATGAAGATGTCATGTTTTCTAAAGGAAAAAACGCGACTGACTTTTTTTTTCTATATAAGCTTGCATCCGGTTTGCCGATTTGTTAAACGCGTTTTCTCTCTTTTCACTTTTTTACTTTAAAAATCATGGGTCTTCTCGACGTTGTTCCTGCTGGTGTCGTTACTGGCGATAACCTTCGCAAGCTCTTTGAATATGGTAAATAAATGTCAAAAGGTTCCTATCCTATCCCTTCCATTCACACATTCATCCTATATAGCTCGTGAGCACAAGTTTGCTATTCCTGCCATCAACTGCACCTCCACTAGGTAAGCATTGGGGGAGCGAAATGATTACACAAAAAAGGGAAAACGCGGGAAAGTGCCGCCTTCCCATCGCGGCTTATCGCGGAAATTGGAACTGACTTTTGTTTATCATAGCACCATCAATGCTGCTCTTGAGGCTGCCCGTGACATCAAGTCGCCCATCATCATTCAATTCTCTAACGGTGGTTCCGCCTACGTTGCTGGTAAGGGTTTGAGCAACAAGAACCAAGAGGCTTCCATCATTGGTGCCGTTGCTGGTGCTCAGGTAATGTATACATACATGGTCTTTCATTAAAGGGACCCTTGATCTAACATGCGTTATAGTACGTTCGTGCCGTTGCCAAGGCTTATGGTATCCCTGTTGTTATCCACTCTGATCACTGTGCTAAGAAGCTCCTTCCTTGGTTCGATGGTAAGCATACAATCAATCAATCAAATCATTACGATCACTTTTTAATTAATCACTTCCTCTATTATAGGCATGATTGCTGCTGATGAGGAATACTTTAAGGTTCACGGTGAGCCTCTCTTCTCTTCTCACATGCTTGACTTGTCTGAGGAGTCCAAGGAAGAGAACATTGAGATTTGCTTAAAGTATCTTAAGCGTATGGCACCTATGGGTTGTTTGTTGGAGATGGAGATTGGTATCACTGGTGGTGAGGAAGATGGTGTCAACAATGAAGATGTTGATAATGCCGCTCTTTACACCCAACCTGAGGATATTTGGGAAATCTACAAGGCCTTCAGTGAGATCACTGATTTGTTCTCTATTGCTGCTGCTTTCGGTAACGTCCACGGTGTGTATGCTCCTGGCAACGTCAAGCTTCATCCCGAGTTGCTCGGCAAGCACCAAGCTCATGTCAAGGAACAACTTGGTACTGAAAACAACAAGCCCGTCTTTTTCGTGTTCCACGGTGGCTCCGGTTCCACTGAGGAGGAGATCAAGACCGCTGTTGAGAACGGCGTTGTCAAGATGAACGTTGACACTGATACTCAATGGGCTTACTGGATCGGTCTTCGTGACTACTATGAAGCCAAGAAGGATTATCTCCAAACCCAAGTTGGTAACCCTGAAGGCGAAAACAAGCCCAACAAGAAATTCTATGACCCCCGTGTCTTCATCCGTGAAGCTGAAAAGACCATGATCACCCGTGTCCAACAAGCTTGCAAGGATCTCGGTAACGTTGAACAGTTGTAAAACAACAACATGTACTCTACACTTTTCAATGCACTTTTTTGTACATAAAACACGACGACAATTCTTTATAATGTGTGTTGATGAAAATGGTGTTGATAATACATGGGGTGTATGGGTGATGCTATGTCGTCTACTACTAATATTACTCGTCATTGTCCTTCTTCTCATCGGATGGTGGATCCTTCTTCTTGTCTTCATTGTTGTTGTTGTCTTTAGGCTTGTTGTTCTTGTTGTTCTTGTCATCCCCATTCCAAAACACATCAATGGTCTTTTTGGCGTGATCCTTAAGAAGTTGTAACTGATCCTTATTGGTGGTAACTTCATAGACCCTTCGAAAAAACGTTGCTTGTGTTCCATCCTTCCAAGAATCAACATAGTTCTTTGATGCATCATATGACATCTTGGCCACATGGCTAGCTGCAAATAGACATTTTGAGTTTCAACATCCCTCCTCCCATGTGATGATGGGTTGTTGTCCACAATTTACCTTGTCGTCCTACTCGATCCAGCTGTTCGCCAAGATTGATGTTATAATCAGGATCCGTTCTATAAGGGTCACAACATTAGTGGGGGTAACGTTCTCGAGCGACGAAATGAATACTTGCATATCCGCTACAAGAAGAAGAGAAAGCACATACATGTTACTACTACTTGTGTACTAATCAAGATACGCCATTAACTACTCACCTATTGAAGGAGGCGATTCATAGCTTGTTGCTTTTACTGATATGGCGTAATTGCGAAGGGGATTGTATTGCCAAATGGATGGTGGTTGTTGGGTAGGTTCCAATGCTCGAACAAGGCACATTGTCTTACACCCTGGATTACGATTGTGCTCGGTGGGAGGTCGACACACTTGAATGCACATGTCACAGTTGCGGTTCCATTCCATCCAGTCCTTCAGTGTTTTGGGTAATTTGACCGGATCGTATTGTGGTTTATCGTTGTTGGTGTTGTTGTTGTTGTTGTCATTGTCTTTGTCGCTCATAGTTGCAGGAAAAGGAATTGAATACGAGGAGTTACCCTGCAGGGCCAGAATTTGTTAATGCGGCAGCACATCATTTGGATCGTGCATATGGAAACCCTACTTAACCAATCACGACGATCCTATTGTAATTACATTTCTGATCAAAGTATACGTATGAAGAGACACGACTATAATGAAATTCTATTATGTAATGTGTATGCTTGTGAAAATGCATTTCAAAAATGATAAAGGAGGGGACGCAATGCTATGCTATAATACTATTATTAACGATGGGAGGATTTCTTGTTGTTGTTGTTGGATGCAAGTGTTGCTGTACTCTTTGTGCTTGCACCTGTGATGGATGAGCTGATCGATCGCATAGGTCGAAGACGATGCAAGCTGGGTTTTCTGCTGCTGGTGCTAACGAGTGAGCTGGTGGAAAGAGAAGCAGCAATGTCCTGACGGCCAAGTGATCTGTCGCCACCATTTTCTGCAGCACGAGATAACAAGTGCATCAATGCTTCATACCATACATCATGGCATGCCATATCAGGCGCTGTGACCTTGAGGGGACGTCCAGTGGTTTGAATGAGCAAACTAACATTGGGTAATCCTTGTGGATGAGGGGTAACAATGGTGCATACGCTTTCAATAAAAGCTATAAAGATAATACACATGAGTAACGTGTTGTGGATCTAGTATTATTGATGGGGGTTTTACTTACCACTCTTGGCTCGAGATTCACGACCATCTGCACCAGGTTCATCGGCACTCCAATAAAGCGTGCGCGTATAGGGATGGATCCAAAAGAAACGTAAATGGCGTCGTTCTGATAAACCACCACCCACCGTCTTGCGAGTGTATTTCCACATCCAATCACCAATCATGGTCCTTGTAATCAATGTAATAGCACTGCTAGGTCCACCAGCACTACCCATGCTTGCCAAATGGGATGCATCCATCATCATGTGCGACGACGTTGATGTTGCCGAAGCCATCGTAGATGCTGTACTACTAGCTGATTCGCGACGATGCTTGTAAGTCATTGTTTGTGTATTGATATAGGCAACACCATATTCATTTTCGATTTGCTGAACTTGTTGTTGCTCATTGGGAACACCACCACCGCCACCACTTGTGGTCATCATACTACGCATGGATTGGCGTCGATAGGCTGCAAGAGCTGCTTCCACCATAGCGTCCGCTTCAGATTGTGTCAATAGCTTTTCTCCATTGCTATGCTGAGTTACGCTCACATAGCCGTATTCTTCGCTATTGGATCGAGGAGGTTGTGATGGCGATGGTGTTGAGATAGAAGGAGCAGGTTGTTGCTCTGGTGATGATGATGCATGCTGAGATGTCTGTGCTCCAACAGATAACTCCGCAACTTGCTTTGCTTGCATTGAAGGTTGTTGTTGAGCAACAGCAAAATCCGAAGAAGCTGATGATACCATAATGGATGGCATTGTCTGTTGTTGCATTGATGTCATGTTTGCAGTACTCAAGTTTTGAGAATCCTTGATAGCAGGTTCATTGCGTGTTGTTGGTACAATGTCGGTGGATTGGAGAGATGTTGATGTGAGTGACATGTTGTTATTGTGGTCCAAAGCAGGAGTAGTATCCTAAATGTCAAAAGATTAATACTTCATCATAGGGGGGAAGGTTAGAATAAAAGTTACCTTTTGGATGGATGTTTCAACCGTAGTAAAGGAAGGTGCGTGGGGTTGTTGACTTTGAGTAGAAGAAGGCGCAACATCGTGTGCAGCTGATTTAGTGCTTTGGAATGCTGTAGCTTGTACTGATGACACATTTTGGCTCTGTTCTTGTGTGAACGTTGTTGCTGCAACCGTGCCAGACGGCTCAATATTGATAGCTGATACAGCGTGCGCGTTGAAATCTTTTTGTGACATCTTTTCAGTAACGTCGTCATGTGTGTTGTTATTAGTAATCGTCTGCAAGCCGGTATAGGGAGAGGATGATGTTGCTGGTGCAACATGCATGGAGGAGCTTGAAGTAGTGGATAATGTAGGCTGCTGTTGTAATGATGGCGTGTCCTTTTCAGTGATGGGCGAAGATGCCTCAACATTCATGTTGCCCGTAAAGGATTCTACTTGATCGGCAGAGGATGCATGTGTGGATTCGATCACAAACGACGATCTCGATTCAACAATCTCTCGTTGTTTCTTGGTGGTAGAAGGCTTTACATCATCATGGATGAACGTGTCATTTGATAAGGTTGGCTCTTGTTGATGGGTCGATTTGGCATTATCGTGTGCTGTAGTCCAAGCACTCGTTTGCTGAGCATTGTTGCTAAAGACATTATCGTGTGCTGTAGTCCAAGCACTCGTTTGCTGAACGTTATTGCTAATTGCAGCCGATTCCTCCTCCTTATTGCTGAAAGAGTGAGATGGCATACTGTGCTCGGAGAATGCAGCAGATTGAATGGGAGAAGTAGCAACATCGAGGTTTTCCTTTGATACAGGTTCAAAAGAAATGGGTGGAAGGGCATGAATCGTCATTTCAGGTGTATCAACAACAACATCATCGCTGGTGGATTTTGGTGCAATATCCTGCAAATGGATGTTGATGTTGTCACTCAATTCTGGGATTGTCGGCGGTGCATCAAAGGCTTGGCTGGAAGCATGGTGTAAAAGAACCTTATCGGTTTGTGCATCCATATTTCGAGTCGACACAGGAGGCTCGCTTGCTTTTGGTTCGACTAGGGAAGATGTTGCAATTTAGCATTATGTATGCATGTATAAAAAAAGGATGCTCATTCACATACCTGAAACGGCATCCGTAGCATTGCGAATGGTGGTGTACTCAACAACGTCCTTTGTTTGTGTAATGGGCTCATTGTGTTCCTGGATTGTGTCACATGTCGCTGTACCCACGCTGCTCATTCCCAGTCCACGTTTCACATCGTGTACCACCATTGGAGAAGATGACACTTCATGCTGTGTGACAACATCAACCTTTGCAAGTGCCGGTTCTTCTTCCTCTCGTACTTGGTCACTTGGCAATGAATGTTGGGTATTCGTGTTGTTCTCTACAATGCACTTTATAAGTACATTGCTCTTTTCCCTTACTACGTTTCCATGGTTACCTGATAAAACTCGAGTTGTGTTATTGGCAACAACCTTTGCAGGTTCCACATGTGGAATTGACGACTCGCTCCATGTTGCTTCGGTTGTAGCAATATCAAATTCACGACGAGGGACATTTGGGATTGCATGCTGGGATGGCTGATCTTGTTGTACGAGAATGGGTGTATCCTTCAAAGATGTTGTCGCATTGATACCAGTATCCACAAGCTTAGTCGTTGCTGGTTCAGCGCCATGTGCATACAATTGTTGATCATTCCATATACGAAGATCCGTTTGCGTACTCGTAGTAACAGGTTCAGGACGTTGTTGATCCACAATTGGTTGAGGAGATTGTGGTGAAGCCGACATGGCTGCATTAAGTTGATCAGCAAGTGTGGATTGAGAAGGTTTTGGTGAAGGTGATGATGACATGGCTGTATTAAGTTGATCAGCAAGTGTAGATTGAGAAGGACGTGGCGAAGGTGATGATGACATGGCAGCACCAAGCTGATCGGCAAGTGTGGAATGAGAAGGACGTGGTGAAGGTGATGATGATGACATGGCAGCATTAAGTTGATCAGCAAGCGTGGATTGTGTGGATATGGATGGCTGAGGAGCAGGCTGTTTGTTATCTTCATCATCGCTTCGACCCGATTCTTCAGATGAAAACATGACCGATTCTTCATCATCTTGTTCAGATACATCACCACTACGTGTAGTCGATGGCATACGAACACTTGTTCCTCCACGACGTGCAGCCTTACGACCTCGTTTACCACCACCACCACGTCGACCACTTGATCCACTTTGTTGATGTTGTTGTGATGATGATGGTTGCTGATCGACCCACATTTCATTTTGCAGTTGCTCAATCGTCTCCTGGGATTCAGCCAACAACTTTTTGAATTCGAACTTCTCGGTCTTCTCTTTATGTAAATTCGACCGCAAGTTGGATACCATGCGATGGGCATGAGCAAGCGAGCTTTTGAGCGTCTCCACCTCGAGTTGCTGATTGCGTGTTGTTGATTTTGGTGATCCAAGCTTATCATCATTCGATCCATTCATGGATGCGTCCTTTGTTGTTTCGTCGGCAAGCTTATCGATTGGTTCAGATGCTGATGTCGTGGTAGGTGAAGGTGGTATGGATGATCTTTTCTTATCACGTGAAACGATGCGTGTCTGTGCACGAGCAATGGCGAGTTCTGATGTGAGAGCATCGATTTGTTTGCGCATTTCGAGCTTTTCACGTTGCAATCCAGCTGCATGACGACGTACAACACCCATATCATGTTCATGCCGTGTTTTCATCGTTTCCATGGTTGCACCCTGCTTCTCCTCACGATCTCTCATCTTGTCCATCTCAGCTTGTAATTCATTCAACTGATGCGTCAATCGACTCTGTTCAAGGTGTGCACGATTCAAATTCTGCTGCAAATCGGTGATGTTGACTGATAAATCCTGCTTGGCAAGTTCTAAATCCCATGTCTGCTCCTTGAGCCGATCTATAAACATCATTAGATTAGACTATGCATAAGCTGATAATCCATATGCATGATAATAATACCTTGTACTTCTTCGCGTTGACGCAATTGGCTAACCATGAGCTCATTATCTCGTTCCAAATCCGCTTTTTGACTAATGAGTTGATTGACTTGTTGTTCCTTTTGATGAAGGGCAGCCTGCATTTTCCGCACTTCCAACAATAGACCTTGACCAATCTCGGTGGCAAATTCAATGTCATTACCACGGCGCCCCTTTTTGGTGGTGGTTGTAGTGGCTGATGGACCCAATTCATTCAAAAGCTATATTACATAGATAGGGGAAGACCCATCGTTAGGAGATGAAAATAGATAAAAGATATACACGCACGCCCATCTCAAACAACAAGCATCATCATCAACATCCTCCTCTTGCTCTTCCTCCTCCTCCTCCTTCCCCCCTTAATCTCCTGAAACAAACATGCCCACATACACATTGAGCATACACACACACATATATATATATATATATACTTACTCGAGAAGATCGATAGTCGCGTTCCAAACTACGTAGTCTTTCTAAACTTGCTGGTGTCAAATGTTCATCGTCGTCAGCGAGTGGACTATGTTGTAAACGACGCTCTCTGTCTGCCATAGTACGAGGTCTCGGAGGTCGTAATGAAGTTGAGGTTGAATTGGAAGGTGATGGTTGAGTCGAAGCATTGCGAGGAAACGCGGGTGTTGACAACGATGGTTTAGGCGATGGGACCATGGGTGAAGGATCAAAAGGAATGAAAAGGGAATGCCGACGACAAAAGAAGAGTTGTTGTAAAGAAGACTAAAATGAGTGGCAAGCTCACACACACAGACGAGTTGTGTATGTTTATATAGATATTAGAGAGAGAGGGAAAGAGTGGTGGAAAAGAAAGGAATAAAAAGAGAGAGAGTGAAAAAAAGCGAGATATGGTATGTGTGCGAGGGATAAAAATAAGGAACAGGTTAGGCTGCTGCAGTCTTTGATATGGCAATTGCCGATCGCCGTTTACACACATGCCACACGAGTTACAAACCATCGTGGCGTGGTTAATTTGTTGATCCTTGTCCTACGATTACTATTTACTACCATTCCTACCACTATTTTACTCCAGGGCCTTGTAAATGGTTACTGTGCATATACACAGCACATCACACTCTACATGTATGTACATGGTAGTAGACATGCCATCCCGTCACTGAGCAAAACCTTGATTCACGTAACACAAGCATGTCTAAACCGATTCCGACCACTATTACAATCAACCCAACCCCTTAATATTCATCTCTGTTGCTCTCTTTCCTGTTTCCCACCAACTGCACAATAGCCATGTCGCTTGGTCACTCTTTCAAATTGCAAGTATTATTGTCCGCTACTACTCCTTCCTTTGATCTCCTTGGTTACCACTTGTTCTCTCCCTCCCTCCCTCTCTCTCGACATCTCTCATCACCATACACTTCACCACCACCACCACCACCACACGCGCTATTACTCCCATATTAATATCCGCCTCTTTACAACATTTAGAAACACTGGTGCCTTGATCCCGGCAATGGTAATCATCCTTTTATTGACCCGTATTATTATCTAATCTTATTCTTTCGTAGGGTATACATCATAATTCCACGTACACATGCTTTACTTAACACCACAAATTAATTGTCCAGGTCTTGGAACGTGGCAGTCAGAGCCCAAAGAGGTCTATACAGCTGTATTGACAGCATTAAAAGCTGGGTAAATGCTCCTATGACTATTTTTGCATCATCCATGTTGCTTACTTTGTATCTCATTTCACAGCTATCGTCACATTGATACTGCCTTTGTTTGTACGATGCATCTATGCTTTATGTAAAAGTGACTTTTAACTCACATAAAGATCCATAGATCGCAACGAAAAGGCTGTTGGTCAGGCCATCAAGGATAGTGGTATCCCACGTGAACAACTTTTTGTTACGACCAAGCTGTAAGTTGTCTCTACACGTTTACGTTTTGCTTTATGGCTAATCAATGCTCATGCAGATGGAACACGGCTCACCGACCCGAGCATGTTGAAGACGCATTGAAACGCTCGCTCGATAATTTGCAAATGGATTACCTTGGTAACGAACATACAATGACTATTTTGATTCCCAGCAGCAGCAACCCTATTGATTGTGATTTCTAGATCTTTACCTTATGCACTGGCCCAATGCCTTCCAGCCATCGCCACGTTACTTTCCTCGGGACAAGGAACATCGTATTGTCCACGATGATACCGATTATTGCGATACGTACGCTGTAAGTGATCTATAATGTGTGAGAGTCGGATATGAAGCGGCATATGGATTATGCCATATTGAGCAATCTCTATCACGTAAGCTCGAAAGAAACTCATGTGCATGGGTGTACATAGGCAATGGAAAAGTTGGTGGGGTCGCGTGTGCGTGCCATTGGTGTCAGCAACTTTACGCAAGATAAGCTTGAACGACTGCTCCAACGAGCCAAGATTGTTCCTGCAGTCCACCAAGTAGAATTACATCCCTATTTCCCACAATACGAATTGGTGGATTTCTGCAACAAGCATGGTATCCATGGTAAGTAAAGATATACACACCCACATCCCCGCCAAAATTCAGATCCGACAGAGGGAAAAAAAGAAGGCATTAACATTGTACATAGTTACTGCTTACTCGCCATTGGGAAGCACATCATCGCCTATCATGGAAGATCCCAAGCTGGTATGTAAGCCCAATAGTATCACGTGCGATCCCTTTCTCATGCATGATGTATGTATGTAGTTGGCCATTGCCCAAAAGCACAAGGCCACGCCTGCCCAAATTTTACTCGCATGGGGTATCCAGCGTGGCACATCTGTTATCCCAAAGAGTGTTACTCCTTCACGCATTGAGCAAAACTTTCAACAAGTTGTATTGGATAATGACGACATGAAGACTATTCATGGGCTCACCAGCAATCCTAAACGTCTTTTGGATCCCTCTCATATTTGGGGTGTCGATATTTTCAATGAGCAACCCCACATTAACAAGTCCAAACTGTAACCATAATAAACATGTTGCTCAAGTATGAAAGGCAGTGATGTATTCACGTAATTTGTTGTCAATCCATAATCTACCCTGTGTATCTTTTTTCCTCTCCCTCAGGAATTCTTGTAACAAATCACGGGCCTTGTCTTCTTGATGGGCACGTAACCAGACGTCCATCATTGCAATGTAGGTGACTGTATCAGGTAGATGCCTGTCGCTCTGCTTCATCAAGTTGAATATCCTCACTGCCATCTCGGGTGCATGGTAGATGCCACACAAGTGTAAAAGGACTGTATAGGTGATCACTGTTGGTTCCACACATCGCTCCAGCATATCTCGATGAACTTGAAGTGCACCATCCAATCCCGATAAATCCGCTTGTACCATCAAAAGAATTGTGTATAAGGTAGAATTGGCCTTGATACCAGCCGCTGCAGCATGATCGGCAATGTTGATGACGAGATTATTAAAGTGTCGTTTATGCCGTGAACGAAATGCCTTGAGAATGGATGTCACGTGAACCTCCGTGATTGGAATCTCACGCTTCAACATGGATTTCACCCATCGCAACACGCTCCGTGCATCATGTCGTTTTGCAAATGCCTCGAGTAAAATGCTGTAATGATATGCATTGGGTTGAAATCCTTGTTCTTGCATCATATAATACTGATCCATGAGCGAGCGATTATCACCTGATTCCCGATGCGCCAAGAGTAAATGTGAAAAAGTAGCTTCATCAGGCGATACATCCAATTCCCTCATTGCACGGACCATATCCTCAGCTTTGTCAGACATCCCTTGAACTGCATAGATATGAATCACGGCATTGAATCCATCCAATCCAGGTCGAATACCCGCTTTGAGCATTGATTCAAATACTTCAAGCGCTTCATGATATTGTCCACGTTTCCTCATTGCATCCATCAAATTCGTATGCGCCGTTTCAAAGAGAGGATCATTGGCGGTGGTGTCTTGATTACATCGACTCTGTACCAATTGCCGTGCAGATTCAATGGCATTGAATTCAAGGGCTCGCCATACCAGTTCAGCCAATGCACCGGGGGATATATCACGTGATTGCATCATCATCAAGCCTTTGGCAGTACGATAGTCGCGTGTCTCCAAATGATAATAGACTTTGCCAATTTGCAACAATTCCTCCTCTGTCAATGTACGTCCGTTTTCCACCACACCGGCATGTCGATAGGCGATCTCTTCCAATCGTGCTTGCTTTTCAGCGCTACCCAATTGGCGTTGTTGTTGGATCAAAGACATGAGACGAAAAACCATATTGCGTGGGACTGAATTGAAATCCTCCAAATCCAGGTACATGGACCAAGCAACCCGAAAATTGCGTCGTTTGATAGCACGTTGCAGTAATTTGTGTGGTGGTACAGGGATCACTTGAGCGTCTGTCATGAATTGTGTGCGTGGAATCTCGAATGTCTCCTCCACATATTCAACCAACCGTTCAATCTGCCGTTGTCGATACCCTGATACCTGATCGCCACCTGCAAGGGCCTTTGCATACGCCAATACAGAATACAAGGATGAACAAAGGGGTAATGGGATATACTTGTGCTGTGATAACGTCTTGAATAATGACCACGCACTCTCGGCTTTGCGTAGACTAATCGCACGCTCCAGATCAACAAGGGTTACATAGTCGCTGAAATTTAAAACGGAAATCGACTCGCTGGCAATGGGTAGATCTTGTTGACGCGTGATGCTGGTGGTGCTGTTGTGTTCAGTGGATAAAGCGGCTGCTGAGAAATGTCGGCGAGAAGAAGGAATGCAACAAGAAGAAGAAGAAGACGAGGAGGGGGAATGACGATGACGATAATGGTGGTGGTGGTGACTTTGGGGTATCTGCCGTTGCCTAGCATGCTGTGTCCATGGCGTGTCGAATGCTTTCAACAGTGCTCGTAATTGTGAATCCCAACAAGGGGACAAGGCACTACAAGGTCGTCGCACCACTCTTGACTGTATCAGGGCAACTGAAGCTTCCTTGAGGTGCCAAGCTGACCGGCGCATAAGTCAGGTATATGTATATATATATGAAGGGGGATGGTTGAGAGTGTGTGTCTACAAGAGGATTAAGGGCCACTTTAGGGATGTGAAAAGTTATTGCCCGCGTGACTCTATTTACTAACGAATGACGTTTAGCATGTCAGGGCCAAACATTCTTCCCGATGCTGACACTCGATATTGATTGGATGAATACCCACATTTGACAGCTACTATTGCTCTATTTCATTGATGTACTTCATGCTCGGCATCATATGCAAATGACTCTTTACATGATGATAGTGGGATTTATTGTAACAATAAAGAAACCATGTAAGGAATAAAAAAAAGTCTTGGGTTACCTTGTACGTAGTATATGTATACACTCTTGTTTGCCGATGTAATGGATGCATCCTCTTAAGAATTGGATATCATGGATACAAGAAGGGTGGGTGATATTGACCTGGTAGAGCAACTTGGTTAAGTGACATGATCCAAATGGGGTAATCGGGAGAAGTACTCCCTTTGCTAATGGCTTAAATGCCAAACATGGAATATAGATACTCCCAGTGGTTGATAATGTTTACATCTCAGCGTGGTTGTCGGATGCAGAGTAATAAAACGAACTCCCAAAGATGTCAACATGGCTCTAACAAAGACCTTTGATGAGAGAGAGACCAAATCAGGATTCAGTTTTTCCTTTATGCAACAATGACAACCATTCTTTTTCACGGTGCCATCATGCATGATCAAAACCCATGGAATACCCATGATTGGCTGTTGACGTCAAACAATGATTTCCCCCCATCACAATATAAAGAACAGATCGTTTATGCATTCATTGTTCTTCAACATTTCAATTCAACATGCCATCTGATATTAAGCATCGATATCAAAAGGGACCTGTAATGAAGAAGGATAACCCGCATGTGGAAGAAGGCGTTCAGTGGCCAGGTTGGTAGTATTCAAGATGGTGTATTCATCAATGACATGCTTACGAATTCCCTGTAGCACTTATGAAAGCTACCCATCGTCGAAGCTTGGATGCCTCTGCAAAGAAAGACATTGCTGAAAAGGCAAGCAAGTTGTATAGTCGAGATCATGATGAGCCTCTTTACATCAATGTGGATACTGGTGCAGCCATGAGACGTGAGGATCTTCCTCAAGATAGCGAGATTATCGATTAGTCTCTTTATTGTATATAAAGTTTCCCATTTGTGAATTGTATATAAGGTGTGAGCATGCATAAAACGGGATTTTCCAGGTTGAGATCCAATAGCGGTTCAGTATGGGGAGTTCTTTGTTAACCATCTTGTTGGTTGTGTGTTCCACGGGTGGCCACCACTTTTTATTCAACTATCCACCTAATCCAAGACGACCTATTGCATCGACCAACAACCGGCATTCCAAGTCGGCATTATCACCATCCTCTTCTTCTTCTTTGCAAAAACGATCGAGCAGCCCATGTCCTGATGCACGCGATTACCCCCCTGCTACCAAGGAAAATATTTTGAACTTTGACACGGAATTCCTTGCAGGTGCGTTGGCTCCCAAGCTACCGCTATGTGATGGGAAGTTTCAACTGAGTATCGACGAGCTGACGTTTGTGGGGCATCCTGTGAGCTTATCATCCGGCAAAAGTTCGTCGTCGCCTTCCACCAGCAATGGCGGTGGATCATCCTCCACAGCAGCAGCAGAAGAACACAAATCTCACATGACCTTGTTCCATGTTGTATTCGTGCTATCGCCACCTGATCTTGAATTGTATGCTCAAGTCGATGCCCTATATACACACGTCGTAAGGAGGTACACCGCCGCATTGCAATATGAACAACTGAGATGTGGATACATCCAAGATGAATTCGATAAGATTTTGACCATACGAGAAAATGCAAACAAAGGTAAATCGAATGATGATGATGATGATGATGATGATGATGACGGATATGAGACTAATAGAAGGATGTAGGATTGCCCTATGAGGACTTGATCCAAGACATTCTACGTGAATCATCCTTGGCTCGTGACATCAAGCAAATCTATACCGCTTTATCAACCGATTCGATCGCTCATATCATCATCAACGACTTTATCGACTTGTCATTGCAAATTCCCGTGTTTGGGGAAAGCAGCATGGGACCTACTCAGCGTACACAAGACTATCATTATGCATCATTGATGGACATTTATGGCGTTTCCGGATACGAATACGACAACTACCCTGTCATCTGCCCTTATCATACATTGCTGCTTCTTGAGGATCCAGAAGAAGTACTCAAAAACATGCCATTGGATGCTAGCCCCACATTGGTACAATTGGTGCAAATCCTTACGCCCACGCAAAGGTAAAACCTTACAACGTTCATATGATGGTGATCTCATTTTGGTGTATCTGCTTAGTTTACAGGAATTGCATCTTGTCCTCGATTGCTCTCTTGCCCAAATCTATCGACTCGCAGCGCATCTCATTTATTGGAGAAAGGCCAAATTGATTCACACCATTCATGCACGTAACATTTATGTCGTTTCACCACAAGCAAAACTTCAAGAGTAAGTCTATATATTCTTTCATCAATGAGGATAGGCATTGATGTCATTGTATAGTCTAGCCAGCTTGAATGCTGATTTCAAAATGCATGTTGCCGTACCCAATTTGGATTTGCCTCGTTTACTTTCTCAACTATCCATTGCCAAACCACTCCACGTCATTGCATCAAAGGAATTTCGTAATCAGTATTTGGAAGCAATCACGTATCTGGTGCGAAAGGACCTTGTTGTACAGCTGCACATGTTTCTGGTTCTGATCGATCCAACAGCAGGCGGTGGTATGCGAGATGATGATACAACAACAGCACTTAGCAGGCGAAGCAGCTCCAATAGCAGCAACATGGCGGCCAACAATGCATCCCCACCAGCCGCCCTCTCTGGAGATGGTATTCCTTCATCATCAAGTCCTGGAATGGCTGAACGTCAGCGATTACGTCGATTCATCCATGATAAAGCACCCAAGGAAATCATTGACTTGTTCGAAAGGTAATCAATCAGTTCATGCTTTTTATTCCATTGACGCGTTACTTACTGATTTGGCCGTATTTAGGTTGGTGCCTTACATGGATGGCAAGCATCACATTGAAGAGATCATGTATCGTGAAGGCGTTTCAAGAAAGCAGCTTAACCTCGTACTCAAATACTATAGAGACAATATCGTCACCGTATACCATTACTAAAAGAATGAGGAATAATGTGGGAGCATCACCAATGGCCATTTGGGAGTGGAGGTTGGATTGAAAAAGAATAGTGTGGTGTCAACGTTATATGCAACTCGGTAACCTAGTGTACCTGATACAAGGATTCTCATGGTAAAACACCTACTGTATAGATCTTGGTTGATCTTTATCCATGGCAAACCATCGATGCCATTCAAATGGATATTGACCATACATAGTAAAAGGAACCTTTTATTAATGCAGCAGACTATCAAAGTGTGCTCTTCTAATAAGGCGTATAGATCGAGATCTCCTATCGCTTCCAATGCCTATTCAATTAGATGATATTATATCGTGATCTGCCAGATCTAGTAGCCAAACGGTATACTGCGGGGTTTGCCACATGGCCACTGTTAAAGTGTGAGGGAGGGAGTTGGCTACAGCTGATAATCCAAGGTGGTGGGTGGAGTACCTCAAGTTTGTTTTACCCGCTCTTGCTGTCAACGACAACTCTGCAACAAACGAGAGACGATACCTTGCAACCTTTTCTTTATTGAACAACTTTGTCATTGGGTGTCCACAAAACTTGTGTGTCTTGTAGTCGTAACAAGGGGCTTTTTTTTTCTTTTCTTTACCTCTCTTCCACTTCAGCAATCTCTGTCTCTTTCTCTCTCTCTCCCACACACACAACAACGCACACACATATACACATACACACACAGACACATCATGCCACCAGCGCATCGACAGCCGTTACCTCCTTGGCCACAGCTCTCGTTCGTCATGGCAAAGGAGATTCAACAACATGAATGGCATAAAGGATACTTGACTCCAACAGAAGTACAGCATTATGAATCGGCTATCGAGTCATACGGACGATGGTTTGCATTTATCACGGCCTCGCACGAGAATCTGCAGGAGGTGCCATTATCAGAACGCGCCATGGCAGCCATGCGTGTACGTGCCATGCTCACTGAATACCTTGTGCCACACCTCTTCCATACCGATCGGCCGTGTTGTCGCACGTTTCAACTTGATATCGACCAACTATGCGATACTGCACGCTCTCTCAACTTGCCAGATGTCCCAAGTCCAGTACCACCACCAGCACAAGAATTGGAACCACCCGCAGCACCTGCAACACCTAAAGAAGGGGATGAACCAGGTAGTTATATGATCTCTCTTCAAGCTGTGATCCCTATCGTTAACATTGGGATGTCATGTCATTAGCTGTACCATCATCATCTACAAACATCCGCCCAGATATTCCTCTTTCCGACGTCTATCACACTTTGGAAAAGGATCATGCAGCCATGGTGGAATTACAAAAGTTGGAGGCAAGTCATCATCGAATCTATATTATACATCATAGGCTCTGACACATGTAACACGTATTTAGGAATTCGAAGCACAAGAAGAGATGAATGATGAAGGCAAACAACAACAACAGGATCATGCAGTAAGTACTCATTCATATGAATACTTTATATAACGGATGTCACTCATATCGGAATCTTTTTAGCTTTCGTTGATCAATGCAACTGGCAATTTCAATCTCAAGGTAAAAAAGAAAAGTACGAGTGGATGCATGGGAGAAATATACTGATAGGGTGCTCTCCACTAGTACTTGTTACAAGGCATTGCTGCAAATCGAGACAAGACCTCTCTTTCTGATCGAGATATCAAGAACTTGTTGTCTGATTTCAAGCCCCAACATCGTACGAAATGGGTATGTATAGAGAGGAAATGGGTCAAAGATGCTTGGTTTTTGTTAACCTATGGATGGAAAATAGGCGAATGATGATAAGATTGGTCAAGAGGAGCTTTATGAGGCATGTGAAAAGGTGTTGACGGATCTAAAGAACTTTACGGTAAGGGTTCAAGCTTGTTCACTGATAAAGGAAAAGTGTGTCTTATATGCTATGGTAATTAGGACCATTCAACGCCATTTCTTAACAAGGTCACTAAACGTGAAGCACCGGATTACTTTGAAGGTTTGTGAGTGAGTGAGCGTGACATGAACGATGACACTCATTTGGTTATCATTAGTGATCAAGCGCCCAATGGATCTCGGCACCGTCACCAAGAAACTCAAAGGATTGCAATACAAGTCCAAAAAGGAATTTGCGGATGATCTCTATCTCATATACGAAAATTGTCTCATTTACAATACCAATCCAGTAAGTAACCGTTATCGATCTTACTTTGAAGTAGAAAACTGACACACAGTCAATGTAGGCGAGCGAATATCGAAAGCATGCAAATGCAATGCGACGCAAAACGGATCGATTGTTGACACGTGTGCCTGATATCACCATCAGGGATCGAGCAGAGGTGGAGGCTGAGGAATTTGGTGATGAAGCAAGCGAGGATGGTGATTCAGAGGTACAACGAGTACCAAGGAAGGTGAGTAATCCTATTACAAATGGTGATGATTGCTTCATACTGATTTACTATACAAAAGGGCTCTGGAAAAAAGAAGCAATCACCGCATTTGGAGCGAAAAGATGGCATTGATCAATTGCGCTTTGCACGTGAACGATCGTTGACACGTGAGTCAAGTGCAGCACCCTCAGGCACCGAGGCAACACAAGCAGGCAGCGATTCAGAAAGCGTCATCATGACCCCCAATGGCCATGCACCTCATAAAACGTATGGTGGCAAGCATGTCAAAGGAAACCAAACAGGGGAGGTGCCTGATGAAGAGGAAAAGGAGGAGGAAGTTGATCTCGATGGTGATTTTGCCGAGCTACAAGATCAAGTTTGGCGTGATATGACAAAAAAGACGCGTGCAAAGCTTGGGGTATGTGTGTTTTGTGGATCCATGTTGCAGAAGGAAATAGAAACTAAATGATGCAATTTGATAGCTTGAACTCGAGAAGGAATATCAATTTCAATTTTCGGATCGACATGCGATCGTACGATCATCACTCGACATGGAACGTTTTGCACTTATGGAGCACTTGCATCAAAAACCCGAGACAATCCAAAAGCTTGTAAAATGTACCCATGATCGATTTTACAAGTGGGCCGAACGCACAGGATCAGCCATTACATTGTACGACGATGTGGATCTGGATTCAAGCGACGATGAGAATTTGGATGTCTTTTTCTCTCGTAAATTGGCCAAGCCCAACAACAATGAACAAGACGATTCCATGCGTACAGATTTGTTCTTGCCTGAATATCAGATTGCTAGCGGCTTTCCTGAAATACACAATATGCAAGAGGACACACCTGAAATGATGGCACTCGCACGGCGATCCTCCTTGGATGACAATGCATCGGTCAAACTAGAGCCTGCTGGGTAAGTTGGATGTGATGGATGTAGTCCTAAGTGGATGAGACGAAGGATTAATCGTTGGTTGTTAGGTATACGGATGTGCCGCTGGACGTGTATCCATCCGCCAGATTCCCCAACCATGGCCTCAGCAAACAAATCGATCGCAATTTGCAACAATTACAAAAGATTCGACTCATTTATGCAAAGTGTAATGCTATCCGTAATAATGCACCTGTAAGTGAAAGAATATGGGACATGATGATTAGAGGCTCATCAAACATACTTTGATAGATATCAACATTTACAGCAATGATTCCACCTGCCGATTCATTAATAGAGTCTCAAGCATCATCTTCAATGAACGCACTAGTACCAGCTCAGGATGCCGATGCCTATCCACCTCTCATCATCAACCGTCAATCAGGCCTGCAGCTAATGCAAAGAACGCTTTCAAAATTACTTGCCCATGCCGGCTTTGAAGGTGCACAATCCACTGCTTTGAATGTTCTCAGTGAGCTGTTTGTCGATTACCTCTCCAATGTTGGCAAAACGCTTCGGTCGTATTGGGATGATTACGGTAGACAAATGAGCAAAGAGGTAAGAAGAGATGATTTGTGCATGTATGCGTGATACTGATGCCATCACTTTAGGAAATGTTGATGCATGGCTTGTATGAAAATGGTGTTGCTGATATTGGAGAACTCGAATCCTACATCCGAGACGACGTCGAACGCTATGGACATCGATTAGATGAACTGCATAGGAAATTGGAATCATCGTATAATGACCTATTATCTGTAAGTATAAGGAATGCATTATTACTTGAATCGCATACTCATTAACATCGATGGTATAGGGACCAACTGAGAAGACGGAGGATGAAGAAAACATGCTTCTTGAGGATGGCACATTTATAACGTAAGAAGCTATATATGATGGGATAGGATGGCGGAGTAACAGGGCTCTCTTTTTTCTTATGCAGGGGCGCTTTTGGTGAAGACCTTGGTGACGATTACTTTGGATTCAAAGCGTTGGGCTTAGATCAGGAATACAATGTGGAAGCATTCAGTGTAAGTACTGTACAATATCATGTGAAGGAAGGAGAAGGCTCAAACATGTATGATAGATCCCACCACGGTTATGGTTTGGAGGAAACAAAGAAAAGGTGCCGAGCAAAACAATGTAAGTAACACATCCACCTGTCAATGAATGCCCCCTCTAATCATTCTTTCTTTATAAATTAGGCTCAACAAGGGTATGCACAATGAAGTTGGCTATGGAGATGAGCATCTACTGACGCATCCTTATCATATAGAACCTCAATACAAGTATCCTCCTGCACCACCATTTACACCTGTGACCTCCGAGAAGCAAATGATTGGATTACTGCAGCCCTTGTTTCAAAAGAAGCTTGCAGATGCACCCAATGGACGTCTCACCGAGGATGAATACATCCCCAATCGTCAACGTGGTCGACCTAGATACCCTCCTACGAACAAGTTACTGAGTGGTCGAAAGAAGCCATTGAAAGATGCGGGATCAAATAATGCATTGAGTGGTGCAACTGCCGGCGGTGACACAAGAAAAACCAAGCGTAAACGGCCACCAGAAGAGATACAAGCCATCAAAGAGGAACGAGAGAAGAAGCGACGACAAAAGATGGAAGAACGAGCACAACGAGCGGCAGAAAAAGAGGAGAAGCGTAAATTGCGAGAAGAACTCAAAGAACAAGAACGATTGGCGAAACAAGAAGCAAAGGATAAAAAGGTAAAAGAGAAGAATGAGCATGTGTATGTATATCCCGGGTACTCATTCTTTGTATTAGGCACAAGCAAAGAAACCAAACGCCTCTGGGTCTTCCAATTCATGACGACATTATCTTCTCCCAATTTGTTTCCGTCATCTACTACTTGCCACATTCATTTTATCCCATCTCCCTCCCACAACACCCTCCTTTCACCCGATCTCGTACTCGTTTACTACACAACCCAAAAAATACACATACACACACATTGCATGATTTGTACATTGTATGATACAAGGAAAAGAGAATCAAAATTGAGTTTTTTAAATTGAAAGTGTTGCCGGAACTGCTTCCGTGTCTGAGGATAAACAGCTGAGCTTGGGGGGTCTTGTAAAGTATCATTTTCTTCACTTGTTATGCCACAAAAAGTTTGTGCCTGGATAAACGGCGGGTTTGGCTGATGACTTGGTGTAAGACAGGCTGTAGGCATGTGCCACATTCTCTCTCTTGGCATAAATGATCCCGTTTTGTATATAAAAACCTATGTAGATTGTACATTCCATTGCTTTTTTCTTTTTTAATCGTACATTGAATCATCCTCATCACCATGGCTACCGGACAATTGCTTGTGACCCCTGGTAAGTAGACCGGTTTCCATAAAGATCCACCACAAGATCCAGTTGCTAAACCTTTGAGAGTGGATTAGTGTCTCTTCGTGGTTTGGAAGATACCGAATATGAAGGTAAGGATATGGGATGGTGTACATGTTATAGTATTGATGTATATGCTGATGACGATATCGATGTAGAATCCAAGACCTTTGTTGGATGCTACATTGATCACAATGACAAGCACCGTACTCGTTCAGCCGAGGGACCCGAGCCTGAGTGGAACCACACATTGAAATGGTAGATACCTATGATTTGGTATCCATGGCGATGTATATGTAGTAGCTAATGATAATTGAACGCAAAGCGATGTTCCTGCTGGTGCTGTTTATCTTCAAGTTGAAGTAGTCAACGAGGATCCCGAAAAACCTGGTGTTATCGGTGGCTCCCGCATTTCATTGTACGCTGTATTCAATGAACGTAGCACGGAAGAATGGATTTCAATCGTCAATGGTCAAGGCGAACCTGTTGGTCAACTCCTGTTGAAGCTCGAATTTGATGTACATATGCTTTTATGGAATCAACCTATGTGTATACTAACATGATACATATAGGGTGAATATGATGGCGGTGAGATTGAAAGCTACCAGGCAACTCGTAACCTTGATGAAGAAGACGAAGAAGAGAAAAAGGTCCCTGATTGGGTGGTATGTATTCATCTTTATTTGCACAACACAAAATCTAATGGCATTTCTACTAGAAATACGGTGGTATGGCTCTTGGTGCTGCTGCAGCTATTGGTCTTGGTGTTTGGGCATATCACGAATACAAAGAACGAAAGGAAGAAGAAGAGGAAGAAGAAGCGGCAAGAGAAGCAATCGCTGACACAGGCTATGGCGAAGCTCAGAGTGATTCGGACTAGAATTAGAAATCAAATGGGATGGTAAATCATGTGTTATATAAACAATAGTGTCTTGGAAACGTATGCCATATGTGGTGTTTACAAGATGTCAATTCTTCTTCACTACCATGTAATAAAAGTCATCATAACCGAAAAAACGAGCTGGTTGGGAGCTACATGGACGATGTCAAGTATAATTTCCATGGCAACAAGGTATGTTGTCACTAAGCGATCATGGGGGGCATGCGCATTTTATAGGCAGCAAATATAGGCTGTGTGCGGATGCGTGGTTGGTGACCAAATCTCCAAAAGAGCATAGTCGGATGAAGGCTTGTATCCGTGACTCCGATCTGTTTTTGCTGCCAAGTGGGGTTGGTGAATACCAAAGACTTCCTTCTTCTTTAAATTCACAAAACAATATGGGACACGGCTCGGCAGACCATTCCAGAGATCCCTGGTAATGCAACAACGATACCAACAAAAGACACCATTGAAAAAGTGAAAACTCAAACGACATTTTATATACATAGCCCTTGGGTAATTTTGAACGATTTGGGTGGTGCGTTTGTCATGGGTGCCGTTGGTGGTGGTATCTGGCATTCCGTCAAAGGTGCCAAGAATTCACCAAGGGTAAGTAGTAGTGGTGGGATCGCGTATTGCATGTCAATGATACAGGATGGCTGACACTATATATTTATAGGGTGAACGTATGGTGGGTGCTGTCTCTGCCATGAAGGCTCGTGCTCCAGTACTCGGTGGCAACTTTGCTGTGTGGGGTGGTCTCTTTTCAACATTTGATTGTGGCCTTAAGGGTATTCGACAAAAGGAAGATCCTTGGAACTCTATCATCTCGGGTGCTTTGACGGGTGGTGTCCTTGCTGCTCGAGGAGGTGCTAAGGCAGCTACTGTATCCGCTGTTGTTGGTGGTGGTCTCTTAGCTTTGATTGAAGGTGTTGGTATCGCTATCTCTCGCTGGACTGCCGAGCAGAACAAGCCTGTCATGCCTCAGGTAAGATACGTTTGGAAAGGGATAAAAGGGTGATGTGATACTCATGTACGATCATTCTTTGTAGTTGTAAAAGAGACGACGATCGCTGTTAGAACTTATACACAACTTGAAAAAGCAATTCCAACTTTCCCCTCTCGCCCCGATACGCACTCATACAACGACAACAACATTCTTGTTTTTTATAATTGTTCCCCTCCCTTTTCTGCGTTACGCTTGTGAATACACACATAGATTCGAAAACATCCTAGATTCTTCTTTTACAAGTTGTCCACGTTTTTATTTGAGATATCGGTACATGTTATTATTTAGATGCCATAACGCTTCAATGCATCAGCCAGCTGCTGCTTGTAAAAAGCAATGCTTTCTGCTTGGTATTTCTTCACAGTTGAAAGGTATTCCTCACTAAGGATTTCGGCTATACATGCATGCATTATCAGTAAATGAAAGAAACGACTACTTGCATACACTTACGATAGGGTGGGATTGGCTCCTGAGCCCGAATGACATTACCAGGGAGAGCCAACAAGGTGGTTGCTGTTGTGGAATTGCTATTAGCATCACGTGATCACCCTATAAAATGTTTGTGGGATGCTTACAGTTCAAGCTTTCATCTTCGATCATCCTCAAGACAGCTTCAACAACGGTCTCCATATCGGTGGTGGGTGCACTGCTAACCATAGTGTCGAAAGGATCGTTGTTGGTCTTATTGGCAAGATCAGTCTTAAGATCGGTGGCTATAGATAGGATGTGAGCCAACACATATCATGTTGCACTTAATCACCCATATACTTACAGACCCAGTAAGGGCAAACTAATACAATACGACAATAAAAGAAGCGAATGAGTGATTCCTGATCGACCTAGTACTTCTTTTTTTACTTACGTGCGTTGACACGAACGTTGCAGACTTCTTTAAAGATGCCACATGATCGAGTCCAACCGACAACACCATGCTTAGATGCAGCGTAGATGCCAACGGATCTACATGGTATCATAAACAATGAATTAGGCTGGGTCACAAAACAAAGGATACTATTTACCAATACTTACGGTGATGCCAGGAAACCTGCTACGGAGGCGGTGTTGACAATGGCACCACCACCCCGTTTGGCCATATGGAGCATGGCAACCTTGGTTCCCTTGACGACGGCGGTGGTATTAATATCAAGCATGCGCTCATCCAACTTGTCTATATGACATTAAGAGAGTGAGTTGACAGGTGCATATGTGAAACATGAAATGATGTGCATACCATCAAGAGGCATAAACATGGTGTTTGCATTGGTGCCAATACCAGCGTTCAAAAAGGCAATCTACCGATTCACATCCATTGTTAGATAGCTGCAAAACAATGCATACACACCTCCTAATACATACATCTACACCACCAAATTCCTTTTCTGCAAGCTTGAACAAGGCCACATTGTCGTCGTATTTGGTCACATCGGTGTGGATGTAAGCAGCTACCTTGCTGCCAGCACTGTTGTTGAGTTCTTGGACAGTTTCCTCTCCTTGCTTGTCGAGGATGTCACCAATGACAACCTTGGCACCGCGAGAAACCAGCTCAACAGCGACGGCCTTGCCAATGTTACGGCTTGCACCTGTGAGAACGGCAACCTTTCCATCAAGCGATTTGGTCATATTGTATGTGGGTGTGGGTGTGTGTGAAAGAATATCTGAAAGCAAAACGAAGACTAAAGCGCTTGTATTTTATAGTTGGGAAAGTAATGCTGCAACCACCGGTGATGTTACACACGCATCACATTAAAATATACCGCTTTATCATGCTTGTTGTTTGTCGAAAAGTGATCCAAATCACCTTTAGATTATACAACACGACACATCATTCAAGTTGATATACCATGGATCAAGCTGTTTATCATTGGGATGGGTTGTTTACGCTCTACAAGCTTATCATTGTATTGATATTACCATGCTCAGTCTGAGAAAATGAAAATTAGCTTACCCAACGTGTGAACTTGCAGAAGCGGCAAAAGATGCAGCACGGCTTTTCTTCCGGAAGTGCTAGTCTCTCGACTCATAATTGGAAGCTAGCATAGCTTTGAGCATCCAAATGATGGCATACTACTACTACGACGCACATTGCAACATAACCAATCTCAATCCTCAGGGCGAATAAAGTAAAAATGATCATTACTGTAGGTAGATAACAATTTCATGTTTCATCCATACCCTATACGCATCTATGTACAGCTTTTCTTTCTTGGCATTATTGGATTCTTTCCACGAAGCTGGTGAATTGCTTAAGCTACGTTGACCTAAGCTTGAATTTTCCTTTTACGGCATAGGTGGATCCTGTAGTGCAAAAGGAGAAGCTTCTCACCCATGTCCGTGTGATCGAATGTTTGACCCAGTTTCTTGCACATCCTTTTGTTTTCTCGTTCTCCCACCCACTCTAGTAGCACATGGGTGTACAATAATCATGCAACGCGATCAAGGTATGCCATTGTATACATATTGCACATGTAAGCACACAAAACCAAACCATATCCTGGGGCCTGCAGCATGATGCATCTTTATCCTCCGCCAAATATCCAGCATACTCTACCGACACACACACTCACTCACTCACATACACAACACAAAGGCACACAGGAGGTATCTCAGTAGCAAGCCTAATAGGGTATATTATACGGGGGGGGGAAAAAAGACAACAGATAAAATAAGTTTAGCTTAGATGGCATCATCATCATCATCACCCATGGGTGGATGGATGGATCGACGTGTTTGTTTAGCATGCACAAGTGCTTGACTCGGAAGAGGTGGAGCTGAGATTGACCTTTTGCACTACAACCAAGCAAAAAGGAAAGTGTTAGCAAACAAGATCCCTTCCCTTCATCATGTATAAACATACTTTGTTCCTTTTGATCACCACCGTTGGAATCGATGCCTGGCAAATTCTGAGCGATCTTTCTAAACAATGTTTTCACCTGCAACCAATAAACAGATCAGCACCATGATTTCGTCTCCCTTGCAGCAAGCGGGTTGTTATCCATATAACCTACATTGTGGCCAGCCTTGGCACTTGTCTCTATAAACATGACATTCAAATCTTTGGCACGCTTCTCGCCTTCTTCAGGTGTCACTTCACTGACAAGATCACGGGATGGGGTATGAGAAACATGGTAACATTTGATAAACATCTCTCAACTTACCGCTTTTCACTCAAATCGGTCTTGTTACCCACAAGGACAATGATCACCTGGTTGCCACGTTCGGCTCTCACGTCATCGATCCATTTGGTCGTGTTGACAAACGATTCGCGGTCTAATGTACAAATCATGCATGAGTTTGTTGGCGCCGATTTTCATTGTTCTCTTTTTTCATATCCAACTTACTTGAGATATCATAGACAATGACAGCAACGGATGAGTCTCTAGAAATGGCATTTCATTGTCAATGGTCATCATTGTAAACAAGGAGATAAAAAGCAAGATCTGACTCACCTGATGTAACTAGGGATCAAGCTACGGAAGCGTTCCTGGAAAATGGAAACCACGAGACCATATTAGCATGCATCATCATCAACAACAACATTTGATCCCATCTTTTTCTCTTTTCACCTGGCCTGCAGTATCCCAAAGTTGTAGGCGCACGGTCTTATCTTCAAGATACATAGTCTTCGATAAGAAATCGATACCAATGGTTGCCTGGATACGCATACGATATCAGTGATTGTTTTTACATATATAAAGAGCCTTTGCTGTCATTCTTTACCTGATACGTGTTGTCGAAAGAGTCATACATGAAGCGAGTAATGAGCGAGGTCTTGCCAACTAAAACGATGGAGGAGAGCCAATGAGCCATGTTGCTTGTGTGCTAATGAGCCCTTTGAGTGTATATCTACTTACCGCTTTGTTCACCCAAAAAGACGAGTTTGTACTTGCGTAGAGGGCTGCTGAATTCAGGGCTAGTCATTGGGGGAGATTGGTGAAAGGAATAAAAGGAAGAAAGAAGAGCTGTAAAAGTTTTTCGTGTGCACTAGTGGTGGTAGTAGTCTGTGCTGCAGGATCCCAAATGCAAGGCGACCAATGTGTGTTGTGTGGATTAGTACACAAGTATCAGAGTTTATGTGCTACGTGACTATTTGGCGTTGGGACCCATCAACATAGCCAACAAAATGGTGCATTGCTTCACGCATGCGTGCATGTTTATTGTTTTTCACCCTCTCTCGCACACGACAACTTTTTCTCTTGATTGCTTGACACCCCATGGTAATGAAGCATGGGGGGTTTGGTTTGTACAATGTAAATTTTCATACTCCAATGGTAACACGGACACAGCGGAGATGGTTGCTGTGCTGTCCCGTTCCGAACAATGGAGGATCACAGGCAATCCTTGATATGCTTAACACTGATCGCATGCATAAAATTGTAGACCTTACTATCCAAACCCCCCAGATCAACGTATACACAGCATTTCATCACAATCATAGCACTTGAAACATAAAGATGTCAAACTATACCCCACATTCTATTATAAGGCATAGCACGCAATGCCATGTTGATGTGCAGATAACAATAAAAACTCGATTCAATTATAAAGACCTATGGCTCTGGTGCCTTTTTCGTGGTACCATATTTTACAGGACCAAGATTTTGGCCCTCAACGCTGATAATACCACTGTTGGATGCTGGGTTGATCATGATGGGTGGATCATGGGAGCCGCCTTTCTTCTTCTTGCCAGTGGATGGCTGCTTGAAACGAAGCGCTTGTTTCTTGAGAAGCGAAGATGAACCACTGCCAAAGATCTTGCCGCCAAGCATTCCAGTAAGACCTGATGGCTTTTTGCCTTTCTTCTTTTTCTTGGATGATGATTTTTCAGTGGGATCCGGCTGTGGATTGAAACCAACCAATCCTTTCTGCATAAGACCACCAACGAGCGTATCAGCCTGCTGGTTTTTCTTGTCTCTCTTTTCGAGGATAATAGGCAAAGATGGTAGGGTATTAAGAGGCTCAATACGGTTATGATACACATGGCTGCTATGTTCGATCGTCGATGTGCTATCATCTGGATCTTGTTGTTGCTTGGCAGCTTCTTCCATGGCTTCACGCACATCCGAGCTAAAAGTTTCAAACTTTGGTATCGCCAAAGCGTCTTCGCTATCTTCGATACGAGCCGGTGCAGCAATGACCAATGAAAAACTCAAGGCAACGCCAACGAGTGGAAGGGTAATACGCATGATGTATTATATTCTTGCTGTTATAGCAGATAATGAATGGAATGGGTTTGAAGCAAATGCAAGGAAAGTAAAAAAGACAACAGAATGATGAGTGCCCTTTTGAATGGTGGTATTCACTCCTCCTTATGATGTACTTTTATGAGGTAGTTACTCTACAAGGCGACACCTCCTTGCCAACATGATCTTTGTACTGTTCTCCTGAGCGAGCTTTATTTCCTCTCTCTCATACACGTGTTCCCTTTTGTGTGTATACAAACCACAGTAGGAACCGTTTTAACCCAACCCTGGTATTCGAGATACATATTAAGACCCACTGCATCTGAAGGCTTAATCCTCAACGTTAACACTTTTATTATTAAAGGATGAGATGCAAGCACATAACGTGTCAATGTAATTTGATGCTAGTACGCAAGTATTGGGGTGGATACATAATGAGATTATCCTTACAAAGAGGTGATGGTAATAGAGATTAGGAGGAAAACCGATTAGAGATTTACTATGTACCGCCATCAATCATCCGACGGTGGTGGTGGTCCCTGCACCAGCCTGGCTAGCGTAACTTCTTGCAGAGTGTCTTTGGCTGTTTTGAATAAACTTGATTGTATTGTGATGTGATCTTTTAAAGCTTCTGGTGGAGGAGAATCTTCGTCACGTCTGTCGACAGCGATAGGAGCTCCTTGAGTAACTAACACAAAGCACAGCATGACGAGCACTAGACCAGCGAAAGCAATTGGGGAATGCATAACTTGAAATCGAGCAAGCAACTTACAACAATGAAAGAAAGAAACATCCCAATTGAGGTTTTTTTATACAGCTTAGATTGAGTTCTATGCAAGAGTACACGTACAAGATACAAGCGAAAGATAGCTTTGAATGATCCATTTTTAGGGAGATGTGCTGCAAAGCGGGCATCCGCTGGAGTGTACGTGTGTGTGTGCATTTACGGCTATACTCGAGAATAAGGGGCATGAAAGGATCATCAAACAGGTACCAGCTGCAGGCAGCTGCTGTTGTTTACAATCACGACATCACACCAAAGTACATAGCAAGTCAACGTTTTACATACAGAGATAAGAGGTGGCGATAATAACAATACATATGGGATATAGTGTATAGCAGCCTCTTGGAGACGTATGCATGTAGCTTTATCGAAGGAAAGAATCACCAGGGCACTATTTTGGGGCATCCTTCACCCTTGTACTTTCTCCAATATTGGCCACGTCTTATAGTACTATGTATATAATACCTGTATACCGTACTCTCACACTTTTACATTGATCCATGTCATGAATAAGCAGCATGGGTTGGTTGTATCATGTTGATGGGGCAACCATTGCCATGGCAACAGTATCCTAGGCAGCATAACTCCATTGATATGGTATGCATGGATCGATCATGGCAGTATAGTGATCTTGACCGAGCGGAGACACGGATGTCATGCACCTTGCCATTGATTGACATGTGATACCCAATAGAGTTGTCATTCCGCTTCAGGCACCAACATCTCCTTTAAATCTGGCAACATTGCTGCATACGTACATCTTTGCACCCCCACACTGAAAGTAATATCAAAGTACTCAGTTTATTATCTACGGGCTGATGTGATATGGTGTTGATGCGTGGAAAAGGAAGATAATAGCCCATTTAAAACAACACATGATGAATGGTGGAGGAGGAGGGATATAGAATTACAATGGCAGCAAGCATTGTCGTTGCAGCCGTTGGGGATTGTGGAATGACGCCTTGAGATATCTGGTATCGCTTAAGCCTCTTGTTTTTGCTGGCCACCACCACCACCAGTTAAATTATCAAGAGAACCTGCAAGGCCGTTTACGGTAGTTGTAACTTGTGTATCTGCTGTAAGGCCGTCTTGTGAATTTGCTGGAATAAGACTCTGGGCACTTCCACCCGCCGCAAGCACGCTCGCAACGAATCCATTAGCTGGACCAGTGAGTGGGGCAGTACCCTTAGTCACTGCAGACGTTTGAGATGTAAGACCCGCCAGTGTTCCTCCTTGTGGTTGTTGACTGTCACGTTTGATAGCAAGTGGGGCAGCATGGCTGGTGATAGAGACGAGGCACACAGTGGCAATCAAAGCGAGTGAGTGAGTGTGCATATTGGCAAAAGAACGTAGCGTTGAAAAATGCCGAGTGCGAAGGAGAAGATGGATGTCGATATATATATGCGATCGAAATGAGGACATCAAAAGGTACACTCTCCCTCATGTCATATCTCCTATTTCTCGGTTATGAGCTTGACAAAGAAGATGATGGGCATATACCTCCTTTGACTCATCCCTATTTTCTATGTCGAACACTTTGGCTCATCCTTGGCACCGATGTTATCGTAAAACTTGATCGAAAAAAGGGGGTTTCGTCAAAATTAAAGGAGAGCTTAAAGAGCAAGAATACTCAATGATGCATGGTATGTTTTATTATGATGATGTTGTAGATAGCTTTTCATATGTATATTATAGTATGAGCATTAAACATCAGGATCAGAATGGGTTACGCCACCGAGTTTTCCAAGAGCTGTGTTATCGACAATGCGTCCAAGTTTGGATGCTGCGGGTTCCACTACACCACGACCACCACGTTGTCCGCTTCTTCCTCTGGATCCACGATGACGTGAATGACGTGGTCGTCGGCGATCTTCATCCTCTTCTTCGCCATCTTCATCATCGCCTTCATAGTCACCATGCAAATTGCCATCATCATAACGTTTATTAACAGCAATTCGAGCAGGTCCAATGTTGTTTTGTTGAGATTGTGTTACTTGAACGGCATCTTGTTTAACGTTGGGTGATTGGGCTTGTACACCAGCAACAACAAGCGTAATAGCAATGGCAATGACAGATAATCTCATCTTGGAAATGAAAGAGTAATAATAAAATGGGATGAATGGCAATGGTGTTCAACACATGTATATATATGTCATGGAGACGAGCCTTGTTCTCGGTTGCAGCATTCCTCCTTTTTCTCCCAATCCTTCAAACGTACCTTCTTCTCCTCCTTCAATCGGATGGATATAGTTGATACCGGGAATGATGCACTCAAGAAGAAAGGATGGCATTTTCTTATCCCTACGTACAAAAGCAAGACATTCTTCCAGGGGTCACGATACTTTCAGGAGCCGCTACATATTCAGTGATCGCGTTGGATACGGGTATCCTGGCAACAATGTCAGCTGCATGATTTTTTATATACCCAGTGATGGTTGTACAAAAAGATCCATCCCATGATACCCAAAAAACAGTGCAGGCATTTCCAGTATTACGTGTATGTCGTAAAAGTCGAAAATTTATTACTCGTTGTACTCAATCATGGGGAGGGATAATAAGGTTAACCGGGAGATTTATAATTCACAGGGTATGTGTCAATGTCAAAAGAGCGGAAAGAACAAATCAGCTATGCTATGATAGAATTTACGCATTGTTTGTATCACCCTCTTCTTGTTGTTCAGTCGAAAGTGGTGCGGTAGTGGTAGTTGTCTTGCCATTAGCGGGTTGCTTAGCAGCTGTTGATGCACCACCAGGAACACCACCACCCGTTGTAGCTGGAAGACCATCTTCTTCACGATCTTCTGCTAAATCTTGAAGGGCCTCGAGTTTATCAAGGGTAGCTTGAGCGTTGCCAATTTCTTGGGTGAGTTTCTTGTTATCAACGCCAATATCAGCAAGTTGCTTTGGATCGATGCCGAGACCACCGAGAGCATTGGTGGGATCACTACCAACAAGTGGAAGTGGTGGAAGTGCACCACCATTATTGCCTTGTTGAGCAGCACCAGTGTTGCCTTGTTGAACAGCATCAGCACCAGCAGCACCAGCAGCCTGAGCAGGATCGGCGTTGCCAGTAGGAGCTGCGTGAATGGAGCTAGCGAAGCTCAAGACAGCAATAGCTAACGAAATGTTTGTGAAACGCATGATGGGTGTAATGCTTGTTGCTGATAAAGAAGAAAAAGAAACAAGGTTGCAAGCTACTCGCTTAGAAAAGGCTTTACTTTTATATACCCACAAGCCTTGATACCGCTTTGTTGTCTCCTCCTCTCATATATAAATGCACGTTCATCCTTGTGTGTGCTTAATGTTGTCCTCTTCAGCAATACAAAATGATGTGCGTGTGGATGCAAAGTTATGCATGATGCTCCCTATGCAAGCCTTGATCTACACTTCTCAGCATCTCGCGGCGTGCGTACATCATCACAAAACAACTCCTATTGATGAGGAGAAAGAGAGAGAGAGAGAGCATTGCATATCAAAAGAAAGTGTGTTTGACTAGGAGAAAAGTTTATAACGTAATGACAAAAGATAAAGAACCACTCTATTTCATTGTGTGTGCTTTGAATGAGGAGGGAGCATGTGTGAAATGATCGGCATTTGGATGAGCGTGGATTCTTTTTAGGCTTCCGGGATCTCGCAGCAACGAGGTGTGTGCCTTGATTCTTTGTCAGAAACCATGAGAGCTGTCTTGCAGCGAGTAACTCGTGCTAGTGTCACAGGTACATATATCATCCTTGTTTCTCTCCCCTTGCCCATTCTCCTAATCCCCCGGGCGATAACACATAGTCGATGACAAGGTTGTGAGCTCCATTCAAAAAGGTGTCTGTGTCTTGGTTGGAGTCGGTGCCGATGACAATGAGCGTGATATCGATACTATCGTCAACAAGATTCTCAACATTCGAGTCTTTGAAGATGAGCAAGGAACCATGTGGAAAAAGGGCGTCAAGGACCTAGGCCTGGAGGTGCTGTGTGGTAAGGTTTTTACAGAAAAAGGGACACCCCTCCTCCTCCTCCTCCTCCTGTCATCTAATGGCTTCCTCCCCCCTTTCTAGTCTCCCAATTCACCCTTCAAGCAAAAACCATCAAAGGTAACAAGATTCTCCCTTTTCTCATCCTTCTTGGAACCCCGAGTGCTTGCATGCATTAAACTTACTTTATTTCATAGGGAACAAGCCGGATTTCCATCGCGCCATGAAGACCAATGATGCCAATGCCTTGTATCAGAAGTTCTTGACCAAGATGGGCGACGCTTATGATCCTTCCAAGATCAAAGGTAATCGCGTGGGGTTATTTGTTTATCATCATTCTTACTCATTCCTATGCTCAATTAGATGGCGTATTTGGAGCAATGATGGTAGTAGATATTGCTAATGATGGTACGTACTATACTTTTGGATTTGCATGATGGAGATTAATGCTAATTTTCTCATCACTACTATTAGGTCCTGTCACCCTGCAATTGGATTCTCGCAAATACACTTATGATTCGGAAACACCATCCCAAGCATCAACCCCAAAATAAAACTTTAGATTCATAGTAGAATGTATATTTTGTTCCGGAAGGAAAAAAAAAGAGATGTGTGGGGGATAGTGCAAAGGTCAAGCAATTCATGTCTATTACCAAGTTTGATTGGGGTTCCATCCACCTCCAGTCGTAGGCTCTTGTGCAGGGTTCCATCCACCGCCACCACTTGGTTGTTGATGCTGTTGCCATTGATTAGCAGCTGGTTGCTCCCAGCCAGGTTGTTGTTGAAATGCAGGTGGTTGTTGCTGTTGTTGAGGTGGTTGTTGTTGCCACTGAGGAGCAGATGGTGGTTGCTGTTGTTGAGGTGGAGGTTGCTGCTGCCATTGAGGAGCTGCTGCAGGTGCAGGATTCCCAGTCCATCCTTGATTTGGTGGTGGAATAGGCTGATTATTTAGAGGAGGTCGTTGTTGTTGCTGCATAGAGGGTGGAGGTGCTTGTCGTTGTTGTTGCGTGACACCAGCTCGAACTTGTCGTTGTCGATGGTATTCATCATCATCATCGTCATCATCAAATTGTCTACAATATCAATGCTTTGTTTAGATCCTATCCCCTTTTTTCCATTGAAATCAACTTACAAGTTTCTGCTCATGTAGGGTCGAAGCACCTCGGGGATCTCTTGTTTGCATTCTTGAAGTACCTTTGTAAGATCCTTGGCGATGCCCATGTCATTGTATGTAAAGAAGGATGTTGCAAGACCAGCATTGCCAACACGAGCCGTACGACCAATTCGGTGAATGTATTCGTCAATGACCTTGGGAAGATCATAGTTGACAACATGCATCACATTCCGAACATCGATACCACGAGCAACCACAGCAGTAGCCACCAAAATAGGACACACACCCGACTTGAATGCTTGCAAAGCATCTTCACGTTCCATTTGTGAACGATCACCGTGTATGGATGTGCAAGGGAAATTCTTGTCGAAAAGGAATTGATCCAATCTAACATAAGGTTCTCAATATCCAATGCTTGTTCTTCCCTTTCAAGATACTTACGTGTCAGCATCACGCTTGGTCTCTGTAAAGATGAGAGTACGGCATGGGGGTTGAGACATAAGGATCTTGACGAGTTGATCACGCTTGTCCCTAGGATCCACCTCAATCACCTATACACAACCCGTGATTGTGAGATACAATATGCCATCCCTATCCATATAATAATTACCCGCTGAGTGATATCAGTTGTAGTACCACCAACACGACCAACGCGCAAGAATAAGTAATCCGGTTTCAAGAAATCACGAGCCAAGCGACGAATCTCCTTGGGGAAAGTAGCGCTGTACATGAGAGTTTGTCTGTTGCGGTTCATGCCTAATAGATCATAGATGTATGTATCAGATAAACCATCTTGATTGATTATTGAACGCGCTTACCTCTTCGTTCCACAATGTCACGAATAACAGGCTCGAAACCCATATCCAACATACGATCAGCTTCATCAAGAATCAAATATTGCACATTGCTCAAATCAAGCTTTCCCCGCTGAATGAAATCGCATAGACGACCTGGAGCTGCAATCAAAACGTCGCATCCCTTTTCGATTTCACGCAATTGACCAGTGACACCAGCACCACCGTACACAGCACTAGATAGCAACACCGATATCAGCCTTCTGGTATGGCACATTCCTTTCCCATCCTACTTACCAAGGTCTAAGAGGACTCCGATAACAAAACTGATCACATTGCATGTTAGCTATTGTCTATGTTATACATCATTGCTCATCACTTACACGACGTGATTCATCGAAAATTTGTGTACACAACTCGCGTGTAGGTGCCAAGATCAACACCAAGGGACGGGCTTTGAAGTGGCCATAGCTGCCAGGTTGCATTCTCGTGATCATGCTTCGTGCGTTGGCAAAGAGACGTGAACAAGTGGGTACCAAAAATGCAGCAGTCTTGCCGGAACCAGTCTGTGCACATGCCATGAGATCACGTCCAGCAGTAACAACTGAAATAGAGTGTCGCTACACGAGCCAAAAAGACGCATTAAGATGTCATCCATTATGATCAAAGATGTCCCAACGCATATACTTACTTGCACAGGGGTTGGAATGCTATAGCGACATAGGGCAACGTTCTCCTTCATAACAGGGTGCAAATCGGCATTCTCAAACTGAAAGGTTCAACATTAGATATACATGTGCGAGGTAAGATATGGATCAGCACCACTTGCTTTGTCGAATCCAGGTGGAGGATTGTCGCCAGACACAGTGACCTTGATAGAATCGTACTTGCTAAAGTTGATGCCTGAATGGACATGGTTGTCTTCACCAAAGAGATCCTTTTCAAGCTCCAAGTCGCGTGGGGCGGTGCCAATCTCGTAGCTGTCCTTCCATTCGTAACGTCGACGCGAGGATCCCCAATTGTAGTCTGACATTGTGAACACGTGCCGTAGAAAAGTAAGGGCGGGATAAAGAGGTGATTTGACATACAATCTCAGGCCTGATTCCTAAAAAAAAGTTCTGACAGCGCTGACACTAATGCAATCGAACCCGTTGTATAAGCGATCCACTTGAATTGTGAATACTCGATCTTGTCAGATGATCAATCCCATTCTACAACATGTTGCCAATGATGATCACGCAATCAGTCAATGGCATCCCATATTTATTAATAAATGCTTGTCGCTTCTTTCTTTGGTTATCATTGACAAAAGGATGGCTTAGTTGATGATGGTAAAGCGAGGTCCCAAGCCTTTGGCGTGGCTCATTTACACGATAATTGAAATGACAGATGACTTCTGGGGGTGTGTGGAACAGGTGCAAAACCAAAGATGGCATAGTCTTCACGACACGCTTGCCATCAGCAGAATAAAGTGAGGATAGCAAGATGGAAATGGGCATATATATAGCAGCAGCAATCAAATGTTGGATACTGTTTAATCAATCAATCAATCAACATATATATCCTAGCTTCTTGACCATAAAGCACCACACGGATTGGCAACATCTTTTTATAAGTTATCGATATTGATCCCCATTACTATCATAAGACCACCTTGAATGCTTATTATTGGATACCTTTTGCAACAATATAGGTCGTATGTACATGGGATGCTATGCACGACTTTACATCGTCGCTGCTCTTGTCAACAACAGGCCTTTTTGGATATCGTTGTCTTGTTCTTATTTCATTCAATAGCTCGTTTGAAACGTTCAAGTGCATCCTTAAACATTAAGTTCGATGATAGCATACATAGTCATATTGACAACTAAGATCATCCATTCCCACGTTCTCATGTAAACCTTATGAACGCAAGGATTTTGGATCTATCACGCATAGAGGCATCACGATGAAACCACTCGCATATAAATGATCGATACATAGACCGGCTGACATCCATCATTTAGGTGGGGATAGTAGAACTATGCAAATGTGCCATCAGCTGCTTCCTCCATGGTCACGAAGCACATTTGTAAATGCATCCTTAGATGGGTGAAGTTGCTGTGCTGGTAGCAACAAGGGGGCGATACGCTTGAGGATGACAAGGAATTGACTAAGATGGTAAGCCTGACCGATGTCCTTGCATGAGCATCGATCGACCGGCTGATGATAGATGGAGGTTCGGGAATAATCCGATTCGAGCGGTATGATGTGACCAGTATGGAAGGTGGTGGGATGGCATTGTTAAAGTTGAGGAATGTTTATAAGCGGACGATTCTTTACCTTGTGGTGCACCAACGATACAGCTGATGATAAATGACTCACATCGTGATGCATTGGAGGCGTGTTTGTTATTCATCGAACAACGTGGAAATAATCGAAGATGCAATGATTCAAGCTGTGGTATGCAATGTCACATGAGATGACCCCTCGTTTTGACTATGCAGCAAGAAGAAGCCGGCAAAAGGATTTATCATTTACCAACAAAGGGGACATTTGCACCATGATAGTAAAAGTGCCACACGCAAAGCAGCAATATGGTATTATGATACAACTTGAAGGCGCCCTTTCACCCCCCTTAAAACGGGAAGATGGGGTTGATACGGGTGTTACAAATGGTTCGGTCATGGCATTTAGATGACCCTCTTGAGCGTGAGATAGCCATGGTACATTAATAACTAGGTATTGTGATAATAAAGTTGTTAAACATTGGTAATGTGGACCACTTAAACAAGGTGTCAAGGCGAGATCTCGACGCGTTGATGGAATGCATCGGCAACACCAATAGCATACTTTGCATGTAAGTAGAAAACTACGGATTAGGCAATTGCAGCGCGTGCACATGCCGGGTTACAATTTCCTAGCAGAAGGAAAAAGAAGGGCTGATATTGATGGTGTCGAAACAATTCAGAAAGAAAAAAAACATATCATTTGCACCACGTGTGACAAGCTTTATTACAACAGCCAAGTCAATGGATTTCCCCCAATGCCAGAAAGAGGAGTTGTTGATGAAAGTGTTAAAGGTGCCAGAGGTTGAGTTGACAAATTCGATGGTTAGACCGACGACGAGGCAGCACATTGAAAAGCAAATTCCACAATTTGGCTATAACGTTATTTGGCATTGGGTATCAGCTGAGGCAATAATGCACAATAGCAATCGCCTCCTTTCCTTTTTCTTTGCATGTTTTGGTTCCCGATCTACTGGCGCCTGGTAGTAGTATGGTTGGGTTAGTAAATGTCTGTTCACAATCACATGGCAGGCAATGGTGCTAATGTAGACAAAAAACATTTACACAAAAATGGGCAGTTGACTTTGGCACATGTCCAAAAAGACATCTTTTGGTTTCTTTGTTCTCCTAGTTTCCATGCACCGGGTATGTGGATTAGAAAGGACAAGAGATGAGACACCTCCATCATCATCAGCAGAAACGAAAAACTGGTTCAAAATATCAAGGATCATCCTGAATGAATGCTTTGATGTGATTTACGCCAATTTGAAGAGGGTGACACAATTGGCATCTGCTACGCTCGGATCGGATGCACTCACTACAATAGTCGCAGATCCTTTTTTCATTGAAAAGCAACAAAAAAGTCGTTTTCACTGCTTTCCAATGGCTTGGGACCGCAATTGGATTGGGGGGTTTGATGGGGGAGGAGAGGAGAAAAATTCGAACGCGAATGAAAGTTTCAAAAGAAGCTGCATCAGAAAAAAAGCACAGACACACGACGACAACATCCTTGCCAATAACAACAACATCACCCAACTACAACCAAGCCCCCCTTTACACTCGTCTTCACGATACCATGTGGCTGAAGAACAACAATGAGCCATCGTCAAGAGGGATTGAAAGCGTGGCTGTGGTAAAAAGGTACACAACGACAACAACAAGGTAACAAGGCTGTAAGCGTGTTGGTTGGTATTGCGCCGCAATTAGGCTCGGTCCCAACGTTGGTATCACATGGAAACATAAAGACACAATCAGCGTGTAACGCAATGAATGGCGACACAACAATGGGCCATATTATTGCTGGCATATTTGCTGAGCGTGTAAATGGGGACATTGTAAATGGTGGGGGAGGAAAGAGAAGCACAATACGCGGCACTCATAATCCTGGTACAAAAGAGGGGAGAGGTTAATCCATTCCAATGGGTCATACAACAACGCCCTACAACTCCCGTTTTCTTTTACACATATGTAATTTCACGCGAAATGATGTTTCAATTGGCAGGGCGTATGAGATGGGCTGATGTCTCACTGAGATTATTTACCAATGAGGTCCTGGTCCGTGCTAAGGCTGTCAAAGACCCGCATTCTCGAACGCCTACTGGGGGGTAGGTTGTTCTAGTGAATGGACAGGTTTGAGATATCATGTGTGACACAGCGAGCATGACATACTCCACGTGTGTGTATATTAAGGTGATTTGTCGATCTCGACCACTTGAGAAATCAATTGCCTTTTGATGGTGGTTCTGTTACACCGCCCAGCCCTTTGCTCGCCTTTTCGGTGACTTTTTTGTATACCCGCTTTGGGCTCCCTTTCCATCACACTCTCTCCCACTCGTATATAAGAACAGCCCTCCTTGCCAATTATTCTCTTTCTTTCTCTCTACGCATATACCTGCCAATTGTACGCTTCTTTTCTTTTTCTTTATACTTTATTGTCTTAAGGCATCTATCCGACAACCCAGTTGCCTTTTCTTTTATACGCCAACAAACGAGAACGAAAATTTACGCACAAAAGAGACACACACACACATACACACATTTACGATACGACACACACACACACAAATACCATTATGACTTGCGAACATCACATGAACAAGAAGCAACAGGCTACTGCAGCACCTTGCCGCCGCACTAGCAATGCCATTTCGTCATCAGTAGGCAGTGTTGACAATATGGCACACAACAAGATTTGTTACTTGTGCGGCTCTACCAAGCACATGTCGTCCGATTGCCCACTTTACGCATGAAGTCGACGTTGATAAAACACCAACACACAAACCCAAGCATTGCATTCATCACTTTTTACACTTGCGTTGTGTACATACCTTGTCGCTCACTTTCAATTATTCTCGCTCGCCGGTCGAACAACAACATCGAAAGAAGAAAAAGCACTCCCTTCATTATCTCATTTGTCGCTCATTCACCCACATTTTTTCATCATCGATCCATTTTATCGTCATATCAGACGCCAACATTTTATGCTCTACGAATTCTAGTCGTCGTGCGCACGCGGTATCAATGCCCATTATATATCCCCATCTATGCCATCATTAAGAGAAAACCAAAGTAGTAGTAGTAGTAGTAGTAGCACGTAGTAGCAGTAGCAGCATTGGATGCTGGTTTCAAGCCATTTATACACCCACACACCCACATTTGCTTGATGCTTGTATATATTTTGTAGTAGCCACACTCACTCACATTCTCTTCATTGCACACACACATATCACACATGCGCATCTTTTTCACCCACACCCCCCTTGAATACATTTTCCACACATGACAAACGGATATCATTCATTTTTGCTTGATTGGGTTGGAACGGTTGTGAATACCAAGAAATAGTGTGCGTGTGTCAGTACCAACAGGGTCCAAACATTCCTCATGACGCCATAACAATAAACAGGAAGGGTGTGCATTGGCTGCAGCTTAATCAAGACTTGCCTTGTATGTCTTTGATCCTCAGAAATTTCTAATGTTGTCAATTTGCACGCTCCTTGACAATTACTCCATGCGTGAACTAGCTGTGAAAAAGGAAAGTGAAAAGGTTGGTAAACTGACAATGACCCTAAATGTCGGGGGATCATTCATGGTCATTAATGATGGTGATGGTGGTTTCCTACTCCAATCATCGTGATCAATACCATGAGCTTGTCCCTGTTTCTTTGTATTGGAGTAATTGGCTGAGCAAACCCATCATGGGCTTGATCCTTAATTTATTGGACAAAGAAATGGGTGGCGTTGGTGGTAGTGGGGGATTCATCAACCTTCTTGTTCTAGCTGGTTGTGTGTGATTGATTGATTGATTGATTGTTGCCGAGTCGCAGGAGCGGCGCGTGTGTTGTCCGAATTCTTCTTCCTTTCAAGTACACATACACAGCAATAATAGCAACCACGACATTCTTGTCATATGGATCGAAAGCCGAGGCGGATTGCCCCGAACGACGCGACCCAATCACACCTGTCAGCCGATGCTCTTGATTCATTGGAAGCTTCACCGATCAGGTTCATTCCTTATACCATGCCACCACCTGCAAGAACAACATCCACACGTGCTCCTCCACCCGTAACAACATCCTCGCGTCCATTGGAGACTGTTTTCAACACCACGGCTATGCCCTTCCCTATACCACCACCCAATGCTCACGCCAACCCATCACTACCGGCTCGATTTCCAGTTGCCTTTTACATGCCACCACAACCACAACCACCAGCATCGCAACTTCCTCCACAGAGACCAGCGACCAAGAAGAGTAACGATGATGATCTTATTGTTATCAGCAGCGACGAAGAGGGTGCTATGATAAGGAACAACAAAAGATCACGTCCAAAGGGGAAGTCCATGCAGGATGCAATCAATCTTGACGACGAGGAAGATGATGTGGATATTTTGACAGTATCACCTTCACCAGCTTCAGATACACAACGACGAAGTGCAGCCATCACCATTGACGACGATGAGGAAGAGCAGCAAACAAAACCACAGGAAGCACCTACTGCTGAACAAACAAAGGGACAGCGACAAGATCAATCTACAGCGACCCAACAGAATTTATCATCTACAACGACACCATCATCAACGACACCATCATCATCAACTCCATCCATAGCAACATTATATGAAACGACACTTTCAGTGGATCAAAACTCATCAGCATCAGCATCAGCATCATCATCGTCATCCCCCATGGACCTGGAAACAACATCTTCAGAAGAACTTTACAATGACGGCCAAAGCTCAAGGAATGTTAGTGTCGATAAGGCCGAGGATTCTCTACGTGACAACCTAAGCGCTACTCCTATCACTGATACACGACCGCCATCAGCCGAGATACCAGATACGCGTATGAACCAGGAACCTCAATACAACGCCATCAAGCAAGAAGAGCAAACAGCGGCAGAATTGACCACGACGCCTTTATTACAACCTAAGCAAGAGGAAAATAGGACTACAACAGACAACCTACCAACATCAGCAGCTGATCAACAAGAGGATGATGACATGGATATGGATGAAGAGCAAAGTGATGATCATGATGAAGATGAGGATGATGATTCTGTGGCATCGGCTGAATTACTTTTCGAATCAACAACTTCTTCTCCAACCTCCACATTGGATATTGATTTGCTGTACGCATTGAATGCATCAGAGATGGACAACAATAATCAGCCTGATTGGAGTGCTCTCGCCAACTTATCGATCCAAGATAACAATGAGACAACCAACAACAACAACAACATGCCAACACTAGACGAGCTTACTTCGAGACCAATTGCTACAGTCATCTCTCTCAAGGACGATGGGGATGATGAAAACAGGATATTGGAAATGCTCTCTCATATCGATGCCTATGATTTATCACTTGAATCTTTGTTGGATAAAGCCAATGCTACCAGCGCATCTGTACAACCCACATCATCTGTTCGCAATGGATCAAAACGACGGAAGACAAACTCCACCAATGGTCCACCTCCAGCCGTACCCAGAAAACCTTATGTACCTACGCAAGTGTGGACTCATACCACGTGGGAGGATTGGGCACAACTCCAAGTAGGGGATTGGTTACATTGGCCCTTTGAGACTTGGGAAATTCAGCGTATACAGCGTGGCGTGGATCATTACAACAAGAAAAAGCTTCCAATACACAACATAAAACAAGAGGTTTGGCAGCTTTTGGCAGACCAGTTACCTGGGAGACGTCCTGAAGATTGCAAACGATATTGGTGTGATCATGAAGCGGATATGATTCAACCTTACAATCATCCTGTCATCATTGGAAAGGGAAAAGGTAACATGAAATTCATAACATAAACAAGAAAGTCAATCTCATCTTATTTTCTTTTGCATCAGGGCGTTCTGAAAAGCCATCCCAGTTCGATTTGGTGGAAGGATCAAAGGTCAACAATCATTTTCGTGTGGCTTCAGCAAGGAAGGTTCTTTGGTCAGAGCTCGATTATCATGATTCTTTTGGTGATGGTAGCGCGGATGCTATTGCTCTTCAAGTGATCAAAAGTAGTAGGCGACAACGAGGGTAAGCAGGATCGGATATAAGGATCATTGTGTACAATGGATGTAATTGACGCTTTTTGTTCTATCAAGGGATCGGCTCAAGGTGGTCGTGGCGTCAGCGTGTAATGATCAACCCGAATACAACATGCCAGGGAATTTGAGATTATGGTCAGCAGATACCAAAAAGATCACACAACTACCTTTTCATCGCACCGAGACTGCTCAATCGGATGGCACACAATGTAATGGGAAAAACGAGTGATTGAAAGGAGCAGTGACTCACTGACCATCTTGTTATATATTAGACATGTGGCATACGGTGACAGATGTACGAGTATCGGTTGATCAACGATTCATTTATTCTTCATCACATGACAAATCAGCACGTGTATGGGATGCCAGGTCTGGCAAACTGCTTTCAACGCTAGGTATGTATTTTACTGCATCACTTGAGATTAGGCAACTAAGACATCAATTTTAGTTTTCCATGAAAAGCAAATCCATCAACTTGCAGTGTTGCCTGATAGATCGGAGCATGTCCTTGCCAGTGGATCAGCGGATGGAACAGCCGTGATTTGGCGTTTAAAATCGGGTGGCAACGTGGGTTCAGGCACAGTGTGTGATATGGCAGCCAAGATGCCAATGGAATCAAAAGACCGAGTCAGCATCGACACGTTAGCCTTTGGATTGGGACCTTCAGCTGGCAAGTTATTCACAGGCGTTGCCACTGGATTGACGGGTGCTGAGGAGCCTGCAGGATTTGTAAGGAGTTTTGGTGGTTGTTCATTATCATGTAAGCTCACTTTATGCTTGCAGGTACAAGTCTATGATGCAAGTAATGGAAAAGGCGTTATGAGATTGACCAGCATGACAGCAGCAGTGTGTGATATCGACGTGTCGTCCACTGGTAAGATAAAAGTAGCATTTTGTCATCCACGTCGCTTTGGCTAATCATCTCATCTTAGGGAAATTTATTGCATCTGCAAACTATGGTGGCATTGATGGTCAAATGGGTGATGGATACATTCATATTCATGATATACGTGCTCCTCAAGTGGCAATATTGGCAAAAACAGGCCATACGGATGTAAACGTGGTTCGAATGAGGTAAGACGAATGCAATGCTCAACGTTTTTCTTTTGTATTCACATCCTTGATTTAGTCCATGTGAACGCTATGTAGCATCTGGAAGCCCTGATAATGAAACAGCAATTTTGGATATACGAAAACCAGATGAGCCCGTCTTTCGATTAAGGCATCAACGTAAGTATAAAAGATATGACTAAAACGGTTTTATTTATGAAACAATCAATGTAGGGCGAGCTGATAGTGGTCGATTGGAAGCACCCAATTCGGACATGGGCATTGCTGGTATCTATTGGATGTCCAACACACGTCAACTATTGACAGGAGGAGGAGACGCATCAGTGAAGCTTTGGGATATCTGGGGAAATGGGGAAATGGTTCGCTCGTATGAAACCTCAAGTAATGTCACAAGTCTTGCGGTGGATGAAGATAGTATGGTGGTTTGTGCTGGCGTGGCAGGATCCCAAGGCTATGTACACATGTTTACTGGGGCCCCATTATAGTAATGCAAATACCTTTGATGATTCATATGTTCAAGCTTTTGTTTTATTTCATGTAAATACACCTTTTTGTAAAACTACTACTGCATTATTATTTACAAACCAGCACGACCTTGTGATTGACGTCGTTGAGAAATGAATGATTGCACTTTTTGGTTACCAGTATTTTGCAAATCCTTGCCCTCTTGCTGCATACTTTGCTTGTGGAAGAACTTGCCAAACTTTTCCTATATCATATACAATTCTAATTAGCCCATGCACTTTTATCGTTTGGATGTCTTTTTTAGTACCTTGATGGATCCACGACGAGCGTCAAACATGCCCGTGACATAATCTTGGACACTCGTACGACGAGCTCCTTCTCCAACAGCACCAGCAGTATCCGCTTGACCAGCTGAACCCATACCAGCTCCTACGGCACCGGCTCCTGCGTCCATAGCAGCACCCATACCACCGGCAGTAGCAGCACCTCCACCTCCTGTTGTGGCATAGGCATCCTTGGTTGAACTCATATTACCCACTCTGTGAGGATCAATACCACCCACAGCACCATCCAATACTTGTGGCACTGAACGAGCATGTTGTTCTTGACGTGCTTCAGCTGCTTGATCAGAAGATTTTCGGGGTGGTTGTGGAGCATTGTCCTCGACTTGTTGTGGTTGCTGTTGTTTGCCAAAGTCTTGCGTAGTGGTTGTTGTAGTGCCACCAGCTTGTTGCTTTTTTTGCTTGTACAAGTCATCAGCAGTAGTAGAAGCAGGCTGAGTATCAGCTACGCCCATTGATTCCTTTCCAAGATCCTTTTGGCCTTGTTGTTGTTGGGTGTCAGTTGCCAATGGGTGATGATTATCTTGCATTGCAATATCGCCTGTTGAAGAAGGCTGATCACGTTGCTTTTGACCCATACGTGAAGTACCAGCACCCATAGCAGCGCCTGTAGCACCACCCAAGGCAGCACCTTCTGCAACAGCAGTACCAGCATTACCGGATTCTTGTCGTTCACGTGCAGAGTCACCAAGAGTATACGCTGTTTGATCCTTTTCTCTTTCAGGAATACGGCCCGTTTCAATGGCTTGGCTTGGCTTCTTTCCACCACCAACAGCTGCTGCTCCTGTATCAGTGGTACCTTGTCTGGCATAGGGATCATAAACATCATCACCAGTGCCACCTGTGCCAACATCATCATCCTTTCGACTAAGATGAAGAGGTTCACGTGTCGAGTGATATTGACGTGTAGCCGAATATGGATCAGCAGCTGAGGTTGAGTCATCAAGGTCTTGAGTAAATCCTCCCTTTGGTTGTTGTTGACTTTGTTCCTTTTGGTAATCAGCCACAGCTTGCTTTGATGCATCCTTTGTCATATTAGTACCACCACTTGCAGTAGCAGCACCAATTGCGGCACCTACACCAGCACCAGCACCAGCACCAGCACCAGCACCAGCACCAATACCAGCGGATTTGGCTGAGGTAGATGGTTTACCTTGTTGTTGGCTTGGCAATGTGCTACCAGGAGGTTGTTTCATAGGTTCACTAGCTGATTGATCAACGTTGGCACCAAGACCTGCTTTTTTACAAGCTTCGGCAATTTCTTCTTGTTCAGTGCTTGATTTACGCTGATATTTGTAAGCACCAGCACCAGCGCCTGCACCAGCAGCACCAGCAGCACCGGTAGTAGTAGCTGTCTTTTTCAGTGTCGAACCAGCTTGTGGAGCTCTTGTTGCTGGAGGAGATTGATCGACATTGGATCCCAATCCTGCTTTTTTACATGCAGTCTCAATATCCTTTTGGCCAATGTTTGTGGCACCAATAGCAGCACCACCAGCAGCACCTGTAGCAGCACCAGCACCAGCACCCATAGCAGCACCAGAAGCCATCTTTTTGCTGGAATCGATATGGCTACCAGGTGGTTGCTTGGCAGCGGTGGTACCATTAGCCGATTGATCAACGTTGCTACCAAGACCGCCAGCTGTACATGCAACGTGGGTTTGCTCTTCAAGCGAAAGTCGTCGATCATGTCTCATAGGCTTGGTGTCAGGTTGTGTACCCTCTGATGGTGTAAAGTAACGTGCTTGCTGCTTTTGTGTCTCAGCACCACCAGCACCAGAAGGCATTGGCACAGCACCAATACCAGGACCTCCTTTGCTATATGCCTTATCATAGCCGGTAGAAGAAGTAGTGGCACCTTGATCAGTACTACGGCGCTTTTGTGGGCCTGATTGTTGCTTTGACCAATCATCTTTTAAAAGTACTCGTGAGCTTTTTCTTTTTTCGTTTAAAGCAACAATAAAAAACAACAACTTACCTTCTTCATCTTGTTGATGACGCTTACGAGCAGCTTCGGCAGCCATAGCACCAATTCCAGCTCCTGCAGCACCACCACCTGCAGCAGCAGCATAGGTTTTACCCTTGTTAATGCCTGCATGTGGATCAGAAAAAGATATCAACATTAATGCAAATCATGCAGCATACAGCTGTTGACACTTACTATCCCACGAGGTGTCACGTGGTTGACCTGAGGTGCTTTGAATGCCTAATGTGACACAAAAAATCAATAATGAATACACCTATGCATACACAAACAATGAGCGTTACCTTTTTCTTGGTCATGAGTACCCACTCCAAATGCTAAGCACAATCAATTGAGCACATGCTAAAAAGTCAATTACGTTTAAAAAGTACCTTGTGTGTCATCTGGATGTCCAGTGATGGGTTCTTGATAGTGCTCTGCAACGACGTCTTCTCTTGGCTCTTTCATAAGCGGCTGGGCATCTACGTAGCAAAAATTTATGCATGAGTACATGGTTTTACGTCATTGCTCATGATTGGATAGACCTTCATCGTAAACGTGAATCATATCGTTGCCATCATCGGATTTCATTGCTCGAGTCGATGATTCGGATTGATTATCAAAGGCTGATGTACCAGCAGCACCTACGCCTGTACCAAGGGTACCAGCAGCAATGCCACCCGCTGCCATTCTTGACTTTGGGAAATCGGTTGCATGAGCAGCACCAGTAGGGCTGGTCTGCTTCCAAGGATCATCCACCTTTTCAGTAAATGGGTGACCTAAGGTATATCGAATGGATCAATAAAAGCTATTGAAATAGCAGCCTGTATACAAACATTACCTTGCATCTTGTTGCTGGGATCGCCTACGAGGTTGTCTTCAGGTCCACGTGCAATAGCAGCACCTGGCCCAGTGGATTTCCAAGGATCGCCCACATTTTCAGTAAACTGTGGATGGTCTTTAAAACACGTATATGAGCTATCATTGTATTCATTTGGATTATCGTTTACATACCTCGTGCATTTAGTGGACCATAATCACCCACATCAGGTGCGGTTTCACCACCCACATTGCCACCACTACCACCACGTGCAATAGCAGCACCGGGTCCAGTGTTCTTCCAAACATCATTCACATCTTCAGTGAACTCGGGATGATCTAATTGTTGCATCAGCCTACATTCTACACGTCTATACAATGACGTATGTTACCTTTGGATTCCAAGGGTCCATATTGGCCAATGCCACCAGCATCTTTTTTTTTGTAAAGCAAGTATTAGTATTGCTTCTTGTAATAATACATGATCATCCCTACCATCTTTCAAGGGGCTTGCAATTTCATCCCCTTCATCCATTGAATCTATTTGTGCCAATGTCAATGATCACATGCATATGTACATTGGTTGAAACATTTACCTTGGCTAGCTTGTTGTTGTGATCCACGCAAGTAATCGACACACTTGGCCATGATACCACCACCTGTAGCAGTAGCTGCAGCTGCAGCAGCCACAGCAGCACCACCAGTAACCGAAGATGATGTCCATGCTGAAGAGGATGACTTGCGACCTGGTGGAACAGCTTGCTTACTTGAAGTAGTAGTCGTAGCCGTAGGAGAAGTAGTCTTCTTTTGTTGATCGCTGATAGATCTCTTATTATGGTTCGCAGCGACTTGTTTGGCAGTTCTCATGTTGAAGCTACGAGGATCATTGTCGTAACCAGTAATGATGCTAGAGTTGCCTGCTGCATCCAAATCAAAAACACCAGCAGCGGGAAGCGATGGCATACCCGAACGCACAGTGGCAGCTTGTTGATTTTCCCTCACCACGAATGGGTTATTGGTATGCATGGCTGTCTTTCGAGCTGTTTCATTATCCACACCCGAGGTTTGTTGAGTCATCAAATCACCACCCTTGGAAGGGGGTTCTTGATGAATAGGTGCTTGTTGTTGCATTGGATCGCCTACAACGGCACGTTGGGGTCGTTGATGCATTTGATCAAAATCGGTAGCAGATGATTGACCATAGTCCTCTTGCAATTTTTGTTGCCGTGGCTGAAATGTGCTATTATCATCAACGTGTGGTGAGTACATGTAAAGAGGTCAACAGCGATCCTCTTCTTACTCTTGTCCTCCTCCTCCAGGATCCATGTTTTCTTTGTTCATATCCGACGACATTTTTCTTTTGATAAATTCCATAGCGTGTAAGTTGAAAAAAGATAAATGTAGAAGGGAGTTGTAACGTATATGGGAATGGGATGGCTTTAAATCATATGTCAAGGGTCTGTTATTGTTCATGCAGCCAACAAGATGACACGGGAGCCATACATGGCTTTGTTACAGGGGGTAAGGAGGAGTTAGCCACTCTTGATCTGGGGATGTATGTTTGTACGTGGTACGCATGAACAAGTCAATCTTGCATGGGGATACAGTAGTCTAACGGTGGCATCTCATGTTGATGATATGCGGGGTAAAAATGCCCGAGTGCCTGTGAGTGGGTCTTTTAACTTTGCTCTCTCTCACTCTCTCAGGTGCATGTGACATTTATTGTGCAACATAGGCATTGGGCATTGGTGAATCCCAGTAGCATTAGTAATACAACCGGTACGCCCCAAATGGGTGCAAAGTTGTTGTTTATATAAAAGTGTGTGTGTGTGCGTGTATGTGATACATGATGTGTATATGAGAAGTGGTATCCATAAAGGTGTGTGAGTGACAAGATTGTTGGGTGCGGGGCAGATACGGTATATTTGAAAAATGATCCAGTCAAAAGATGACAATCACCCTCCGCTATATCCATGGCAATCAGCCCATATAAGTTTGACTTGGCAACCATGTTGAGCAACATAAAGAAGAGAGCTATAGCATAGGATATTGGAAAGTGTTGATGCATGATACCCACATGCATGTGTTTTATCATTCACATTTTACCCCATGAATGTATCTTATGTCATGCGAAATCCAATGAGAGAGAAGCTATTCACCCGCCAAATGTAGACTACCTTAATCGGACACGCTGACAAACCTAACTAGAAAGTACACTCTGAATCCCCGCTTATTCACCTCTCTCTTTCTCTTTTCACATATACTTTGGAAAACAATGTCATTTGCTGGTGGAGATGCAAGCTGCTCGGCTGGTGCCAACCCTATGACTCAAATGCTCAAGCAATTTGGCCAGGATCGCTCTTTGCAGCAGGTAATGAAGAGTGGTTGGGGGTAGGGGGGTTGCTCAAATTCCACATGACTAACGGTGAAGACTTTAGGATCGTTTTGGTGGCCCAGCACAAGGTTCAGCAGGACCATCCACTGTAAGTTTAAATACATCAACAGGACTTGTTGGGGTGGAAGAGAGAGAGAGCGAGAGCACACAAGGATGGGTTATTTATTGTTGGGGGAGGGACCCTTTGTATAGATTCGTTCAGCTCGTCAAGGCTTCCGTCAAGATGATAATATGGTGAATGAATTCTTTGGTCAAGAGCAACATCAACGACCTGTTGGACCTGGCATGGCAATGGGTGGCAATCGAGCATTTGAATTTTCGGAACTGCAACGAGAGTTGGATGCTGTACGTACAGGAGCACCAGCACCTGGTGGATGGGCTTCCGAATTCCAACAACAGGGACCCCGCTTATGGGAAATCACTCCTGATGAAGAAGCTGCTATGGAGAAAGCATTTCATGAAAGTCGTGCAGCTGCTGGTCCATCCATGAATGCATCAGGTAAGATAAAAAAGATAGCAACAACAATGCAATGGGCTCACAAGTGGATATGTAGTATGGCGTGAAGAATTCATGAATCATCCTGAAGCTGCTCATATGAACCCACAACAACGTGCCGAGTTTGAACAAGCCTTCGAGAGGCACTTTGATTGGGCAAATGACTTTGCTATGCAACAAGATAAAGGCAAGGGACGTGCTGTTGAGCTTCATGGTAATGCTACTTGGGAGGATCAGTTTGCTGCATTTGACGCCAAACCCACCGAGACGGATGAGGAGATTGCCAAAAAGGTCGAGGAGGCTGCTGCTGCTCAAGATCCTGCCATGTTTGAACAATTTGAGAATGTGTGGCAAGATATCCGTGACCAAATGGCCAATGAAGATGACAATTGGGAGGAAGAGTTCAACAACCTTACACGTGATCCAAGCATTTACAAGCCTGATCTCGGTGAATATGTCTTTGAAACCAACAATCCATTCATGACTCACGCGAATCCAATGCAAGAAGGCTTGCGCATGATGAATGAAGGTGGCAGTTTGAGTGAAATTGCATTGGCATTTGAAGCGGTGGTGCAAAAGGATCCCAGCAATTCCGAAGCTTGGATGCATCTTGGTAATGTACAAGCACAAAATGAAAAGGAAGAACCTGCTATTCGTGCCCTTGAGAAAGCCGTCCAAGTCGATGAAAGAAACTTCTCCGCCATGATGTCGCTTGCTGTCAGCTATATGAACGAGTCTTATGATCATGCCGCTTATCAAACTTTGGAACGATGGATGGCAGCAAAGTATCCAGAACTTGTCAGCGATCCAATGCCTGCTCCAGCAACACCTTTTGAGTTACACAACCGTGTCACAGATCTCTTCTTGACAGCTGCACGACAAGCTCCTGAAGGTACTCAGATGGATCCTGATGTCCAAGTCGGCTTGGGTGTCTTGTTTTATGGTAGCGGTGATCTCGAGAAGGCTGTTGATTGTTTCTTTGCTGCTCTCAAGGGACGACCTGATGTAAGTTTTAAGCATGATAATACATGTTTGGATTTGATACTTATATACATGGACATTAGGATTATCTCTTGTGGAATCGATTGGGCGCCACATTGGCTAACAGTGGTCGATCAGAGGAAGCAATTGACGCATACCACAAGGCCCTCGAGCTACATCCCTCATTTGTACGTGCAAGATACAATCTCGGTGTGAGCTGCATCAACATTGGTTGTTACAAGGAGGCTGCTGAACATATCCTGACGGGTCTATCTATGCACAAACGCCAAGGCGGATCAGAAGAAGGTGTCAATGTATCCAATAACCTTTGGGAAATGCTTCGCAAGACATTTGTCATGATGGTAAATAGGGAATGCTTTATCAAAGGAATGTCATATCACTCATGATGTATATTATTTTTCAGGGCCGAGACGATCTTGCATCTCAAGCCAAGGCTGGATACGATATTAACAATTTCCGTGGCGAGTTTGAATTCTAGCACGTTTATGTATAGAGACATGATACCGCTTTGTTTCTTCCACTTATTTAGTTATCTATCATTGATGATATTTTTGTACAGTAAAGATAAGAGAAAACACAAAAGAGGAATATTGAATATAGGCAAAGAACACAAAGGTTGGGTTGGGGGGGGGTATAGTAAATACAATGGGGTGGAGGTTACTTGTTTGGTGAAACAAAGAGATCGGAATTGAGGGAAGCGAGGACCATAACAATACATGCGAGGAAAAAGATAGTGATGACAGCACCGAATGCGATCTTTCCTTGTGGTAGAAAGCTGACTTGCTTGGCCAATTGAAGCTGGGTCATAAAGTACTTGCGCACTCCCACGAACAAACATGTCAATCCAATGGCTACAAAGCAGTAACCGATGGGCTCCGTAACTGAGTTGTCGGCCCAATCTCCGTCATCGTCGTCGGTACTACCCCCACTAGGAAATCGAAACTTGAGCAAGATGGTGAAACCTACAGCGATATTTCCATTATCAATTGTATAGAACTTTGGGTCTATTTTCTATGATATCCACTTACCAAGCACTGTAAGCGTACAAGATAACTTGAAAAAGGTCAAAAAGTTGCGTTCGTTGGCCAACTAAAAAGTAAGAACAACCCATGAGCTCATCTGGTACATAGATCGAGGTATGCGTGGAATGAAGGAGCTGATTGTGCTTACCATATCGCGAGCCATGCTCCCTTTGTTGGGAAGCACGAGTGCAATGTCAGGGAAAAACTCTGTGTGAGGCGCAATGGTTTGCGAATGCGAAGGGCCCGCCGCACTGCTGGAAGCCATGACGATCGCTACAAAACGAGGACAGGGAGTGGATATATATACAAGTGTGTGTGTATGCAAGAGAACAAACAAATGCAGGTTGAAGGTGCACAGAAACTTAAGTCCGGCGTTGCAAATATACTGCTGCAGTTCACGTTGAAAGGGCCCACATGTCAATATCTGTGATCACAATGACACCCTTTACAGAAATCATAATTCATCATCATCGTCATCATCCTATTTCCTCTCATGACAAAGTTATCTCTTTCATTATCATTGATTATCGGCGTATGGGTGAATGTATTGCCGAGTATAAATAAATCGCGATTCATAGCCTATTTGACAACACGTATAGCCCTTTCCACTCGTACACTTTTTTCTTGTTTACTCCATACGACGACGAGTCATATTGTCATTCTTCATCACGCCATTGACTTGTGTCAAATGATAGCTGTTATCGAGATTGATAATCTTAGCTCCGATAGCTGCTCATCTTGACAACATTTCCCTGGCAGCAGTAGCATCCTCGACCATCCTATTCACTCAACATAATTATATCATCGTGACCAATAGCACAATAGGTGTTATTTATTACTCATAGGTATCTGATTACGGTACTACATATTATTGTTGGTTGACGTGTGATTTGATCCACTGTAGATAGTAGTTCATAACTTGGTCACGCTCGTCCTTGGTTTCATTGTGCACTAATACCACTAGTTAGTCATTGTATACATGCTTGGGCTGATATACATACATTCATGGAATAAACCCTTCCAGCATTTAAGCTCGGATGCATCGTTCTCACTGAGCTTATGCACCTTTTCAGTGCCCTTGAAATCATTGACTGGATCAACATCTCCGTGAGAATACAAAATAGGGATCTTGTGAATCTTTGGCGCCAACTTGAAGAGATCCTTGCCAGCATCCAAGAACCCACGTACTATAATCACATGAATTTCAATCATATAGCTCAATCTTTACCGCTTCTCCTCCTCTATTTACCTGTGGCCAATGTGGCATAGTCATGAATCAATGGGTCTTCTGCATACACCTTTATCTCTTGTTCATCGTGACTGATCGTTTTAGCGTCAAGGCCCGCCTGAATGACAAAACTTGGTACGATTTTGGATGCGGCCAACAAAGGATAATACCGCAAAGGAGAGATAGGCAAAGAAAGAGTCACCAAAGGAGCCGAGCAAATGGCCGTTGTAATATGGCTGACACCTTCATACTTGTCTCCTCTAGCAAGGTAGTTCAACAGCATGCCACCACCCTATCGTACGTATACTCACGGTTTAGTATTTCACGTGAAGATACGCTCCCTCCCTCTTTCCACGCTCCGCACACACAAAACGATCCCATGGATGAAAAAAAACACTTACCATACTATGACCCATAAGAATAAGAGGCAACGAGCTTTTGACGCGAAGGATGGCAGCATTGATATCGTTCAGGGCAGTGTCGTATCTAAATGTTTCAAACATGCATGAATAAACACACACACACATAAATCATGCAGCCAATGACTACTACTACTACTACTACTACGTACCCATGGAGATTGCCATAGTCTTGAGCCTTCTTGCCACTTTGACCAAATCCACGTTGATCATATCCATAGCATTGAATTCCATTCTCGGCAAACAATGTAAACATGCGATCGTATCGGTTGATGTGTTCACCAAAGCCATGAACCATACTGCAACCGGAAAAAATAAGCTTTGTGAGGGGGGAAAAAAGTAACAAGCAAATGAGCAATGGCGTACATACACAAGTTGGGCAATGGGTTCTCCCTCGGGCTTCCATGTCTTTGTAAAGAGGTCGTAGCCGTCGTTTGTCTTGATCCACTCTTCGTTGACTGCAATGTTGCTCATGGCTGCTGTAATTGTGTGTGGGTGCGTGTGGGGAAGGGAAGGAGGAACTTGAAAAGGACAAAGGCACCCGCCATATCGGGGTTCTCCTTTTTAAGGTGTGTGCGCATTAAGAACATGGCCCAATTCATTGTGTGTATGTATGCGTGTGGGAACAATGGGCGATAGGGTACTCACTCATGGGTAATATGGATGTACATAAAGGATGGTCCAATTGCTAATCAGGAACAAACATACACAATGTTGTTTTTCGCTCGTCGTTTATTTCCTCAACGAAAGTGTATATTTCGCATCTCGTTTTTCTTTCATGTACACAGTAAGAGGATACTCGCATCCTGATTTAGCACCTCAAGTGGTTAAATCCACTGATACTACGAATCCAAGTCGTGATAATGATGAACCTCACTATTATCCACCCACACCACCTTCCTCTACATCCCCCAAGCTAACTACTACTAAACAACTACCACCAACCCCGCCACCTGTGGTAGCACCTTCACAAGGCTTGAGCAGCCTCTTCAAGACACCAACAAAGACCCACTCGAAACTTGAATGGCATCCGCTACCTAAATTCGCAGGCATTGATCACTCCGAACCAAGGATAAACATCGCTCGTAAGTTGTTGACTACCTTTGTCACACACACATGTGCCATTCATATGGGCTAATCAACAAACAAAAAGAATGCAAAACATGGATCAAGGATATCATGGTGTGGAAACAACCATTGCATTCATGGTTGGTCATGGCAGGATGCATGACATTGGCAGCAACCTTGTCAAGCGGAGAACACGAGTTCATCATGTACCATTGGATGCGTATGACAGGTTTAGCTGTGTGGACCATGGCCATCTGTCAAAGCATCACGAGTAGTAGTAGTAATGCGCCACCTCATTTATTATTGGATGCTCTTTGGTAAGCTATGTCAAACCATGTCTACAAGGGTTGGATGCTAATGATGATGACAGGATTAACAAGCCGATACGGGCAAAAATTAAGGCAACAGCATTGGCACATGATCCAGGGCACGAGATGGTCATGGCAGGCATGCTTCATTACTTTTCCATTGAATCACCTTGGGTCATTGCCATTTTGTTTTGCTTTATTACAACCAAAATGATATCGGCGAAATATGAAAAGAAGGATGGTGGTGGTACATGAACGGGCGTTATAATGCTAATGTACATCTACTACTACTACTTTTTTGTGTGCATGTGTTTTCCAACAACATAAAAAAATATAAACAAAACTTTTTGTGTGTCCGCGTGAAAATAAGGAGAAGTTGTATGTGTGAGTGTGAGTGTGTGTGTGTGTGTGTGTGTGTGTATGCGTTATGAGGAAAGCATAATGTTAATCCTACTACTATTGCTGATACATGTAGTAATAGTCGCCAGGGTATCGTTGTTGGGAGGCAGGTGGCAATGGCGCAGCAGCAGCAGCAGCGTTGTGATGCAGAGGATGATGAGCATGATGCATTGTTGTTGCTGGGTGATGAGCTGGGTGATGAGGATACATCCGCATGGCAGGATAGTATTGCATGAGCTGATCGCCTGTGGATACTCGTCGTTGGGCTACAGGGCGCTTAGCATGGGTACTACTGCCGGATGCTAAACGTGAAGTAGTGGTAGTAGTGGTAGTGGTGGTTGTCTTTTGCTGCTTTTGTTGCTGTTGTTGAGTCCCATAATAATAATAGTATGGGCTTGTAGTGGCGGTGGTACCACCATTGCTTGATGCATTGGAAGTGTTGAAATGATATTCCTTGTTTGGAGGTGAAGGCTGTCTACGTTGTGGAGGTTGAGATTGGGGCTTTTTGGGTTGTTGTTGTTGCTGCGGTGGTGGTGGTGCTGGTGATTGAAAAAGGGATTCGAGATTCGTGTAAGGGGCAGCTGCAGTAGAAGGCAATTGCAAAGTGGCAGTGGCGTCCAAATGTTTGAGAGAGGTACGCAACTGCTGAGATGGCTGCTGATGTTTTGATACAAATTCGGTAGATGCACTTGGTGTTGGCACAGGTGACACTTGAGGGCTATGGGATGGCGAATTGTTGGTGCTCTTGACCTTGTCATCGTGCACAATTCTCTTTTGCATCCGTTTCAAATCCTTTTCAATCATTTGCTGTAACTTTTGCTCATTTTCACGTTCCAGCTTTTGCTGTTCCTTGAGCGACATTTCAGGATGGGTGTTACGCTTAGGAAGCCAACCGCTGGCGTCCGATTTGTCCAACATGATAAGGAGCGTCATGCATAGAATAATCTTTAGACCTTGTGGATTGTCCAAAGAAGCCAAGTTGTATCCAACGACTGAAAACAGACCAAAGTATCCGTTCTTGCCACTGCAAGGAAGATATTGTGCCACACACACACTGCCTGATACACATCATATTCGCTGTCAGCAAGAAAACACAACCCCCAAAACGATGACGACCGGTGGTCTGGAATCAACTTACCTGTTTTACGGACACATCGGCATTCGAGAACGCTCGTGATACGGCTTTCACGGACCCTGCATTGCATTTTGTATGGATGAGTACCATATAGAGCATTGATAAAAACAATACACACTTACCATCGGTACTTTTCACCTTCCCACTCAAAGCACCATTCAAAGCCAAGACGTGCAGTGTCCTTGAAATCAATTTCCATCTCCCGCTTTCCAGCGGTGTTGCTATGTAAGACAATGGAACGTGCGCGCACGGTGGCATTCTTTGCTTGTGATTCAGCATGAGGAATAAAGGTTTCTAAATCATAGCGTGGTGTATATGTGTCAGTCAACTTGTATCAGCCGCTTGTAGCTTGTTCATGCTCACGACGTGACCCGTGAGATGCAAACAAAAACGTTACTTGGATCAACTAAGCTGACTGCATAACCATCGGGGATCTTGTGTCGTATTTTGATAAAGGCAACGCTGTCACTATCTCGCTCAGTGATATCGACAATCGAAGGATTGCGTGGGTGTGATGATAGCGTGTAATGAGTAACAGCTGTAAGCGACATTGTTGGAGGGTGGTAAAAGAAGCACTAAAGGTGTTCTTGGCAAGGTGAATGAAAAAGAGAGAGAAAGCGGTGGGAGAGCAAGTTCAAGCCGTGTTTATATATAACGACGAAATAAAGGTACGCATGACCCATTGGGGTTGTACATGCGCACAACACACGGAGCAAAGATTTTTTTGGCGATTTGCAGAATGACCCTTCGACCGTTGCTAAGGGATTTTCTTCCATCAACGCCATCTTTTCATCATTGCCCTATTCTTGATCCTTCCTTGTTTACTCACCCTATTGATTAACGATATCAAAATGATAGCTCTTAATGTTACATGTCAATGAAATGATACAACAAAAAGGGGACAACGACGGGTTGGCTAACATTTTTGGAGCCAAAACCTTCCTGTCACTTGACTGGTGTTGCTATGGACACGTATACACACACACATTTTGCTTTTTCTTGCTCTCTCCCTCTCTCGTTTCGTGGTTCCCTTTCATCAACTCAGTGATGTGTTCCGTCAAGCTCGCGCAGTTTTTCTGCAAAGGAAATGGTCCCACGGATAACCTTGTTGTTGGCTTGATCGTTGTTTGATGAAACACCAGGAGTAGTTGTACTATGGTCTGAGCGTGTATGTGTTATCAAGTCGACATTTGCAGCACCCGATCCTCTTCCGCAGCCCAAACAATTGCATCGGCGTTGGCTCTTTCTCTTCATCTATCGAATATTTGTATTGCAAAACAGCCCATAATAATGCTATCTATTGCCGATCTTAAAAAAGGGGTGATGGTTTCATGATCCCTTGTTGCTAGGCAACGTTACATGATCGCGCCACCTTTCGACATTAAAACACCCTCCCCCCCAATCCTTGATTCAAGTTGCATCCTTTGTGTGTGCACGGATAACTTGTTCAACAACAGGATACATTATTTTTGTTACAATTGATCACAAAGCCCATTTCCAACGTGTACCTGTAAGCTTGCATGCATACACAATAACATCGAGCGATTCCATTTTTCCCATGTCATCATTGGTTTATTGGCGTGTGTGGGAGAGAGAGAGTGTGTGTACATACCATCCCTGGGTAATGCCTATTTTTGCTGCACTATGATGTTATGTTGTGGCACAAGTGTACACAGGCACACATCCACTTGGGACTGACAGAAAGGTGACCACCACCAGGTGACCTACGTAATGCATCGTTGGCAATGATCCTCATTTTGGGGATACATTTTTTGCTCAACATCAAGTGGTCTTGTCGAAAATGATATTTTACCGCCAAAATCATGTGCCAAACGAAGCACGCGTAATGTATTCAAGAACATTAACCCACACCACAAGATGCATCGCTCACGTGCCATTCCATTTATGCGAGTCCATGTATATCTCAAATGCTTATCATCGTCGTCGTTTATTGGTGTTGAGTGAGAGGGACATATGCTTTAGAGCTTTTGAATGATACGTGCATGGGTCTCTTTAAGTTGATCTTGGGACACCTTTAGCTGGGACCAGCCGACAGTGAGGCCTTCTTCCTTGTTTGGCTTGGGGATGATATGGAAATGGACATGAGGAACGACCTACATTATTCGTCCGATTTGAGTATTACACAAGACGATCCTCCATCTCGTTATGTGTCTTTACCTGATGAGCCATAGGACCATTGTTCTATAGCAACCAAAAAAGATTGTATTAGAAACCCACTCAAGTCATGCACCACAAGTTCTCTCATACGTACCTGAAGAAGGTTATACTGGCCGTCTTCAAGACCATTGGCAATGGCAGCCTTTCTGGCAAGGGGAAGGATATCGGCTAAATAATCATCGGGGATCTGATGGAAAAACTCGCCATGATCTTCGCATTGCGTCAGCTATCTGCGTCAAATTGACCATCCACATACTTACACTTGGGGATAACGAGCTATAACGGATAAGCAGTAATGAGTACAATGTTCACCCTTTTTTATGCTTGATAATGTACTTACAAGATGACCCTCACTGATGGGATTGATATCAAGGAAGCAGTAGCTATAATCGTTGCATAAGTAAGTTGGTGTACGTATCCAGGCAACGAAGTGCGCGCTCACCTCTTTTCGGTCTCGGCAACCTTGAGCGATGGAATCTCACCCCTGAGAAAAGGAAAAAGTTAGCCATTACAAGCGTTGGCATGACGACTGTTGCTCGTAAAGTAGACGTACCTGATAATCTTGCAGAAGATACAATCGCCGATCAAGTGCTCGTGAGTCATGCTGTTCGAGAGGGATTGAATAAAGGGAAAAAAAGACGCGACGTAGGTGATAACGACGGTCCACACACATCAAATAGACCACATCCTCCGCCATTTCCCACACATAGCCACCATAGCCACCATAGCCACCATAGCCACTTTTTTTGTCATACTGCAACAACACTGGCTCCCCTCATCTATTACGCAAAGACAGAATGTCAAACATAAATGTTCATGCAATCATAGTTTCTGTGGAATAAAAAGGAACATTACATGCGAACGATACGATTTAACATTAGCAGTAATGATGTCCATGCCATCATCCCGATCACTCCAGGATAAACGAGGGGTACATTAGAATGCTAGTTTATGCAGGCGGGGTATACGCATGTGACACATCCAAGTGCAAGGAGAAAACAAAGAATGATACGACAATGAAAGCATCAACTACAAGCATTGCTTCATTTAAAAAATGACTATGCCATCATCGCTCATATACGCTTGAACGTCTTATTTCCCATACATGCCATTACTTGAACACGTACATGGCTTAGTGTACAGTACCATGTATCACAAAACAAAGCCTGCTGCTGGTCCACACAACGAAATTCCATCTTTCCATCACCCATTGTTATCAACAAAGACACTTTTCTAATACCAATATCCATATCGATATGCTCATTGTTGGGTATCAATTAGGGTAGTGGATAAGGAAGGTCATGGGTGTCGGTCTACGCGAGAATGTATGGGAAGCGGGTCTTTTAGAGGCTTGGGGTAAACTCTTCTTCCACTCTTTCACTCAACCTATTCTCTCCCAATCATGTATCAGCTTCCCCATGAAATCGTCCAACTCGTTGTTTATTACGTTGGCGACGATCAAGACACATTGGCGGCACTCAATCGTACCAACAGAGCACTCTACAACGCGACGCTTTGCACCCTTTATCACGCCCCCTCATTCACATCGGTCCATCAGTTTCGAGTGTTTGTTGAAAACCTCTCGCCAAAAACTGCAAGCAAAGTGCGCAAGATCGATCTCAAGCATCTGCCTCATCGGTGGAACGCTGCTTTAAGCGAGCATGTGATGGCTCTGTTGCGTAAGGCTGACAATATCAATTATCTCGATCTATGCTTATGTCGTATGTAAGTACATGTAACAATGAATGGAGAGGAGGCCAACATGGATGCTTACCACATGTCTGTATCATAGCAACCAACGCGTATCCAGGTTGGCAATCGAAAAGTGGCCACTGCAATACTTATCGCTCAACTCGCATCGCAACGTGAATGATGACTTGTTCGCCTCGTTACCCAGCAATTGTTTGGAGAATCTTCTTGAAGTGGATTTGGGAGAAACGAATATCACCGACCAAAGTCTGATGATCTTGGCGGATCGTTGCCCAAAGCTGAATTCATTGGAACTTGAAGGATGTCAACATGTGACCGAAGTGGGAATCGAATACGTGACCAAGAAGTGCCAACAATCACTCAAGTTCTTGAATATCAGGGATTGCTTCAATGTTGTCCCGGGGCCGGACAATAATCTGGATGGTACACACGTTGTGATTGATTGGGCAGCGTGGGGATTCGAAGATGTGATTGATGATGATGATGATGATGACGACGACAACAACAACGAGAACGCGTAGCCGCAGCCATCATTTAATGCACGCGCGTGTTTCATGCTGCGGAAACGAGTGGTGATTCAGTTGCCGACAACGTCCGAGAATCTTAAAAGGCGAGCAAGCGCCCCATCCATTGCTCTTTCCTCGTTTCCTCAGAAACAACAGGCACAACAGCATGACCAAATACATTGTCGTCTCTGGTGGCGTGATCTCCGGTGTTGGAAAAGGTGTCATTGCTTCAAGTACAGGCACATTGCTCAAGAGCTTGGGTTTACGTGTCACCGCCATCAAGATCGACCCTTACCTCAACATTGACGCTGGTCTCATGAGTCCACTTGATCATGGTATTATACCCCTCTCTTATTATAATAAATCCTATACTTACTCCTATATATATTATAGGCGAGGTGTTTGTTCTTAATGATGGTGGCGAGGTGGACTTGGACTTGGGCAACTATGAACGCTTTCTCGACGTTGAATTGAGCCGTATCAACAATATTACCACTGGCAAGATCTATAGTCAAGTGATTGAAAAGGAACGTCGTGGTGATTATCTTGGCAAGACCGTTCAAGTGGTTCCTCATATCACTGAAGCTATTCAAAATTGGGTGGAACAAGTGGCTGCTATGCCTATTGATGATTCGGGTGAACAGCCTGATGTCTGCATTATCGAGCTTGGTGGTACCGTGGGTGATATTGAATCTGCTCCTTTCATTGAAGCCATGCGTCAATTTCAATTCCGTGTCGGCCAAGACAACTTTTGCTTGATCCACGTCTCGTTGGTCCCTGTCGTTGGCTCTGTGGGTGAACAAAAGACGAAGCCTACTCAAATGAGTGTTCGTGATCTTCGTGGCGCTGGTCTAAGCCCTGATCTCATTGCCGTTCGCTCAACCAAACCATTGGAAGAATCTGTGCGTGGCAAGATTTCAATGTTTTGTCATGTTGCTCCTGAACAAGTGCTCACAGTCCATGACGTATCATCCGTTTACCATGTCCCAGTCCTTATGCGTGATCGTGGTGTCATTGATTTCTTTCGTCGGCGTCTTGCATTGGACAACTTGTGTATTCCAACCGAGAGACAATTGGATGGCGAAAAGCTTTGGAAGAAATGGATCGATTTGACAAAGAGGTAAGCATTAAAGCTTTATGTTGATTACAACTTAGCTAACATGACTCTATCAAGTTACGATCATCTATATGATACGGTGACTATTGCTCTCGTTGGCAAGTATACCGATCTACATGATTCCTACATCTCTGTATACAAGGCACTTGAACATGCGAGCCTTGCTGCTGGTCGCAAATTGGAGATCAAATGGATTGAAGCTACCAACTTGGAACCTGAGACTTTAAAAACGGATGCTATCAAGTACCATGAATCGTGGCAGAACCTTTGCAGCGCTCAAGGCATCCTTGTTCCTGGTGGATTTGGTACTCGTGGTATTGAAGGCATGATCACTGCAGCAAAATGGGCACGTGAGCACAAGATCCCTTATCTTGGTATCTGTTTGGGTATGCAAATTGCCGTCATTGAATTTGCGCGTAGCGTTTGTGATATGCCGGATGCCTATTCTGCCGAAATTGATCCTGACACCAAGACACCCGTGATCATTTATATGCCTGAAATCTCAAAGACTCATCTTGGTGGCTCGATGAGACTTGGCAATCACGCTACTATCTTTCAACCTGGTACCGAGGATGGTAATTCGCTTGTTCGCAAACTATATGGCGATGCTCCTACAGTGGAAGAACGTCATCGTCATCGTTATGAAGTCAATCCAGAAAATGTGGCAACATTTGAAGAGAAAGGACTTGCATTTGTGGGCCGTGACGAGAGTGGCAAACGCATGGAGATTGTTGAGCTCAAGGGGCATCCCTATTTTGTTGGCTGCCAATACCATCCAGAGTATCTCAGTCGTCCATTGAAGCCTGCTCCTTTGTTTCATGGTTTAGTATCGGCTGCAATTGGTATGAAGTTGTAGAAACCCTTTACTTGTGTAATGTAGTCCGCCATCTCAATAAACCTTGTATCAGAATTGGTATATGAAATGGGCTTTGCTAGATAGTATTATTGGTGAAGGTGGTTACTACTTGTGAAGTTATTGGATCATACTACATGATCGTAATAAAAGACACTAGATCTCTTGATTTATTGTATGAATGCTTCCCAATGATCATAATGGTTTGTTTGTAGCTTTGGTTGGGGATATGGGATAATAGCCTAGCGGCTCGGGCTTGCTTCGCTTGTACATAAACTTTTGATTTCTCATTGAATGTGTTAACACTACCTATGGATTAACGATACGTATTACAGTAAGTAGTGTTCATCTTTACAGGAGCCCGCAACCCTTTGTCATCCACATTTACGGGCGAACTCAAGGCCATGCGCTGTATTATATGCCATTCGTTCATTATCCATCCTACATGTGACTCCTTGCATTCAAAATCTTCATGATGAAACATGAGGTCTTCTTAAAGCATGGTGATCAGCTTGTCCGAGAGCACCTTGTGTGAAAGTTTCAGGTTCGAGAGGGGCAATCTCATAATCAAGGATTGATGTACAGTATTCATGCGTTCCGGTCTATTTGATTTCCACTTCTTGTCACTTCCTCCCATTCTCAACTATTGCTCATTCAAGTACAACTACCATTTGCGAACGATTGTCCTGCTTCAACCCATCATGTCAAGCATACAACTGCCTTGATCCAATTGTCTTTGACTGAACGGCAAGCCCATAGCGTGTACACAGCCCTCTGGTCGCTCTTCTACAACGACCAATCGTAACAGCATTCATTGTAGCAGTCGCTATTACGTAGCAAAACCTTTACTCCATTGTCTCAAACAGCGTTCTTTACTTGCAGCAACTTGTCTTGCGGCCTTGTCACGTGAACAGCAAATAGCCATTGTATAGAAGCACCCTTCGTTTATGCATAACAACTTTGTCCAATACATACGACTTCTTGTTAATATGAATATGGATCTGAATATTGGTTTGCTATATGGGATGGATGGAAGTGTATACATTGTCTGGTTTGGTTCGCTTGGCCCATTTGGAACGTGATATCTATTTTGGATGACGCACTATCAACCATCAACTACGCCGCAATACAAGTAACCTTTAACTAGTTGAGCTGTGATGGAAAATGACGATAAAAGGGATTGACCAACAGCTGGATGGAAAAGGAAGCGTGTCAGCCGCAATATTGGGTTTACAATGGTTATGGATGGAAGGATGCGATTAAGTGCAGTGATGAGAAGTCTTGGAATGTTGCTTTGGTTGCTTGGCACGTCATCAATAGGAACGATGAACCATACCCTATGCATACGGCTGAGGAGGAGGATGGTTCGGATGGAATTGAGGAGAGGGCTTGTATCTTTGACGAAAGGAGGTGTTTCACAGCTATGGATGATACTGGAATACTTGAGCCAAAGCATACAACACCTATTCTGCAATCATGGATGAAGGGTGATCATGACGACAGCAATTAAGTATAGAATGACACATTTATCCCTAATGAATCTATACGTTTTTCCCGTATGTACCCTATTCAATTTGGCTATATTGTTCCCTTATGTATCATGTATGTACATCGTCCACTATACCGTGTCTACGTGTTCTTCGACTTTTTATTGAATGAAAATTGGATTCAACATAATACTTTGGGGATCGTACGATCAGCTTAGATGCGCAAGGGGTGGATCACTTGGGTTGTTTTCTGCATTGAAAGGGGAACTGCAAACGTGAAAGGTGGAAGCGAGATATCATATATTTGGTGGGGGTTACACAGTAGGTTACACAAGTGGTTCAGGAGTGGAGCTGCATAACTAATCGATCGATGTGATTTGCGCACAGACCTAATAGCTTAATTACGAGGGCTGTTCTCAATCGAAGTCTTGAGCAGTGATCATTCTTATTGAGCTAAGGGCATAGAATATTGTTGATGGTACGTGTAAACAGTAATAGCTGTAGCAAGCGGGGTGGCATGGAGTGCACGAATTGGAGAGAACAGGAGGAACAAAGAGACCACTCTTCTTCACTTCCACTTCACAAAAAAGGTAAGCTTGTCACCATTTACAAACTACAACGTGTTAATTGCTGGCATTCCTTTCAATGTACAGCGTTCATTGGGGTGCACATGTGGTCAATGGCGACACTTTCCAGTTCCAGACATTCAACAGCAAGTACGCGCGCGATCTGCCCATGACTCATGCTTCCATTGCAATACAACATGTACGTTCCATCGCTGCATTCCTTTACCATTCAAGCTGGACATTGAGATACTAAAGTTCACGTGTAGTTTACTATTCTCGCGTTTATACGAGATCCAAAGGGGGCGTCATGTGTCGTGTGTATGCTTTCCATGGTTGTCGTCAGGGAGGGTCGCAACCTATTGTTACTATGGGTATGTCGACATGAAAAGCGAATGTTATTGTTACCTTACACTTCACTTACTGTAGCTTGGACACGTTGGATTATGGTACCTGTGGCAGCAACAGGATACGGATCTCAAAGCAAGAATGCTGTATGGTTGGCTCAATGGTATGCGTGGTATTCGATCTACAAAGCAAATCATGTTAATTAACGAGCCTTGCAATGACACAGCAGCAGCACCTACTGGATGGCATGGACATACGGTTTCTATTTGAGGCAAAGATGCTATTTAGAATACCACAAGGTAAAGTGTCCATTATGGAATTTGTCCCTTCAAGTGTGCTTACGAGAGAAATATTAGGTCAGGCTCTGGTTGGGCGATTATTTTGATCAATCAGCACGTCGAGGATGCCATTGTATAGTACTGTGCTCTCCTGGGGAATTTTGGCCCGGAAACAGTGTGACTCAAGATGCGATGGCAAGGCCAATTTGAAAAGGCATCCGCTGTGCACACGGCCTCCATCCAAGTACGGCTATTGATTTCCTTGCCTACAGAGAGAAGGTGGATATCTCTTATGATGCCAATTTCAGGATCCAATGAGAGTACGGTACATATGGTGGCATACCTTGGCGCTGCAGGTTGATTATTGTATTGCCTTCGGATGGTGTATTTGGTTGCAATTCCTTGTGATCACCATGGTTCAGGGCGTCGTGTGCCTTCCTTACCGAGTTGTCCACAATGAGAGTTCTCAAGACGTCTTCACATTGCCTCTTTTGGGTATGCTGACAACAAAAGCGTGTGGATTGGGTTTGCTTCTTATCTTACATTGCGTTTATGGTAGGTGAACATGTTGGATGATGGTACCTCTGGCAGCAACAGGATACGGATCTCAAAGCAAGAATGCTGTATTTGGCTCAATGGTATGCATGGTGTTGGATTTACAAAACGAAACCTGTTAATTAACGAGACTTACAGTGAAACAGCAGCAAGACAATATGGATGACATGGAGATACGGTTTTATTTGAGGCAATGATGCTATTGAGGAATACCACAAGGTAAGAGTGTTCATTATGATGGGATTGGTTGGATTCAAGTGAACTTACCAAGCGCCATACAGTGGCAGAGCCTCTTTCGGCGATACTATTATTATCAAGGCTGCACGTCAAGGATGTCATTGTATAGTACTGTGCTCTCCTGGGGAATTTTGGCCCGCGGACGATTGCAAAGCATAGGCTTGATTTGGATATCAGGAGTGATTTCATGCATATGACTATCATTGGTAAATAGTGATCCGTTCATCTTTTCCACGCTTACCAACCTTCTCCTTCACTGTAGTATGTGGGTTATTCAGCAAGCTACTTGTCTTCTGGTCCTTTGGAATTTTCATGGATGAAGCTGTCATTGAATGTCGACATGTTTTCGTGCGTATGACTATCATTGGTAAATAGCGATCCGTTCTCTTCTTCAACGCCTGCTAACCTCCTCTTTTATTATAGTACGTTGGCTATTCAGGAAGCTACCTGTCTTCTGGTCCTTTGGAATTATCATGGATGAAGCTGTCATTGGTAAATAATGATCCATTCTTTCTTTCTTTAAATGCCTACTAATCTGCTATACTATCTGAGCTATTCAGCGAGCTATTTGTCTTATGCCCTTTGGATTCCTGATGGATGCTGCTATCATTGGATGTCGACAGAGATTCATTCATATGGCTACCATTGGTAATTGATGATCCATTCGTTTCTACAACGCCTGCCAACCTCCGCTTTTATCTTAGCATGTGCGCTATTCATCACGCTACTTTTCGTTTGGTACTTTGGGATTTTCATGGATGCAGCTATCATTGGATGTCAACGTGTCTTCGTGCATACTTGGCTATTATTGGTAAATAGTGATTCGGTTATTTGTTCGAGGGCTAATACTCACATGAAACCTCGCATTGTCGTTATCGGTTCAAGTGTAAAGGACATTGTTAAGGCACACACTGTTACAAGCGGGGCGGCGTGGAGTGCACAAATCAGGAACAATGAAAGGAACGACCTTCTCCCATTCCCGCTTCACAACGATGCAAGGTAAGACCAACTCCATTTACACTCTCCACAACACTAACTTCTGGCATTGCCAACAATGCACACCGTCAATGGGTGAACAGGTGGTCAATGGTGACACATTCAGTTACAACAAGCACGTGCGCGATCTACCCTTGACTCAAGTCTCCATTCCAATACAACATGTACGTTCCATCGTCACAGTTCTTTTATTCAATGTGAACGTTGTCATATTAAAGCTGGTATATAGCTTGTTGTTGTCTCGTTTGTACAAGATCCAATGAGGTGTCGTGCGCATTCCTTCCCCGGGTTGTCCATGAGGATAGTTCTCAACACGTCTTTACATTGCCTCTTTTGGGTATGCTGACAAGAAAACCGTGTGAGTTGGTTTTACTTTTTATCTCACATTGCGTCCATGGTAGATTGAACATGTTGGATGATGTTACCTGTGGCAGCAACAAGATACGGATCTCAAAGCAAGAATGCTGTATGGTTGGCTCAATGGTACGCATGGTATTAGATCTCCAAAGCAAACCCTGTTAATTGACGAGCCTTGCAAGGAAACAGCAGCAGCACATCGTGGATGGGATGGAGATACGGATATGTGAAACAAGAATACTATTGAGAGATACAACAAGGTACAGTATTCATTCTGGGATTTGCGGCCTTAAGTACACACTTACGAAAGTATAGTGACAGGATCTATTTCGGCTACTTTATACTTTCACGGCAGCACGTCAAGGATGTCATTGTACTGTACCATCTAAAGGAGACGACTATGTTGTGTCAGTGGAAATGGGTGCGACTCAAGGTGCTGTTTGGACTTGTATATGCATTCTCTGTGCTTTCGGCTCCATCATTCTATGGCGTATGCTTTCCTTGCCTTTGAAGAGAAGATGGGTATCTCTATTGACAACATGTGGGATCCACGGTCATTGTGATTTTAAATCGGTTGGTGAAGGGCTTATGACAATGGGTCTCTCTCAAGTCTGGTGTTTGGATCTATGGCCTTCGGGAGTGAGCTAGAGGACAGTGCTGCTACCTTGACATCCTTGTCGTTGGACTTTTATCATCACATTGCACAAATATGGCTTATTTGGTTTCAAGTCTCTGTGATCACTGAGGTTCAGGTATGTAAGATTCTGATGCTTTTTGAAAACTTCTATTGAAACGTTTATCATTTGATGGACCAGTGCAAGCTGCCTATGTTTATAGTCAAGGCGTATACCACATTATCATTCATCATTGTCATTGGTAAGAATGCTTTGAGAGCTATGAAGGAATGCTCGCCGACATGCCTGTTCTAGGTGGATCATCTTGCAGCAATCAACGCATCTTTGATGACATTGGGTTTATTCGATCATCCTACGACTGATACTGGTAAGTATGCTTCCTTTCGTGTGACACAAGGCCGATATATGGGTGTTCATTGTGCATCTTCTACATATAGGTGAACCATATCCGCAATGAAGAAAAGTGATCTTTTGGTGTCGTCAATCTTTATTCCGTCTCTAATGGTTCGTTACCAAGCAACAAGCGACTCCTTTGAAGTGTGTCAGCCAATGCACGTGGCACGTCTCTCATGCGTGGATTCCATCAGCAACAAGCAACAGCATGCATAATATCGTTGGTGTCATATCAATCAAGCGTTATCCCACCATCTGGTGCTTCTCATTACCAGCAATTCGGTGGACATCCTCTATCGTATCATAGCAACGGTTGTCAAGAAGTGTATGTAAATAAAGGATAAAAGGGTGTCCTTCAGAAGGGGCACGTGGGTTAAAGAAATCATGCATTGAGGATCGGGGTATACGAAATCATGTGGCTATTGGTCGCTGGAGTGTCGCTCATGTTAGCTTACAATACAAATTGGTAATAAAGGCGATTGAATTGAGTGTATATCACAATAATGTCCATTTTTATTTGAAGTGTCGGAATGCGAAGGAGCAAGAGTATTTATACATGGGATGGTAGAGGTATTTGATGTTGCAATGAAGGAGAAAGATACAAAAACCATTAGATCTTGGAGGACATGAGGATCTTGACGACCTTGACTTGGGTGTATTCTTGAAGAGCATACTTGCCCAATTCCTTGCCGAAACCAGATTGCTTGTAACCACCGAAGGGAGTGGATTGATCAAAGACATCAAAGCAGTTGACCCACATAGTACCGGTCTTGATTTCGCTGGTAACCTTCAAAGCAGTGTCAAGGTTTTGAGTGTAAACACCACCAGCAAGACCATAGTCAGAGTCGTTGGCAATGTCAATGGCTTCGTCGATGGTCTTGAACTTGATAATAACGACGACTGGGCCGAAGATTTCTTCTCTGCTTATCTATCTCGACGAAAGAATGGGTTAGAATACAATAAAAATGAGATAAGGATATCACTTTTCATATACGTACGCGCATGTTGTTGTTTACGTTGATGAAGACGGTAGGTTCAATGTAGTAACCCTTGTTACCCCAGCGCTTGCCACCGTGAGCAATGACAGCACCTTCCTTTTGACCGATTTCAATGTAGCCAAGGATCTTTTCAAACTGAGCCTTGTTGATTTGGGGACCTTGGAAGGTATCTTCATCGAATGGATCACCGATCTTGACCATGTTCTTGGTAGCTTGGATGAATTGGTCAACGAACTTGTCGTGGATAGACTCATGGACAAGGATACGGGAACCAGCATTGCAGCTTTGACCGTGATTGTTAAAGATACCGCCAGCGGACCATTCAGCAGCTTGTTCAAGATCGGCATCAGCACAGACGATTTGAGCGGACTTGCCACCCAACTCAAGTTGAAGCTTCTTAAGGTTGCTGCCAGAGGATGCTTCCATAATCTTACGACCAGTCATAGTAGAACCAGTGAAAGCCATCTTGCTGACACCCTTGTGAGCAGAAAGGAAAGCACCAGTGGTATGACCATAACCAGTAATAACGTTCACAACACCCTATCATCATCCATCACCATGAGCCTTCTTGTCATTGGTCCATATCTCACTTTTTTACTTACAGCAGGGAAGCCAGCTTCCTTACAAAGAGCAGCAAACTTGTACAAAGGAAGAGGAGTAACTTCAGAGGTCTTCATGACAACTACATAATTCCCACGACCAATGTCTCAGAGATCTGAAACCACGCTTGTATATAGATGGCCCAGCCCAACCCAATACTTACCACAGTTACCAGTAGCCAAGGCAGGGGCGAACTTCCAGGCAGCCATCATGGTAGGGTAGTTCTATTATTCCATAAACGTAATGAGCATATGCATATACATAAACATGCACATAAAAAAACAACAACAAACATACCCATGGGATAACAGCACCAACAACACCAAGAGGTTCGTGGCGAGTGTAGCACCACTTGTCATGGGTGGTGTCAATGGTCTTGCCGTGAATCTTATCAGCCCAACCAGCAAAGTAGCGGAAGCAGGCAATGGAATCGGTAATGTCGACATCACGAGCAACAGTGAAAGCCTTGCCGTTGTCAAGAGCATCAAGAGTAGCCAACTCATCCTTGTCACGCTCCATCAAATCAGCAAGCTTGTTGATCAAACGACCACGTTCAGCAGGAGCAACCTTGCGCCAGGTCTCGTTGTAGCACTTGTTGGCAGCAGCAACAGCGGCATCAACGTCTTGGGCATCAGCAGAGTGAACAGAGCAAATGACTTCTTCAGTGGCAGGGTTGATAGTCTCGATCAAAGGACCATGGCCGGGAACAAACTCGTTGTTGATGAACAATTGAGTGTGGACTACGAGGGTGAGGGATTCTCGTTAATATTTACGCGTCATTGTTGATATGTATGGTGCCTACCAGTGATGGGCTTGCCATTGGAAAGGCGAACGGTTTGGAGATCAGGTTGGGTTTGAGCAGCCATGGTATATGATAAATGAAGAAAAAGAAAAAGATGAAAGTGAGAAGGACCGTGGAAATCTTGAATTTATATAGCTGGCACGTGGGGGTCTCCCTTCATGCCAACTGAAACCTTTTGTCAAGCCCTTTCCCACTCCTCGGAATCACACACGCAAACCATCTTCCGCAACTCATACTAGATACCCATTTTATTATCAACCATGCATATTGTACATCTTGCTTGCTATACCTTCAGTGTTTGTTTTGTTTTGATCATTAGCATTGGTAATCTAATCGTGGAGAAAGAATAAGCGCATATCAGCATGCCACCAACAAGCCTGTTACTAAGCTCTCACCTTATATGGTTAATCTATTCTCTATTTGGTCAAAGGGTGACACAGATTACCGATCAAGTTGTGTGAATCTCAAGGTTCGCTTATGCAGCAAAATGAGCTTGTTACTAGCCAACGTACTTGTCAAATCGTTTTCTTGCCAATAGATCTTCATCCCTCGGCGACCATTGGTTTTTGCTATTATTCTGCTGACAATAATTTCACCCAAAAATGACATTACATTCCGTAAGTTAGTGCCACGCCGATCCGATCCATCAAGTTGGTATTAACCATCTTTCTTCCTTATTCTCACGCATTCACTGATTTCATCATCCTTTCGGTATAGATCAGCCGATCGACTCTATGTTTTTATTTGTTGATACAACAAGCGATATACGTTTACTCTGAAGGAAGACGTTCTTTCAAAAAGTTGGCAATGTCAGCCAATTCTTGGGGACTAGCAGAATGGACCAAACCAGAGTAGGTCTTGAATTTGATGTCGTATCCAAGCTTCTCGAGGAAGGCAGCCGATTCCTTGCCAATGTTGTAGTCGACAACAGGATCGGCATCACCATGGCACATGAGAATAGGCGTCTTTTTGTTGGCGTCCGAAGCCATCTAGTAGTGGTACACGAGAGAGAAAAAGATGATCAATACATGGCAACATCCATGAACAGTATCCATGATACCTACCGATGCAAACTTTTCATGCATACCCAACCAGCCGCTGCAGCCGACAACACCACCAAACTTGTACTCGGAAGTAAGACCGGTCAACAATGACATGACACAACCTATAATCCATGATCAGAATCATCCTCATCATCATCGCATACGTGCATAATGAATGATGCACTTACCTTGGGAGAAACCACCAATCACGATACGCTCGCTGGGGATACCGCTATCGACCTCATTGCGAATCAAAGCATTGACTACATAGGTGCATCAGCACATGTACATATATACATTCGATCATAACGTTGTAATACATACTGGAGGTCATTGAAGAAAGCATGCCCTTTTCATCTTGGTTTTGGGCAATCGAACGATCCAAGCCGCTCAAGTCAAACCATCCTGTCAGTAGATAGCGTCTTTAAGTCATCATCCCCTTGAAATGCACCTATCCTTTCCATGCATGAATACATACCTGGCATACGCATGCCTTGGTTGATGGTGATAGGGATCATAGGACTAGAGCAACGTCATGTGTTGTTTGTGTGAGACCATGGATACAAGAGGTGCCTATTATATACGTACGCGTTGGGCAAGATCCACTTGACGTGAGGAAACATGTTAGACAACTCGTCAGCAAGGAAGGACCAGCCTGCACCAGAATCACCAAGACCATGGAACCAGAAAACGGTGGCAGTGTGCTTGGCTTTAGCACCAACAATGACTGATGTAAGGGAGGTAGCCATACTGACTGAATCGGTGGAAAGTAAGTGCCGATGGACGTGTGAGCCAATGAGAGAAACAACCACAATAAAAAGGGCAATGGCAATTAGCAATGAGGTATGCAACGACATTGTGGGGGCAATGTTGTCTTACGTGAAGTCTGTTTTGTATGTGTTCAAGCGGAACAAAGCTATTCAAGGGAAATTTGGCATGAAGACATGGTGGACCCATTTTACATCATCCTCGTGACTCTCACGTCCTATTATCAACTTTTTGAATAGGGTCATTGGATACAAGCTTGACGTGTTCACCATTATGGGTGCAGTTGACGGGGAAGCAAGGGACTTGCTTGAAACAAGTTGAAATGACTTCATCCAGGAACCGAGAATAACACACAACACTGCACTCTGCAATTGTATGCATCCCCCTTTAGAAAAGGAACCTTCCAACAGCTGTTATTATCGTCTTTTTTTTTTCTTTCTCCATATACATCAATCAGCATGACATTGCTATGCATACAAGGGATGATAAGTTACTCTCTAGCAAAAGAGTCTTGTTCTACCCACTTTAAGGATCTAGGCCGTGTGTTGCTGCATCTTGGATATGGTAATCAAATTTAGGTATCAGCAGCTATAGAGTAAGATTAAAGCACCCACCAATGTATAATAAAGTGACAATACATAGCAACGTGGAACGCGTGCCATATGTAGTTATCATTGTGCTTCATAAAACAACAACAGCAACAGTTGCCATGGCAGTCATTTGTCGTTGCCTAGCAACAATCATTTGCCACATCATGTATGCACGCTCTAATCTAACATGTATGGATACTGTACATGCGATCACAACCAAAGAACATCTCCCTTAACAAGACAAACCACTGCATCCCAACCATACAACAACATGACTTGGAGAACCCTTTCGCTCCCTAAAAGACCGAAACCTTGTTGATTGACCATGTCTTGCGAGATGCACCGAAGAAGGAGGAGGGGTGGAAATTGTAGCCGACAAGTGTTGTAACACATTCAGGCACCACTATTCAGTCATTGTCCCTCTTTGTTATCTTCCTTGTGATCCAGCAAATACCCTCAGCTGTCGTTTTCGATTACTCTTATTCCCTTTTCCCTGATGCTTTTCCGTGCACTGCAGCAACAGCAGCAAGGAGGAACGGTACAAAGGGGGTTACGGCTATCGATATCCCAAGTCAGCACTTACAACAACCACACAAAAAGCAACTCAGATATTATATGGTCCCTATTGTGAGAAAATTTACCCCACATAGTGGTCCATTGTACGCACAACAACATTCGTGTATGTGTGTGCGTGTGCGCATATTTCATTTCCAAGCTCCTTCGTGAAAGCGTGCTTGTTTCCATGGCTCCCATTGTTGAGTGCTGCGTGTTGTATTCTCCATTGTGATAATGGGACATCATTTACTCTCAAAGCGGGTTCTTTTGACTCCGATGCATGATAATGTTGTTGGAGGAAGTTACTTGCTGTTCGCTTGATGCATGTACATACCCACCGGTTGCCATTACTGTATTACCTCACGAACTAAACATCCATAATTTACTATTCGTCCGATGATGTACTACATTGCTGTCAATGACACGATCATTCACAGTAACGTACGCGGCACGAGCCGATCCAACTTTAAAGAAAACCCGGTAAGGATGTTATCATCATTGAGGAGAGAGAGATAGCAAGTCAAGGGAGAACAATCGAGCGTGTCATGATCTTTTTTTATTATATACGTGTGGTGATAGCTTTAATAAAGTTCAGCAGGCGACATCATGATGGATCACAAAGCCAACAAAAGGTATGATGGATATATTAATATGGAGAAGAATTAACACAACAATAGGTAGAAATGGGATGTATAATAGCGATCCTGCGCTTTACACTTGAATGGCAATCTTGGGTCGCAAATCATGCGATCGTCGTAGTCGTCGTACAAAGAGATGTGCGTTATTGTTTTGCTGTGATCCATGTGTTGGTGGTGGTGGAGGAGCTGAAGACATGGTGGAGATGGTGGTCCTGGTATTATTACTACTGTTGTTGTTGCTGGGATGGCTGCTACCAGTGGAAGATCGCCGACGAGTGGATAAATTAGAAAGCCTGCTGAGCGATGTAGTAATGAAACGGCTAGCAGAGGAACATGGTTTAACTTGTGGTGCAGGTGTAGGTGGAGGTGGAGCACTTGGCATAGATGAACCGGTAGATGCTTTACGTAAAAAGATGCTGCTAAAGCTTTTGCGGTCATTCACAGAGTTGTTGCTAATGCTGCTGCAAGAGCTAAAAGTGCTTGATGGCAATGAATCTTCAGAAGCACGACGATGTGAAGGTGGAGTATAGCCTATAACGTCATCCATATCAATAAGAGATTACTTCAAGCACACATTGTTTATTGTTTACCTACCCTCTAGCATTGGTTTAGGGACCCCTTTTTGTTTCATGCGTTTGATCCATGCTGTCAATTGTGGATCGGCACGCATACACATTTCGAATGTCTTTTCATACAACGCCAAACGATCACGTGTGTTATGCGTTTGCATGATCTCGGTATAAGAACGGGCTTCGTATTGCTTGTCCAATTTGGTTGTATTCATTGTTGTTGATGAGCAACATACGCGTCGATTACGTCGAGAAGAGCGTGGAGGCAAGGCAAGTGTGTTTTTGTTCATTGGATAAAAAGTGTGTGAGAAGAAAAGGATGAGAGTGAAAGCAAGATCGGAAATCCCAGGTATAAATACCAGAGACGCGGTGGCCTCCTTTTTTCTAACCACCCCCCAAATCCAACACAAAACTCAAAAAAGAGAGATTCTTCTGTACCGCCCCTCCCCCAAAAGCTTGTAAGAACACTTACACCCCTCTTCTTTTGGCCTTGTTCTTTTTAATTGAAGAACGCGCTCGTTCTTCAAGGTTTAGATGTGCACCCTGCACCATCAAACATCATCATCATCATCGGCAATCAGTCGGCAAAGGGGACATTGATCTCTTTTTCTTTTGCCTTCCCCCCTTGTATATGCTCTTTGTTCCCCATACACACAAGTTAAAGCATCTGTATGAGATGTTTGTTTGTTTGTTTGTTTCTACGTGCCACTGTTGTGTCAATGTAAACAATGAACCACAGATGCATCTTGCTTATTGCATTGTTACACTACCCAAGTTACTGCTACTATTACTGCCATTGCTGATCTCCTCCATTTACTGCCACCTTTTAGGCTTTGAGCTTGTTCTTGCATGGCTGAGTCGATCTCGTCTCCATAAAATAGATGGCACGGTGTAGATGTGGATCTTGGCCAATTCTCCCCGGACCACTGTAAAGGTATGACATGCATTAGATAAGGAGGAAAAGGGTGTATGAAGATGGTTATGATATTCAATCTACACGTCGTCGTCATTAGCTATACACAATCAAGCGATTCATTTAGTTTCGCTAGGATCTCTGCCACCCAAAAATAATCTGCCCTTGGGCACATACATAGTTTGGGGCACCCCCATCATCATCACATATATAGGGGAGAGCCTTCTACTATCACACCACCACCCGCTATGCTCAAATCATTTCCATTTAATAAAATGCAATTCTCATTTCATTGTCATTGGTGAATCATGGTTGGTACATTCATGATCGACCGAATTGTTCCATGCATTACATACAGCCATGTTATTACTGCAAATGAGGAGGGTAGTGCATATACCAAAGTCATCGATCATATACTTCGTGGCTATTAGAAAGAAGGGAGTGGGACAAGGATTAGACTTTTATTGGGAGATAACCAAAGGAATGAGCTTGTAGAGAGAAAGAGAGAGAGAAAAAGGAAAAGGGGTTGAAAAGGAATCCTCTTTTGTTATTGGCTTATCACCACCACCATCATCACCATCACCCGCGCTATCAGAGCCATTCATAAAGAAATGTTGAGAATGTCAATCTCATTCCTCGCCCGTGATATTACTTTGGAATTCCTTTTTGGGATTTATCAACGTTAGATTACTACTATTGTCATCCATAAGTATCTTCTTTATCATTTGCCCATATCCAACTCATAACAAGGTTGCTGTTGGGAAGGGGAAGGGAGCCTTTTGGATGAAGGAGGAGAACCAGAACATGAAAAATACACACGCTTACTGCAAGTATCTGATTTTTTGGTCCAGCACCGCTTTTGTAAAATAAGGAGAACGTGGTTGCGATGAAAGCCCATTCCGAAGTCCCGTGTATCCCTTGTACATTTTGGTGGTGTGCTGCCCGTGCGCATCAAACGATACAAGGTATGTCATAGTAATCCCTCGAACGATATGCGTGTGTATTATGTGGGTTGTTTCAGGGAGAAAAAGAAAGAATATGCAATCGATAAAGGCAGCATAGCATACAATGTATTTATTTATTCATTGCTTACATACACACGTACGTTGTTCTACTAATTGGCCACAAGTCATCTATATTGAAGCTATGGATGTTGGATGGGATCCTAGGCGCTCGTCAAATAGCTGTTGCTTTGCCGCTGTCATTAAGGATGAAAGCGAAGAGAGAGAGAGTGTGTGTGTGTGTGCGAGAGAGATAAAGAGGACACGGATGATAAAGCAAGAACAGACCTCCGTTCATTTTCATTCTCCCATGATCCATGCACTCCTTGAATAATCCAACAGAGAAGATATGCATCCGATGGGTTGTAATGCATAGGCATATCGTTGCTGCTGCTGCTGCTGCTGCCCTGAATCGTGTCCGTGGGAGAGGGATATGTACTGCCTCTAGTAATCATTATCATCACGTATCCATCGTACCTATATCCATTCACCCACCAACAAGCAGGGGTGTCCTGTCACCCTTTCACAAGCTCGTGTTGAGTACTGTAACATCATGGGTAACACGTGGAGCATGTACAGGCATTGTTTTTCGATTGAAGCGCAAAATGATACGTTGTTGGGAATAATAATTGATTCTAATATACCGGGATGAAGATACAAAGTTGTGGTGGTGATGGTGGTAGTGGTGAAGGGGAGTGAACGATCTAGGAATCATCGGATGGATGGCAAAGAAAGGGAAGAGCATGGTTGAATAATAGGGTCCTGTTCTATGGGGTGTGGTTCCATACAAGCCCCTCTTTTTGTGTCGACAAGGTTTTGCGTGAAAGTATGTCTGCAATCTTCTCCCGAACACCACGTTTTCCATGGCTGCCCTTAAGAAACCATTCGACAATCTCACGTTCTGTGGTAAGCCGGTTATTTGCCTCATCCCCAATAACGGCTTGTCGTACACTCTCCTCAGATGGCAATGCGTATCGAGAAAAAGGATAATGTCGCATGTCCAAGTTGGATGCAAAGGTGAGCTCATTGGGTGACTGATTGCTGAAATAAAGTTCATCCACATCATCCTCAGAAAGCTCGCTTAGTGCTGGCGGATCCCATACTGGCTTACGTCGAGGTTTGCTGATAAACATAGCATCAATGCCTTGATCAAAGTCTTGTGTGACCTATTTGGTCTTGTAAGTATCCTGATCATGATGCATCATTCTACAACTTGTATACTTACCATAAACTTTTGGATGAGGTCAAATTCCATTTTTAGACATTCACATAGTGTCATATGTCGTGCTCGGCGTAAACTTGTCAGCGTAACTTTGAGGCTGGATGGTGATGTGGATAGGAGTTTGTGCTTTGTCTCTCGCACCCATGCTGTTGGCGTTTCACGATCCAATGCTGCCAATATTTCTTCAATGGTATCATATTGGAAACATCTAAAATGGTACCATTAGGAATAAGAATAACACCAAAAGTACCTTGCAATCTTACCTGTCAATGGCATTGCGCAATGCTATCGGCATCCCAATCTTATCTGCTGATGGTAATGGTTCAACGAATTCTTCAATGATACGATGGATCACTTCATGGTCTGATGTCTCCAAATCCGTAAGCCGTTCTTCCAATGCATTCAATCGCCCTGATGGAACATAATGCGTTGCTATTCCAGTATAACTAATCGCACACGATGATGATGGTAAGCCGTCCTATGCACTTTGCCATTCTTCTCCTTCATTCAAATTTACTTACAATGTATCCACTCCTTGTATCCGACTCCCTGTGAGCGCCAAATAGGTACCAATTTCACCATCGAGTTTTGGGAGAAAGAAACTTGACCCTGATCCCGGGCACAGACCAATACTTGCTTCTGGCGTGGCAAAGATTGTGCGCTCCGTAGCGATACGAAAGGGACCGTGCACAAAAAGCCCCAATGCACCACCTACTATTCTCCCCTCATACAATATTAGATATTCCCTTCTCCTCATTTTCCGAACCTCCCCAACAATGCTTACGTGCATATCCATCAAGGATAGTAATGTAGGGTGTTTGCAATGTCGCAATCATTTGGACCAGCCGATATTTCTCTTGAAAGAATCGCAATGCATCCGGATCTTTGGCTCTGACTTTGAGTAGGATATCTAGCAAGGTGCACCATGAGTATACATCTTCATCAAACCAACTTGGATGCTTACCGAGAATGTCATCACCAGCACAAAATCGACCTTCACCAACACCTTTGACAACAATAAACTTTGCAAGTTTTGAAACGTCCCATGCCTGGTGGTGGTAGACAAGAAAGATTTTGAGTATGAATCGGAAAAAGGAACAACCAGGGTCTGAAACTGATAAGCTTACCTTGAGCTGAGGAGCTATGTTGCGTATCATGGAAAGTGTCAATGCATTGAGCTTTTCAGGTCGATTAAGAATAAACATCCGGGCGCCTAGTAGTTTTCTGTGTAAAACTTGGGCCTAAGTATATCTTGTGCTTTCAGGACAAGAGCATCATGAACCAACACCAAAAGACAAGGAGAAAAAAACGCACACACGCACCACACAAGCACAAAGAAAGGAGGTCGTCTTACCTGTGGGATACTGGCATCGGCTATTGCTCGAGGTTGAGTTGAGAACTATAAAAGAGTGAAAGCATGCGTCAATGAGGAAGGGTGGAATGCAAGGAAGAAGAAGAGATGGTCATGTGTGACAATTTACCCAACGCATTCCAGTCTTTTGCATGCCCTGGTGGAGGAGGAGTGTCCGAAATACCCGCATGGAAGGCATTTCACGTAAAGAGTGGTTGTAATGGCGAGGTTGATAAAGGAAGAATGGTGTTGTTTGCTTAGCAGTGTGGAGTAAAAGTGATTATCGGGAAGAGCAGCAAGTTGTTGGTATTATCCGAGTCAAAATGTTTGCCCCACGGGACGTTACTCAAGCTGTCCATGTGTGTGTGCGTGTGTGCAGTGTTGATTGTGGTGCAGAGCCAGTAAGCTGGATACTCTCTATTGGTGTTGTCTTTTTTTACCATTACATCTCCCTTAATGACAATGGTGGATTGTTTATGTGATATGCTTCTTGACCAATGCAGTAGGTGAGACAGCATAACTCACGCTGTTGATGGCGTTGGTCGATATGCATGATGCCGCACAGTGGATGATGTTACTACTGCTCAAGTAAACTTTGTTGTGATGGGATCTTGCATTAAGAATGCTCATGCATGAAAAGATTAGGATTTCATTGTCCACCATATGCTTCACGCCATTGGCTGAACCACGCCATCGTTGCTCTTGTTGCATGATATTACCAGGGTCGTGGAGATGAAGAGCTGTGGTTGGAGGATGATATTAGTTATGGTTGCACAGCCATAAACGCTTCCCGAATATTCTTGTTGACGTTCGACGGCTGCTACTACTACGTATACCAATTGCTGTGATTCGAAAAGCATACATCAACTCGGGGCATTTGTTGTAGCAAGTAAGGCACAAAGAGATTAATTCATTCAGCCTTACCCAGCCACCCAGGTGCCAGGTGATGTGGATTTCTTGCACAAAGCGATCACTTTTGAGATATAGCGGCAACAGCAGCAAACTCGGGTAAAGGTGTGTGTGTCTTTTTTCGGCAGCACCCGAGCACAACAACAGCCACACTACAACGGTGCACATACACACAACATGGTCGTGCAAAACCCTTCGCCACCATGGAAATACGAGAGTGCGTCGCATGTCATCTTTTTTTCTCTTTTCTTCGTGTCACCCAATTTCCCCACCCTTTTCCGTTTGAGCGAAACACATCCCATTCATCACAACATGCATATACCTACAACACACACACGCACACAGACCATATTCGGCTTCTTTATCGGACCATCCAAACTATGCTTATCGCGATAAGCAAGTGTCCCAATAGCATGTAAATGAAATCTTCCACACACAGCTCATTTTCATCTAAACATTGGTTTGTACGTATTCACAAAGCAATTTATTCTGAAACGGACGCCCCGTGTATGTGATCACCCAAATCTGAGTAGAAAGGCCTGGGATCTGGTGGTTGGTCTCTTGTTTATACTTTGCATATAGACACCCATCACCCCCAAATGAGCACAAGCATATGCTATTGTGCCTCCTTTTCCCCCAACATCCATCTTCATTATGATCAATGTTTTGGGCTGTGCCATGGTGGATTCATTGTTTGACCGCGGCATCCTATGTATGATAATGGTCATGTGCCCCTAGGATCCCTTGAATGAATACAAATCAAATGGCGTGTGAAAAGCAAACCCTAATGAGCATCATGTTGAATATTAGATACAGAAAGAAACATTCACCCCTTTTACCAAGAAAATGGGGAGCAGGAGGAGAAGAATGGGCGGGCAAAGTCTTTTTTTGGTTTATCGCCGAACAATCCTCCATACGACATACACATGGTTGGGGTGATCCATTATGCATCGACGATCGCTTTTTCGCTCTCTTTCATCGAGCCCCAAGGCGCAGGTGATAATGGGTAGGTTATATTGTTTCTCATACACACCTTATACGCAACCAAAATTTCATTATTAGTACATTTACCAAGGTATGACATGTGCTCATACAAATGATACTCATTCCAATTTCTGTCCCCGAGCACCCACCACTTCCACGTGAGAGATGGGGAGAGAAATGCAATATCTCGATCGCCATGTGCGCTAAAAAAACGTATGTGCGCTGCTAAATAGCTGATAAAATGCCCTGTGTGTGAGTGTGTGAAAAGTGGGGAGAGGAAAAATGGAAGCTAATGGAGCACAAGCAACAAATGAGAGTGGTCCCGAGTGTAAATGGATTGGCAACCGAGCCGTTCGCCGGGTTGCAAACCCGATCGATTGCGTGCCAGCCATGTGGCATTCGATGACCGCCAATTATTGCCAGGGAAATGACGTATTACGTAGCATTGCCATGGTAACACAATACTCTTTTCTCCCTTTACACCCCCCAGCCGATAGAGCGAAACAAATGTCGCACACACGGAGCACCTTTTATACACCAATAAACGCCCAAGGTCATCTTTTTATTCTTATCGTCATAAACAAACATAAACAAACAAGTGCTTTGACGCCCCCTTGCTATCATGAATACGCCACCTTAAGAAAGATCTCGAAATTATCGTCATGGATCAACCTTTTTTATATGACTTGGGTCCAAAAAGTGTGTAGGTGTTGATTGTTCGACTTGCCTTTTGCGAACGGACTGTCTTACATGGCTGGTGCAACATAATCACAGCATTACACGAGAGGGGGAGAAGGTACCAGACAAAGAAAAACGTGGCTCGCCCATTGACATGCTGTCCAATTTTACTTGTAAAGGAGAAAGCACTTTCTCTTACACATAACCATCCCCCCCACACCCGGTATAATGCATGACAGGAACGTTGCTAGACCGCCCTGCAGCTAATGCATCACCATTGCTATGATACATGTATATACATGCAATCCACATCTTGGTGTCAAGTCCGCTTCTGTTGTTTCTTGCACACTTTGTGAGTGGTTGTAATGACTTTTGCTCCGCCATCGAATACTATCCTCAGTGCATTCTTGAGATTGACTGAAAAGGAAAGGGAAGAGGGCTAAAAGTAAAGCACAAGCGGTGGTTGGTGATCTTGGCAAGGATGAAGAAGGGAAAAACAGGGTGAGACGACTTGTCAGAGAGCAGCAAAACGTGTAAACAGCTAAAACTTACCCTTGTGGCACTAGCAACCTTATTCCGTGCATATCTTTTTCTCGGTTCTGTGTTTGAACAAGCCTGCGTGATACACGCCGGTATCATTTTGTATAAATTAGGGCACCTCATTGTCTTGACCGCAAACCCTTTTTCCGCCCTATTCATTCTTCTTTCCTCCCCCTTCTTCTTTAAGCTTTTATACCTTTTTTTTCTTTTTATTGTTTTCTTCTTTTTCTATATGGACATCAAAAACTTGCTCAACGGCCAAGAGGAATTCGTTCGAACAGCTCGCATGAGTTCTTTCTCCTCGGCAGAATCATCCTCTGTTGAATATGACAAACCTTTCGAATGCACGTGGGACAATTGCGGCAAATGCTTTTCTCGACGATCTGATCTTTCACGACACAGACGAATTCATACCGGTGAACGACCTTACCGCTGTGAATGGTATGGATGCGGCAAGCAATTTATTCAACGATCGGCTCTTACCGTTCATTTCCGCACACACACCGGTGAAAGACCCCATGTTTGCGAATACGATACCTGTGGCAAATCATTCAGTGATGTACGCACATTCTCCCTTTGTTCATCAACACAAAAGCAAAAAAGAAAGAAAAAAATACCAACCCATCCTATTTGTCTTTATATAGTCATCATCACTTGCTCGTCATCGACGTACACACACTGGTAAACGCCCCTATGTGTGTCATTGTGGCAAGTCATTTACTCGAAAAACCACATTGTCTCGGCACCAAAGATGCCATGATGCGAGGTAAATCATCAATAGTGAAAGAACAGCATACACATATTACTTGTATATGTGCGTGTGTGTGTGTAATCAAAGCTGACCTACCTCATTTAGTTTGACCAGTACTTTGCAATCTCCGCCTACTAATTGTATCCTTGGTTCCCCCGCAACAAGCGACTCGGAGGTCGATGTGCCATTAAGCCCTCCAACACTCTTTGTACGACCGCAGCCGGTGAATCATTCCATATGGCATCCTTTGCGTCAGCCAACGCAATTCATCAAAATTGAGCAGCAATAGGATACATGTAATCCTTGTTGGATTCAATGATCGATCTCCTCCTTCCAATCAACAACATCATATCACAACAATACCATTCAACACATGGTCTTGCAAGCGTCTGTGCGCAAGCAATCGTCCTGCATTTCCTCAAGTTTTTGTTCTTTACGTATTTCCTCTATCAAACTCACATGCTATGCCTCACTCTATGCCCCCATCTCTTCCTCCCTTTTTAACTCACCACCATCACCACATTATGCCCTCGCTTTTCTTTTTTCTCTTTTTCTCTTCCCAAACATGTGTGCGGCCAGCAATATTATTCCTCATATTATGATATATAGACAACTACTACTCTCTCTCTCACTCTCACAAGCATCATCAGCAAATAAATCAGCTGTTTTTTTTTGCATGTCAAATGTATTCATCTCCAACTACACTAGTACAACGTTTTGATGAGATGGATGGGGTTGTAATATCGGGTGGTGGAATCGGGTGTGGCCGTCATTTACTGATGCGCGTATCGGATCAACATGTTGCGGAATGCCGAATAAGTAGGCTTCAAAGGATCAGGGACCTGAGGAGCAATGATGAGATCGAGATCATGGAATGCTGTGCGTGTATAAGAACAAGATAAATAACGGAATCGTAAAAAGTGGCCATGCACAATCAAAGGCAAGAAGTGCAATCTACTTTTTTCTCTTGTTAGTGATAAACGTAATTGGATCATGTATCGAAGAGGTACCTCAAGACGCCGAATAATAGCATGGCAGTGATGAATGCGACTTCAATGATGGCGACAAATCGCATGCCGGTGCTGTAATTGGTATTTGTCCAAGCTTTGATTTGTTGTTGCAATTTCTTGTCGTGAATCCATGTCGTACGAATGTAGGAAAGCGTGTGGAACCACGAGTAAGTTGCATACGGGATCAACACGACTGAGTGGAATCAAGATTTGGTTAGCATCCCCATTTTTTCATTTCTGTATTCATGCAAAAGCTTACTTGGAACACGATTCGAGAGTAACCAGAATAGAGCAAGTCCAAAGTAATGCATATTCTCATCCGTCGCCAATTGTTGCACGTATAACCAGCTTGGTCGTGGCATCTGAAAATATCCATCCATCCATCCATCAGCAACCTACCTATGCCATATTGAACACACACACACGCACACAAAAGAGCCCTTACCCCATATGACTTGAATACGACAATGCCATACGATACCAAGGCACTCAACAACGTCAATCGGTAGAGTAGATTGCTTGGGTGGGCACCGATCGTCAATAGGAGATAGATCGCCGAACACGCTAACGTCATGACATGGCCGGTAAACCACACAAACTGAAGAGACTGCCCGTATATTAGTGTGTGACAATGCAACCGTACACAGTGCTTCACATTACCTTGATTAGTGTCATGACAGGTTGCATTGGCTTGGATCGGCAACGGGTGGGGTTGATAAGAAGCTGTTTGCGTGGAAGAAAGACTTGATTCGATTCCTCCTGAGAAGAGCGCGTCAAATGAAATCAGCCATTGTGCATGACAATGACAGCCCCTCTTTGTTTTCCCCCTCCACCCTTATTACCCTCAATGCATACATAACTCTCATCATTAGCCTTACATAAAGCAACTCATTCTTTATCATTCAATGAGACTATAATAAATATAGCGTGTTGATTGAACATCCTGGTACCGCCAAAAGTACGGCTTTTAGGGTATACGAGCAGATCATACATAGTAGACTTACCTTCTTATGGATACAACGGCGCAAATCTCCTGTTTTTAGAAGATTGAACAAAGACGTACATAAAATTAGTCTCCATTGTCAAAAATAGAATAAAGAAAAGATCGTGTTGCACAACTGTATCGATCATCTACACATTCATTCATTCATTCATTCAACGAAGTGAGAAGAGCAAGATGGCAAGTCTTATCATGGTATAGTGGTTTTCATTCATTCCTTTAAAGTATGCAGGCATGTCAATTGGCTGGCTGAGGACGATGTCAAGTATTGGTCAAGATTTCGATCATAATGAAGACCTTGATAACCTTTTGGAGACACAATGTCTTTATCGTTGAACATGTTTGTCCTACGTGATAATGAAGTTATGGATTACATCATAGGACTCTCGACAAGTAAGCATTCGGCTGCTGATCACGACCTTGCAAAAAGCTAATAGTTATCATCCAAGGTATCCTCACATCACAAGGTCAATGTAAAAGTGCTACGAGATTTGAATCGAGTGTGTAATTTTAATAGAGAAACAACATCTAATTCACTATTGTGAGTTAGAAGGGATGTGGTAAACAAAATAACAAAATGCGAGCTGTCTAAGCGCCCAATTTTGCCTGGTCGGCTTCGAGCGATTGCTGGAACTTGGCCATACGTTCCTCAAGTTCAGGACGGAAGTGACGGATCAAACCTTGGACCTGTAGACATTAAACATAAGCAACAATGCACAATGATAAAGATGATTTGGGGTACTTACGGGCCATGCAGCGGCATCACCCAAAGCGCAAATGGTGTGGCCTTCAATTTGCTTGGTCAATTCCCAAAGTTGATCAATTTCCTCAGGGCGACCACGGCCATCTTCGAAGCGATCCATCATCATTTCGAGCCACTTGGTACCTTCACGGCAAGGAGTACATTGACCACACGATTCGTGACGATAGAACTTTGCGAAACGAGAAATGGCTCTGACAACATCGGTTGACTTATCCATGACAATAACAGCTATAGAGATCATTTAGCCTTTGATCCTTCCACACATTGGCAATGTCACTATACTACTTACCAGCAGTACCAAGACCCGAAGTAACATCACGAAGAGCATCAAAGTCCATCCTAGCCACAAACATATGAATAAAACTTGCTGACACAGGCATATCCATATATACAATCACTTACAAGACATCATCGCAAATGTGCTTGGGAAGAATTGGAACAGAGCAACCACCAGGAACGATACCAAGAAGGTTATCCCAACCACCACGTACACCACCACAGTGCTTCTCGATCAATTCACGCAAGGGAATAGACATTTCTTCCTCAACAGTGCAAGGGTTGTTGACGTGACCCGAGATACAGAAGAGCTTGGTGCCTTGATTGCGAGCACGACCAAAGCTGGCAAACCATTTACCACCACTAGAAACATACACAATAAGCAAGATGCCTTTCATAGCTTCTATGTATGTATAAAAAAACTTACCGTCTCAAGATGGTGGGAGCAACAGCAACGGTTTCAACGTTGGTGACAGTGGAGGGACAACCGAAAAGACCAACATCGGCGGGGAATGGAGGCTTCAATCTAGGCTTGCCTTGTTTGCCCTCGATGGATTCGATCAAGGAGGTTTCTTCACCACAAATATAGGCACCAGCACCACGGTGGATGTAGACATCAAAGTCATAACCAGAGCCACAGGCGTTCTTACCAATGAGACCAGCTTCATAAGCTTCGTTGATAGCTTCTTGCAAATGAGATGCTTCCTGGTAGAATTCACCACGGATATAAATGTATGCTATAAGAATTGGACCCATGTTAAAAAAAAGCGTGATAATGCATCTCGCGCACTCTTTTATACATACCAGCATTTGCCTTCATAGCGACACCGGCAAGAAGACAGCCTTCAACAAGCTTGTGGGGATCACCACGCATGATTTCACGATCCTTACAAGTACCAGGTTCACCTTCATCAGCGTTCACAACCAAGTAACGAGGTCTAACAAGCAATGCATATATGATCAACCACCATTCTCGATATATAAATACATGGATCATCCAATTCTTTACCTGCCATCAAGAGGCTTGTTCATGAAGCTCCACTTGAGACCTGTGGGGAAACCTGCACCACCACGACCACGAAGACCTGACTCCTTCATTTCTTGAAGAATCCATTCGTGACCCTTCAAAACGAGCTCCTTGGTCTTGTACCAGTCACCACGCTTCAAGGCACCCTTGAGACGATAGTCGTGACGCAAATACACGTTGGTGAAGATACGATCTTCGTCGGAAAGATTGCCAAAGGTTGTCTTGCCGGTAATGGGGTTAGCGTTGGGATCAGGGGTGCTGGCGTACGAGCGAGTGACATTGACAACAGCAGAAGTGGCGCGTACGTTACGAGCGAGTTGAGTGCTGGCCGCTTTTTTGTAGATAGAATGAAGAAATGCGTGTAAATGAAACGGGTTAGCGAACAAGTGTCAATGGGGACTGTCATGTTTCGAGTTGACCAAGAAGAAAAAGAATAAAGCGTACCTCTCCGGATAACGGGATTTCTCAGCATTGTCAATGACAAAGAAATATTGGAAGAGTAGGGAGAGTGGAGTGTGTTATAGTATAGAGGAAAGGAGGGTCCACCAAAGTGTCGCCTTTGTTTTTTTGTTGCCCGAGTGCAAGCAGTCAGGTGGCAGCCTATTTGATTGGCTAATTTAATCAACGATGACGCTGCACTACTACTACCTGCCTGCCTGTAGCACATACAGTAATCCAAACCCCCATTATCAATCCTTTTATTGTCTCTACCACATCGCTTCATATCATATGCAATAAACCATACAATGCTATTCATAAGAAGGCATCACATTTATTGCTGGCGCCTTTTCTTCCAACTCGTATCGTATGCAAGTTCAATCGACGATCCCATTGTTTCATGTCACTATTGCAAAGGTTAAGGCGATCCTCATCTTTCAAACCGTGCATTCATTAGGTGATCTTAAAGCTACATAATAATGCAGCATTTGGATGGTAGCTATTACTCGTTGCCATGGAAACACCACACATGGATACCATGTCTGCTTTGAGTGATTGTATAGTAGCATTCATTTTGCAGCAGCGTTGCATCATTCATAAGATAAAAGAAGGTCCATAATCATAATGCAGGCAACCAGCAGATATCGTGTTTATGTTTATCAGTCAATGATGGAGATGCACATGACATGCGGCTGAGCTGGGCCCGAAGCCGTATAAATTTTCGCTGAGGTGGGCGACTTTGAATGCTTCTTTGTCCTTATCAAGGGGGAAGCTTGTTCAAATGAGGGTCAACCGATGAGCAACTGCCAACCCCATATTATATTTTACGACCAGTGATCATGTACTTGGTTGCTGGTCAATTTTTGGCACCCTTCGGGGTTCTCATATATATATACTTCAAAAGAAAATGACAACGATCTCTCTCTCTCTCTCTCTCTCTCTCTTTTTTTTCTTGACTTTTATTTCCTTCATTGGAACTGACGATTCATGACCAAGGGCCGGCAGCTAAAGAATAAACTAAGGCACTACAATGTTTCGAGGGGACCCACTTCTTCACAATCCCAGCATGAGCAGCCAGCGTCAGTGACCGATCGGCTTACTCAAATGCGTGCTGAACACTTGAGAGCCATCCAGAATCGGAATGGGCAAGGCAAGCAATCACAGGTTACAAGCGTGCCACCGTTGCCCCCAAGTATGTTGACAGAACTTTCACCTCTTCCTCCATCCCCACTATCAGGATCATCATCTTCTAGAGTTGCAGGACCCAGACCACCACCTTCTTGGACCATGTCTCACTACTCACACATGGCTGCATATCATGCACGTACCCCGCCACCTCGACCTTCCTATATCCAATTATGCAATGCACGTTCATCCTCTTTACGCACATTATGTGCTCGTCTCACAGTCGATCGAATTGTCCATTGTCCACGTCAAGTATCTCGATTATCAGTGCGCAGCAAGCAATGGGTGCTGAGTGAATTCGGTGATCGATTGACAGATGCATTGCTGCGCCATTTTGCAGGGGATTTGTATGGGGAGTTGTGTCTTCGGGAAGCCAAGGTATCATTCGCTATGCTTATCAAGACGTTTTGGAAAACAGTGCCCTTGCCTCAAGAGCAACCCGATGAACTGGCCGAGGATTGGGAAGATACTTTGGACGATTGGGAAGAAGAAGGAGGAGATCAACATGAAGAAGAACAACATTACATCACCTATCAACACCATAACGATTATCGACTTGCGCCCATCTTGGATATTCTTGGAGACCATCATCCCGTATTAATGACACCACTATCAGCGAAACTCGTGATGCTCGACGTTTCATTTATGCCACAACTCGATCCAAGCTTTTTCTATTTGGTGGCTTTCACATTACCCAATTTGACACGGCTTATCATGGCGGGATCAACAGCAACTCAGGAAGTCGTGCTGCTCTTATCACGTGAACTTAAATTCCTCGTCTATTGGGATATTGGATACCATACATGGCTCACATCGCATGTCATTTGCCGCGATATTCAATGGGAACGGGATCTCAAACGATTGAAAACGTTGTGTATTGTGGCAGCTGGACCAGATGGACTTACGGGTCGTGACCTTGTTGACAACATGCGTGAAATCAGGCCGCGATTACATATCGAGTGGGAGTAGCAGCCCTTATTCCACAAACAACAAAGGAGGAGGCGATGAATGCCCATGTCTTTATCAACACGTGATACATCAACGGTCAATGGATTGTAGCAGTGTCAATAGTATATTAAGATGGATCATAGTGTATGTGTACATATGTTTGAATATAGTGTATGTAGAATACATATCATTGCATTTGCTTGTGGGTCATTTCGTGGGTGGGAGGGTGGAGTGGAGTTGCATACTAATTTCGCACTACGCGGCCACACATTGAGTATTTCAGTCACTCACTTCTTGTTCCAACACCACTTCATACACACATTACTTTTTCTACTCGATCGCGATGGTAACTCCCTTCTTGAACACGCATCATGCGCTGCTGAATACAAGATCTGACTCTGATGTCCATGACTAGGCACGTAATGAAGAGAAGGCTCAATCCATGCTGTACCGATTTCGGGAGGCTCAAGCTGCCGAATTGGGTCTTGTTCCCAAAAAGCGAGAACGTCGTCCAGCATTGGCATCCAGCGTCAACACAGTAGGCGAGTGTGAAAAGTGGCGACGACAACTTTTGAATATGATAGCACGCAAAGTATCAAAGATCCAGGATGGTAAATATCAACAACAACAACAACAACACCTTGAAGAACACCCTATAACGCTCTTCCTATATAGTCAGCTTATCCGATTACCAAGTACGCGACCTGAACGATGAGATCAACAAGCTTTTAAGAGAGAAATCCCACTGGGAACGACGTATCAGACAACTAGGAGGTGCCATTTATGCTGTAAGTCGATGATAATGTGACAATGGAGCATCGTTGAGTAACATGGGATATGATATGATAGGCTCCAAAAATGATTGACAATGAAGGCAGAGAAGTACCTGGCAATCGAGGATACAAGTAAGTACTTTTGATGTTCAATGGAAGAAGAAGGATCTGACATGAGGGTCATCTAGATATTTCGGTCGTGCACGTGATTTGCCAGGTGTTCGTGAGCTCTTTGAGATGGAAAGTAAGTGTGTGAGAATGCGTGGATGTAACGTGTGAGGATACTAAATGATCGGGTAGCCCAACAAGAACCCGTATCTCGTTCACGGACGGAGCTATACAAGAATGTGGATGCTGATTACTATGGCTATCGGGATGAGGAGGATGGTGTACTGGTGCATTACGAAGAAGAGCGTGAAAAACAACTCTTGGAGGAAGTCGAGGAGGAGGAGAAGCAATCAACGGCCAACGAAGAAAAGGAAGCTGAAAAGGAGATTGAAAATTATAATGCTACACCCTTTGTGCCAACTCGAAAACAAGTGGAAGAATATCTTGTAAAGCGACGAAAGGAGCAGGTATGTGATGGAAAAAGGGGAACGTCTCAATGTACTTGGTAATAACCTTGCGTGTATTTTCTATAGCTTATGGAGAAATACGTGTCTACTGAGCTGGCGCAGAATGTAAAGGAGACTGAAGAGTTGACAGGTCAACGTTAAGCACCCCAACCCAACACACACACATACATTACCATCACTATTTTCCCATATGCAAAAGTAAAGATCTGCTACTCTACATCAGGAATAGTGCACACTTTGAAATCATTGGTAGACTCAAAAAAAAAAACTTGTTTGGAGATGGGATGGAAAAGGAAATGACTTTTGGGTGTCTTGTGTGGATAGCTATGTGTACATACGCACCATCATCATCTCTTTGACAGATCAGCACATTACATAATGTTGGGATACAGCTGCATTGTCTCAGCTCTTGTATTAAGGTTGTCGTGGTGGACGTATGTAACCACGTCGATCTTTGTTTATATTGTGATCATAATTGTACATGGCACCATTGTTGATCCTACAATGTAACACGACCGTCACCACCATTATTGAAAGCTGTGTGAGAATGTTGCTATGCACTATGATGCATGCCTAGAACACCGTTTCGTTGGCAATCTCCTTTTACAGAAAAAAAACAACACGGCTGAAAAGACCCATGCTCTGTAGCGAGCAAAAGGAGCATCATCACAACCTATGCATGATGGTATTGGGGGATGTACAGTAGCAGCTGCTGCATGCCATTGCAGTAATTTTGAATACGCTCTAATTTTATCCACCGTACAACGATACACTTTTAACCGGTTGTCATGGAAATAAGCAGTGATTCGTGATCATAGTGTGTGTGTGTGTGAGAAGAAATATGCGTGATGATGTGAGCAACATCTTGATTCCATCACTCAAAAAAGTGGTAGTTGCCTCCTCAAGAGAAAATATGGAATGCCCCCTGGGCTACAAATTGGATTTTGATCCCAGTCCTTCTAGCATGTGTACGTATAATGAGGCATGTATGTATGCATGTAGGAGTTGTTATCCCTCATTGTTGTTCCCATAATAGCCAACAACCAACTTGAGCTCATCATTGTCATGGTAAGAAATGATATGTATTGATACAAAGGAAGGATTGATGGGATACAAATGCAACTGGTACATACATGATAGTAGCAAGAGGATGGGATGTGTGAGGTAGGAGGAGGATATAGTCTATTGATTCCTAAAGTGTTTTGTGTGGGCGTTGGCGTTAAGAGAGAGAGAGGAGAATTTGAAATGGGTGGGTTTGGTATGCTATTATTATACTACAGGTTGGCTCCGAGCTGATCTAAGCCATTGCTTCCATACAGCCTTGTTTGCATCCACGACTGAATTGTCATTTTGTTGCATGATTTGTGTTGGGATGGTGGTACTCGATGAAGCGCTATTGGCTTTGGATGATATGGTGTTGTTGTTGCCGGTGGAAGTGTTATTGCTGCTACTATTTGGATGTGCGCTGCTAGGAAGAGGTAGGAATTGCAGTACGTTGTGTTCTCTTGGTAACGAGGCGCTAAACATATATAGCCTCCTGTCTTGGTCGTCATTCGGTGCCCAATGATCCGAGCATAGCCGATATTGATACAAAACCATTGTTCCATCGGGACGTTCTTCCAATCGTAAACGTGATACGTAGGTTGTAAAGTAAGGTTGACCGCATGCTGAACATGGTTTGGGTCTCTCGTTTAATCGATTGTCAATGATCCATTGAAGATCTGAATCATTTTTCGTTCGAGTGGAGGCGTATGCTTGACGTGCACAAAGTTCGAGGAGGCTGGGTGGATTGTGCCGTGAATCATGCATCAACTGAGTTGGAGGATCGATTCGTATTCGGCGTAAATTGGGGAGACGTAATAACTCTGCAGGCACATGCTGAATCAGTGGACACTTGTGCAAATACAATGTCGATAATGAAACAAGACCACCGATTTCGATAGGAAGCTCAACAAGATGACGATTACTGCTAAGGTCGAGCACTCGTAATTTCTTCAAATGGCCAATGTAAGGTGTCAAGGCGGAGATGGGATTATGAGAAACGTCCAACTCTGTTAACTCCACAAGGCCATGTATGGAATGAGGGAGATGGTTGATACGATTATGCGAGAGGATGATGTGTGTCAATTGTGTGAGCGATCCAAATGCATCAGGTAGATGTGTCAATTGGTTTCTGGATCTAAAAGTAAAAGTAAGCTATGTGTAAGTACATGTCTAACTCCTTTTTTTTCGCCACCAAGAAGGGGGGCAAAAGTAGAGATGTATGCATACATCTTCAACTACCACCACCACCACATCATTCCCATTCCTCACTCACTCTATCCCCCCCTTTCCCCTTACAGATCAAGTTTGGTAACGGTTCTCAGGTATAGGATATCATTATCAAGGCCAACTAATGCTCGAGAATGAAGTCGTAGTTTGCGCTCTTGAACAAGGTGTTCGATATCGCCAAAGGTCAGCTTATCGGTGTCAGATTTTCGGGTATCATGGCGACGGCCCGCCTTTTTTTGTTCCTTTGCTGAAGCTTTGTTGGTGCTATTAGCATCACAATAGTAGGTGGCGTCAATGTAGGCGAGATCGTGAGCGAGATTGGTTGTTGACAGGAGACCATAGTAATCAGGCAGGGCTAATACGCGGTCCTGTAAAGTGCCCTGAGGGGAAGTGGTTGTGTCGGGTTGGTCAAAGTAGCCAAAAATCCGCTGTGTGCTCGCCCGCTGTCCCATGGACGAAGGAAAGAATGAAGAAAAAGTAAAAAAGCGGGATACAAAGAGAAGGAAAGAAGAAGTAAACATGCTACACAACAGATGCAAACTCACTTTAAACAAGGAGGCGGGAAAAATATCACGCCCAGCCATGATGATGGATCGACACATGTTTATGGAATACCTGTAGTACCTTCCACCACCACCACTCCATTGGTTATACAAACCTTATTCATGAATCACTCGCTGTTAAAGTATCAATCATCATTATCATTTGCTAGGCCATTTGTAAATAAACAATCATCTCATCATTAATGCTATGTATCTACAACAACAAAAGGCGTCATCATCCAACTTCCAATTATTTGCTATTCCCGGTGCCTAGTTTGTCTCCCCTAGTTGTGGCAAAAGAAAAAGAAAGCCTTTATCACGCAGGGAAAGCATACTCCTTGTCCTTCCAGCCCCAAGTTGTAGACAACATCATCACCCAACCCCAGATGAACAGGAGCTCCTTTTAACGGCGACACCACATCCGCTATGGTTAAATGGCAGTGAAACAAAATGGCCTTATCATTAGCCGCTTCCCCAGATTTTTCATGTTTGAAGCGGGCATCTTGTATCAACTCTATTATCTCCTTTTGTGTTGCTATATGAGAATAAAGAAAAAAGGTATCTTGAACTTTAACAATTATGCAATGCTTGTATCCTCATGGTTGTAGTAAGGTGTTCCTGGAGTGCACATGAAAGCACGTGGTACACTTGCATCACCAATGACTACCCCATCACTGGAAACGCAGCACGCAAATGCCAATCTATTGCAGCATTAGTCATACTGCATTATCCGCTGTCATTTTCCATTGGCTTGACAATGGTAGAATTACGGACATCGATTAGTGTAATATCATGCAAGGCTTGATCATAGAGCCGAATGCAACCCATCATGTAGAGTAAGCATCCTGCTATAGTCTTAAGACTACAAGTGGGGGTATCTACGTACCAGATCCATAGTAAAGTACCATACTCAAGAAGTCTTTTATTACGGCAATAGGGTTACTACATACATGCATGATAGCCAACAACAATGCTTCGTGGTAGTAGTAAGAAGGTTTATAGACAAAGCGGATGTTTATTCCATATATGGGGTTAGGTGTGATTGGCCAATCTACTGCAATGCAAGGCATGTTCATCATTGATGCATATGACATGAGTTAATATGAGATGATGATGGTTGTTCACCTCAAACGTCTGGAAGCAGATATGGTGGAACACCCATATAGCGAATGCGGTGATTACCATTGGCCCATTTACAGCTCCGGGAGGTGGCTGGCTCTCTTTGTAGTAGTGCTTCTTTGTAAGACTAAGCATGATCAAGAAAGTTTATTCACAATGGCCACTAACGCTGTGATTCAAAATGCTGTTTCTACTTTTACAAAGCTGTTTCATGTTTTGATATGAGAATGGGAGCAGGATGGGGGAGGGGCTTGAGGAATGGAGTGGCCTTGCATGATAGATCGTATGACAAATAGCTTTGATGCCTTGATGATACAACAACATGTCATAAAGAAAAATGGCTTTTGGACTATGGGTATGTCTATTGTGCAATGGTTGAAACGAGTTGGGAAAGGGAAATGCGAGGTTGCTTACTTGCAACAGCAACAACACCATCACCACCACCACCACCAGCCTGTAGTTGAGTTGCCGAGACTGCTGGCGCCGAAAAACGAACAACGAACATAAAATTTTCTTTTCAACCTTCGCTTGCTTCCTTTTTGACAAGAGCAACACACCTTCCAATGGCCGATACTTCTTCGATCAAGCCAACTGCTACGGCTCCTCCTGTTGATACTTCCAAGTGGCCTCTTCTCTTGAAGGTATTGCATTGGAGAGAATATTCAATTCATTGATCCAACAACCCGATCCTGACACTTGATCTTCTTGCTTTGACAGAACTACGATCAACTCAATGTCCGTACTGGTCACTACACTCCCATTCCCAGTGGTTGCTCACCTTTGAAGCGTCCTCTTAACGACTATGTTCGTTATGGTGTTATCAACCTCGACAAGGTGTGTATCAGGAAAAAAAGGAGCCATGTTGATATGATACTCACCCTATGTGTGTGTATGTCATTAGCCTGCCAACCCCTCTTCCCATGAAGTCGTTGCTTGGATTCGTCGTATTTTGCGTGTTGAGAAGACTGGTCACAGTGGTACTCTTGATCCCAAGGTTACTGGTTGTTTGATCGTCTGCATTGATCGTGCCACTCGTCTTGTCAAGTCCCAACAAGGTGCTGGTAAGGAGTACGTGTGTGTGCTTCGCTTGCACGATGCTATTGAAGGCGAGAAGAAGTTGCTTCAGGTAAACATGAGAGCATTTGATATATAGAGAGAGAAAATGACAAGCTAAACATGTTGTATTATTATTATTATAGTCGATTGAGACTTTGACTGGTGCTTTGTTCCAACGTCCTCCTCTTATCTCTGCTGTCAAGCGTCAATTGCGTGTGCGTACTATCCACGAAAGCAAGTTGATTGAATACGACAATGATCGTCACCTTGGTGTCTTTTGGGTGAGCTGTGAAGCTGGTACATACATGCGTACACTTTGTGTGCACTTGGGTCTATTGCTCGGTGTTGGTGGTCACATGCAAGAACTTCGTCGTGTGCGTTCCGGTGCCATGTCCGAGAATGATGATATTATGACCATGCACGATGTCCTTGATGCTCAATGGATGTACGATAACAACCGTGACGAGTCCTACTTGCGTCGTGTTGTTCGTCCTTTGGAGACTCTTCTTACTGGCTATAAGCGTGTTGTCGTCAAGGATAGCGCTGTCAATGCCATTTGCTATGGTGCCAAGCTCATGATTCCTGGTCTCTTACGTTTTGAAAGTGGTATCGAGATCAACGACGAGATCGTTTTGATGACCACTAAGGGTGAAGCTATTGCTTTGGCTTATGCACAAATGACCACTGCCGTTATGGCTACTTGCGACCATGGTGTCGTTGCCAAGATCAAGCGTGTCATTATGGAGCGTGATACTTATCCCCGCAAGTGGGGTTTGGGCCCTGTCGCTTTGGCTAAGAAGAAGCTCAAGGCTGAAGGCAAATTGGACAAGTATGGTCGTGTTACCGAAGAGACTCCTGCCGTTTGGAAGAGTGCATACGTCGATTATCAAAACAACCCCGAGAACAAGTCCCTTGAGCCTGTTTTCAACAAGCCCACTGAATCCGTTGTCGCTGCAGCTGGTATTGCACCCAAGATCACCCCTGTCGATGTCGCTGCTGTTGATGCTCAAGCACCTGCTGGTACCAAGCGTGCTGCAGATGAAGAGGCTACTTCAAGCGAAACCAAAAAGTCCAAGAAGGAGAAGAAGGAAAAAAAGGAAAAGAAGAAAAAGAGCAAGGATTAGACTTCTATACGGATCCCCAAGCAAAAAGTTTTGTGAATATGGCATTATAATTCATCAGTTTTCATGTTTTTTCCCCATCCCGCGATTTGTATCATTAACCAGCAAAAAAAGTCAAAACGATGTCCTACGTTTTATTTATCATGCAAATGTTGCTCATGTATGCCGCCGTATGGGAAAAGGGAAGATGAGGAATATCGTTCTTCTACTATTGTGTAACAAAGATCGGTATTGCTTTTCGCTGTTAATGGTCAAGATCGCATATGGATCCAATAAGCTCAACATAAGCGTGATCAATGACTAGCGTTGGGTGATCGTGTGATACACGCGTTTGGATATATTATGGATCGCAACGCAAAAAGCGCGGGATCGTAAAACTTTATTGACGAATGGATCCATTCATCAGATTATAATGAAGGAATTTGAGTCACAAGATGAAATGGGTTGTTTGCTATCATCAATCATGGTTCCTGAGGCTGTGTGTGTAACGGGTTCAAGAACGATGGCTGGGGTTGTAGATTTTAGCACGTTAAGGCCAACGACGATATGCACAAATCGATCATGGGCTAACAACACACATCCGCCAATGGTGGCACAAGCATAACTGCATTGTGATTGATAAATGAGAAGCGTGCGGCAGAATCATTGTTTCATTGTTGTCACAAGAGGGGCGAGAAAAAAAATGTAAACAATCGGATGTGTTACCTGAGGGATGATTAGTCCGCGCTCACAAAATCTGATAAGACAATCATGACATTTACTATTGAATCTCCCTTTTTCCTTTCCTTCTTTCTTCGTTTTCCTACTCAACAAACAGCCATGGTCGCCGCTAATCCAACGCCTAAAAGAAACGTCGTATCCATTGGTGCATCTTCAGCAGGTACGGTTAATGAATGATACGAGTATGCGACATGCTTATTGATGACCATCATCCTGGTATATACAATAGCCATGGGATTTACATTATCGTGGAAGGAGAATCCTCCAAGCACACATCGCCTTATTCTCATTGAGGTGAAGACACATTACAATTGGGTCTACGCCTTTCCTCGAGCATCCGTCAAGAGTGGCTTTGAACGAGAATTGTTCATTCCATATGCTGGATTGTTCGGCTACAAGGATGATGTCGGCAAAGTTGTTACAGCTCGCGTCACGGCTATTCATAAAAATTATGTCGAGTTGGATCGTGAGGTCCCTGAATTTGGCACACGCATTGAGTTTGATTACTTGCTTTATGGTGCAGGCACCACCATTCCCCAACCCGGTCGATTGCTCTCCGAAACTAAAGCTGAAGGCATTTCGATTTTGAAACAATACCAAAAAGTCATTCGTGAATCCAAACAACCCATCATCATTGGTGGTGGTGCTGTTGGTCTTGGTGAGTTTCATGCTGTTGCCATGGTTACTGCCATGGCAACCAATTTTTGTCATTGATCTCATGTTGATGATGGTATGCATGTATGTAGAATTGGCGGCCGAGATTAAGGAAGAATATCCCGACAAGCAGGTGACCCTGATTCATTCACGATCACGATACATGGCTCGATACAAACAAAGTTTGGATTCCTTCACTTATGGCATTCTCAAAAAGCTTGGTGTGAGACAAGTAATGGGTCAACGCGTAAATTTGCCTGAAGGCGGCTTTCCTTTGGAAGTCAAGCCTGTTGAAGTCACGACCAAGACTGGTAAAAAGATCCAAGGCGATTTGGCAGTAAGCATCATCATCATCATCATGCGCCACAATCCCATCATTGACCATTCATGGTAATAGATTTTGTGTATCGGCATGACACCCAATAGCGAGCTGCTGGGCAAGCTTTCTTCAAAGAGCGTGAACAAGCAAACAAAGTTTGTCAAGGTGAAAGATACTATGCAAATCGACGATGACGAATACCCACACATCTTCGCCGCTGGTGATGTTATTGAACATACCGATGTTAAGACCGGTCATTTTGCTTGGATGCAAGGTTTGACCGCTTTGGCCAATATTCTCAAGCTCATCAATGGTGGATCATACGACGACTTGGAGCCCTATGTGAGCAAAGATGTTGCTTTGATCAAGATTGCTCTTGGCGAGGTATGATACTCAATAATGATGATGACTTTGAGATGTGTATTGACTTTTTCAATAGAAGGAGGCTGTGATGCAAACCAATGCATGGGGACCTTTGGTTGCTGTTGGAACTTGGATAGCGGGAAGGAGCATTCCTCGTAACCTGTAAATGATAAACCAAGAGAAGGAAACATTATGTATATTGACAAAACTTTTGTTAGGTATGCTAATTTTGCTTGGTCATGGATGGACATACCTTGTGATGGCGAGCACTTTGACTTGTAGTAGTTGTATATACGTCTTATCTTGTACAATAAAAATATTCATATTGTAAGCCTACTTTTCCGAGAAATGTGATTTTCTTTGGTAACTGCGCTGGTGGGATTATTAGGTCTCAGCTCAAGTTACACATGGTTAGTGCCGAGTAACGAATGGGGTGATAATCTTTTGACGTTTGATCGGATACAAGACATCTCTGTATTGATCCTATGGACATGCATGGTAAGCTGAGGACTTTACAATGAATCGTGTGGTGCCTAATTGGTAATACCGAATATCCCCGGATTGCAAATGGGCAAAAAGATCTGATAAGTCTGTGTATTGTGTAACGCGGCAATATCTCCCCGGCGGCCCACACACTGGGTGTGCGTATAAAAAGGATTGTTTCTCGATCAACATAGTTTCAGCGGAATCGCTGGTTTTGTCAACCCTCATTTTAAAGTATGAAGTTTTTTGCTGCAAAATCAGATGAGGAAGAAGGCCATGGCCGTACAGTGGTCAAGCCAGCACCAGGCGCACCCATAGGCATACAAAAGGTGTACCTCATGAACAAGCTTGCAAGCCGGGTGGATCTATGGCTTATTATTGGCGGGTATGTTACTCATCAAAAGTACTTGCTTTTATGAAACCAAATCACTCACTTGAAAGCAGCATTGTGTTATTCGCATGGGCCAAAAATTGGGAAGGCAACACGATTTACTCGATCACTTTCAACGTCCTCAGTCTCTTTCAAGCCGCCAACCAGTACTCGCTTCTCAACACAGTCCAATACTTGCTCCAAACAGTGTTAATTCCATTCTATGCCAAGCTATCAGACATTTGGGGCCGTACGGAGGTCTTTGCATTGTCGCTTTTCTTTTACATTATCTCTGGTGTTGTTTATGCTTGCGCGCAACGCTTTAGCGACTTTGCAGTAAGTATTTTTGATCCGCTGCTGTGAGTAAACTCGGGATAATAACTCATCTGATTTTGATTTCAAGGGTGCACAAGTCCTGTACGCATTAGGTATCTCGGGTGCTCACTGTATGGGACACGTTGTGATTGCTGGTAAGCATGATTTTGGTTCTCCTTCCATGATACAAGGTTAGCTGACAACAAAATTTTTTCGAAAGATTTGACGAGCAAGGTGAACCGTGCGCTCTTCCAATCCTTTTATGACGTACCCGCCATCATCAACATTTTTGTGGCTCCTATTGCAGGCCAACATTTCTTAAATACCAATTGGCGTTGGGTCTATTCAATGATCCCATTTTGCATTGGTGGCACAGCCATCATTCTCATGGCTGGTATGCTGCATGTGGAGTACAAGATGCGTAAATCTGGCAAGCTAGCACAAGTCCGCTCTGCTCTGGAAGCTGAGAACCCTGAAAAGCGATCGATGGCAGACCAAGTCAAGTGGTGGATCAAAGAACTTGATGTCATTGGTAGTCTTTTGCTTGTTGGTGCTTTGTGTATGCTATTGCTTCCACTCGTGCTTGCTGAAACCGATTTTGGTGGCTGGAATAGCCCTACCACCATTGGTTTGCTCGTAGCTGGTGCCGTCTCTTTGGTGCTCTTTGGCGTATATGAATGGAAGTTTGTTGAAGTACCATTGATCCCTGTGGGTCGTTGGGAGACCTTTACGCCAATGGCTGGTGTGCTTTGTGTATCCGTTATCAGTGTCATTGCTGCTATTCCTTTTGGCTACTTCCAAATGTATTTGCAAATCGTCAAGCAATGGGATGTTATCAAGGCCACCCATGTTGATCGAAGCTATGACGCCGTATACTTGGTCTCTCAAGTCGTCGCTGGCTTTTTAATGAAGCATTTCAAGGTCTACCGCCCTATCATCCTTATTGGCATTGCTCTCTTTATGTTGGGCATGGGTCTTATGATCCCAGCTCGTTTCCCTGGTGCATCGGATGTCTTTTTGGTTGCCACTCAAGTCATTGCTGGTTGGGGTGCTGGATGGGTCTATGTACCAACATTGGTTGCAGTGCAAAGTGCTGTCCCCCATAATGGTAAGCATAATAGAACAACAAAAGTAGCATCCCAACTCATTCACTTTATTAGATTTGGCTATTGCTACTGCTTTGTACCAATGCACAACGATTCTTGCATCCTCTATTGGTGCTGCCATTGCTGGTGCTGTCTGGAACAGCTGGTTACCCAGAGAATTGGCTCGCATTGTCCCTGGGGAAATCAATTACGCATATGCCATTGGTGATATCAACTATGTCTTGTCGTTGCCAAAGGAACAATATGATGCCGTGGCAACGGGCTATGGCAACATTCTTCGCATCTTTTGTATCGTTGGTCTCTGCTTGAGCGTGCTTGCACTGGTGTTTGCATTGCTCATGAAGTCGTTTGATCTTGAGGATGACAAGGTTGACGTGTTATCAGAAACCACTGTAATCCCTGGTGATGGTATCTCTGAAAAGAGCAGAGAACATGTGAAAGATCAAGGTACGATTATCCTATCTACATCATAGCCTATTGCAAGTACTAATCTCTTTTTTATAGATGAGTCATTAAAGATCGAACAGCCATCAACTTGAACAAAAGTAGGCATCATTTTCACACACCCTTAACATCCCCATATCTTTTATCTACTACCTCTTACTGCATTAGCATCGTTATTGCTCTTAATATATTATGTTGCATTCACAATGTAAATCAATTTGGATCTTGTAATCATGTTTATGGTCATTAATAGATAGGAATGTATAATAAGAATGTATTCTGATTAATCAGTCTTGGTGCCATTCACTTGCTTTGCATGGAGGAGGAGCTTTGACATGGATGCAAAACCAAATAGCAAAGTGCTTGTAGTCCACTTGAACACGTTGATGGGGCTGTACCAACCACGACGTAAACAGATGCCTAGCGCTACAAGGCTTTCACCCACATGAACAGCGACAGCACCGCGGAAGATGTTTTGGATGGTATTATGACCAATGGCTTCACGGAAGGAAAGTACAGATGCAGGGAATTGACGTAACAAATAATCATCAGAGGAAAGAGCTAAGACGGTGGTAGCACCCATGCCTAAAGCGATGAGGATTTGCCACATGGGATTTGCTGGATAAAATGTGTCAAGAGGTACAGCAGGCTGAGGAGGCGTGTAGACATCCGTTGCTTGTGCATACAATGCTTTGGCAATAGCTTGAATGGGTGGTGGCCCTGCAAGAGAGCTTGGCTGATAAAAAGATAGTAGGGCCTTTAGTCATGCAAGCTCATAGACGATGGATGCACACACACACACACACACACAACATACCAAGCCCAATGCCGACTCCGCTTCTTTGGCCATCTCCTCCAATACGGGCCGAATTTGTTCACGTTTGGTGAGTGGTGTTGTAAACTCGATAAAGAGATCTTGTTCTTGGTTATCGCCACGTAGTTTGTAGGAAACAGTAAATCCACGTGAATTAATGCTTTTAAAAGTGGCTGATTCTGCATCATCCTTGTTGCCAAAGTAACGCACGTAGGCAAGGTTGGTTGCTATGCAAGCATAAAAAGGTCAATTGACCCAGTGTTGGCATTGTCATCTTGCAGGACCTACCCGCATGTACGCTCATGTAAGCTGAAATGGGACCACTGTGAGGAGCGATGGGATCTGTCATAGTTGGATATAGAAGGGTGAAAAGGAACAAGTGTATATTACACGAGGGAAGGAATGTCACTGGATATAGAATTAGGCAATCGAGCAGTCTCGGATATGCGGGGCGCGCGTAATGGCGAATCATATATTAGCCAAGGAATTACGGGCGTTCTATTGACTAGGGAATAAAAGCTGGCAATGATGGAATAACAGTAGAAGAAGAAAAAGGGCATTGAGATGTTGTGTGATCGAGTGAGTGAGTGAGTGAGTGAGTGAGAGAAAGAAAAGAGAGAGAGAAAGAGTACGAGCTAAGGGTATCTAGACCAAGGCCAATTCCAATGTCCACATGCGTCTCGCCCACAACCTTACGGTATATCCTTCAATATCAGCCGTTGTACCATCCCACCAGCATTTTCTCTAATAAACGATGATGATGAGTAATCCCTTCTATTTACCCCATACAACATGCATCTATCTATATTACTTACCGCAGGTTTTCTCCAAAAGAGCAGCAATTTTTGTGCCGTTGCCATGTGGTTGTCTGGACCTGTTGTCTTTAACAACACTAAGGACATGCTGGTAACACACGTGCGAGTAGGTTCGAGTTGACGGTATCCCCAAGGATCATCACGACTGAATCCTGCATCACATAGCATATCGATAAGATGTTGTTCGGCTGCATTGTTTTCTCGAGAGATGTTCTTTTGTAATGCGTCAAAGATACGATTTTGTCGTTGCAAGGATCGACCCGAAGCAATCTTGAGAGAAGCCATACTTTCAGGTGATAGTTGAGGAGCAGCGGCGGCTGAGGGTGTATTATTGGTAGATGAAGACGATGTCGTATTGTTGGATGATTTGGTAGGGATGCAATAATATTCGAGTTCTTCACGAAGGACAATAATAGGTTGCTTGTTGGATAACAGCGGATAGTAAACGGATGACGAGAGATGGTCATTCTGATGCTGCTGTTGTTGTTGCTGGTCGGCAAGCTCGTTTGAAATAGCAGCTGCATGCTGATACACTCGCAACACATAGTCAAGACATGCTGGATCAAAGTCGACAAAAGTAACTTGCTCGTCAACGACACCACCACCCACACTATCTCGCGATTGATCTTCGTCCTCTTGTCGACCTAGCACCAACCCATTGGGAAACATGGCAATCAACAAGCTCTCGGGAAGGTTGACTAGCGTGTCTCGATCAAGGTCAATACGAGTGCCTCGCAGATCCAGTTTCAAGATGGCAGGGATAGCATCCTCGGGTTGTTGATCGTACACATCCTCATCTGCCTGCTGTTGCTGATAAATCACCTCCTCTTGGTCATGGTCGGCTTCAGGGTCGTGGACTTGTGTTATGGGAGAATCAGAAGTCATATGCAAGATATAAAATACTGAGGAAATGGAACAAGAGGTAATAAGAAAAAGAAAGAGGAGGGGTTGGTCAAGCTTAAGGAGAGTGGGTGATTACTCTTTATGGTTGGCAACGTGCAACATGATACAGTCTCACAATGCGTATACACACCGAATCCCCCATCAATCATAGCACTTTATAATAACATCCTCCATTGTATGTCGTATCCCTTGATTCATTATCACCAACCCATCATTATCATTAGCATCAAGCATGGATTGCAACAATAAATGGACCCATTCATTGTCAACCATCTCGTGGCCTTAGCACCGTATGCAATCATTGCCCTGTTGTGCTACACTCCCATACACTCGCACTCGTCGCATGCAACATGACAAAGAGAATAATGCGTCCTTTGCTAGAATCACCTAGGCATTATGCCTATTCAATCGACATGGCAACCAACATCCCAACTCATTCACACGTCCATCATACAGGGGGAAAAACGATGTATGATATATTAAGTGGTAATGGCTAGTGTATAATGTATAACTTTGTGAAGATGGTTTCATGCGTCGCTAGCATTGCTGTTGTTGTCCTTTGACTCGTTTTGTTCAATACGCGAAAGGGCGTCGTTCAAGGAACGTTCAAGGCCATCAATCCTCTTGCTCATGTCTTCCACTAAAATGATCCATCATGAGTCTCTTTGTAGTCTGCATAAAGAAATGGTTCAACATACACTTGTCATTGATTTCATTATTCACCGTCTCCACTTTGCTTTGCTATGAAGGGGTTATATACATAAGAACACAGCCTGTCAACATCGTATTCGATCGTTCAACACACTTACAAGCTTCTCGATCACGCCATCGATCTAGAATACACACAATGTTAGTTTTGGGGCTTCATGCATGTTCAATAGAGGGCATCGTACATAGCCTGCAAAGTCATCTGTTGTCATGGTAGCTGACGTGGATTTGTCTTCACTGCTGGCCATAGTGTTTTGGGTGGAAAAGAGGAGCTGTTGCTATGTCCTCTCTGAATTAGAATTCTAGTTAGTAGTAGTACCTGAATGATGCACTCACCACCACCACCCCTCATCCTCATTCTCATCTTTATCATGCGACCCGTATGTGTATACGATGAGTAACATATCTATACAACGATTTATCTTTATGTGATGGAATAAGGGTTGAACAATGCAAATGTGGTAGTAAAGAAAAGGGAACGAAATGAGAAAGCAAAATGAGATGAGACTATTAAGCAAACTAGAAGCGTACAGATTTGACGACATTCTTCTTGATACCGGTCGATTCGCCTCCATAGGAACCCTGGAGAGGTTTGGCCACGGCTCGCACAGATGCCAGCTTTTTGAGCTTGTTGGAATATTTGGTACGGTTCTTGACACGAGCATTGCGGTTCTCCTTTTTGCGCTTGGGGGTGAGACCCTTGTTCTTGAGAATCTTGTACGATGCCAGTCGCTTTTCACCTTCTTCCACTTGCCAATCACCATCAATAATCTCGGGTCGTGATGCTTCATATTGAGCTCGTTTGGCAGCCTTTTGTGCTGCTTTCTCCGCCACCGCTTGAGCATAGTATGGATCATCCTCATCGTCATCATGCATGTTTCGTGCTGCTGCCATATCCTCATCATCATAATCCTCATCATCCAAATCTGCAGCCGAGTCTTTGGGTTGTGCAACACCATTCTTTTGTTTCCAATTGTCCTGGTCTCTGTATGGAAGATCGACATCACCTTGGTATCTTGTCAATTTTTGATCCGATTTCTATACCATTCTCAATTAGCATCATGATGGCTTCACCCACCAAGGATAATCAAACTTACAGCATCAATCTTGGCAACATAATCTCTTAATGATCGCTTCTTGGCCAGCTTGTCTTCCATATCCATTTCATCCAATGCCTCCAATTCACCAAAGTCATCTTGCATGCCACGTTTGCGTTTCTTGGCTGCTTTGCTGCTCTTTTTAAGACTCTTGAATTCTTGTTCAATGTCGAACGCTTTGATGGCATCATCTTCTTCCTCATCTTCCTCTTCCTCCTGATCATCATCCATAACCATGTAATCCTCCTCCTCAAGTTCTGGTGATGCTGGTACGGGTTGCTGTTTCTCTTTTTTGCTGGATGAAGATTTCTTGGCAGACTTCTTGGTAGAAGAGGCTTCCTTCTTGGTAGCTGTTTTCTCGGGAGCATCGAGTCGATCCATAAATGCATTGATTTCGGGTTGTAGCTTGACTTCGAGTTGATCCGTCTTTTCCAATTGTGACCGTAATTCGACAAGGGCGTCAATAACAGGATGATCTTTGAGACCTGTCGTGCCGGATGCCTTGAGGACAAGATAAAACGAGACATTGGTCAAGTAATTCATAAGCAACTCTATAGCCAGTGTTAGTTTACGCTCCACTATTTCTCTTGTAAAGATACATACGGTGCTTGAATCGTAAAAACTTGGCTTCGTGCTCATCGCTCTTGCCCTTAGATTGTATCCTGAATGATAATCCAATGTTAGCATGGGATTATCCAACGATCTCTTTGAGCATCCACAAACCTTGCAAGCAATGTATCAAGCAATTCCACTGTCTCACTCTTTTCCTTGAACTCATTCAACAAATCCAACAACTCGGGTGACTCATTTTGAAGAATTCTGAGCTTCTCAGGGACTGGGATATTCTTTCGTCGCTTGGCAATGTTTTGTTTGATACTAGAAAATGATAAAAGACAATGAGCACCCATGCGGTATTGTGTTTCCATTCCCAACATACTCGAAAGTGATATCATCCAAATCCTTGGTAACATCTTCCACAAGTTGCTTATCAGCTTCCTCGTCCTACGTAATGTATGAGCCATCATCATTGTATGACCACCACATCCTACTCTTTCTTTTTACTTACTGCGCCAGGGCCAGTACCCCATTCATCCATAAAATCAGCTTCATCCATAGCTGCCAATTGTTCCTTTTGGATCTTCAAGGCCTCAGTCTCCTCTTCTCGCATCTCATCCAAGTCATCTCCTTCATCGGCGTCATAGTAGGCTTGCTTGGATTTACCCCAGGTTTGATCTAACGCAATGTGTACCGTGTAAATAACAATGCTTCGCCATGATTGAAAGAGCTTACCTTCTTCTTCCTCACTATCATCCTTGTTGGCAGGCACAATCTCATCATCCGAAAGTTCTTCTTCCTCATCCTCATCGTCTGAGCCAAGGCCAAAAACTTCAGCATCGCTCTCATCATCATCTATATAGATCCTTGTCAGTTTGATACGGTTGTTGTGCCTTATCCAATCATGCGTACCGTTGTTGGCGTCATTCTCGAGCAACACCTTTCCACGACGATCGTGAACTGTAGAAAAGAATAGAATGCTGGTAAATAAAGAGATCGATCGCTGTGTCAAGGAGGTTTAGATCCACCCACATTCGTCTTCTGAATCATGCTCGATATCGTCCCATGTGCGAATGGCTTTGATCGAAGCACCTTCGTCTTCGTTCTTCTTCTTGTTTGCTGCAGCGTCTCGGAAAACGGGAGCCTTTTTCTTTCCCATGGTGTTTAAAAGAGTGCGAGTGAGAGAGAGAGTGCGTGAAAAAGAGTTTGACACTGCAACAGTGGAATTGGGATTGGGCCGTCGCCCTTGAAAATTTGTCAAGTTTCCATTCTCAGCAACAGCCATGATCCAAGCGAGCTTGTTGTGTGTCTGTGTGTATGCGATGTGTGTGTGCGCTTGTGCATAAGAAATTGTTTACACGTGTATTGTTGAGAGCATAATATGAAAATCAAATCAACAAAGGAGCAATTGCTACGCGATGTGTATGTGTGTATATCGCGAGAGACGCGAAAACAATATGAACAACAACACCCGTGGTGGAATGATTTGATATCTCCTTTTGTTGTTCAAGCAGGAGATTTGCATACGTGTACAAATACATTCATCGATCACCATTGTCGGATCAATGGATGAAAAAAAGGGGATGATGGAGAAGAAGAGAAACAAAGAGCAATCCCCCATATCTTGCAAAGGAGCACATACATAGGGACAAGGGAGACAATTGACAATAGGTACCGCCGTATATTATGTATGCACACACATACACACACTTCAGATGAAAGCATTAAAAAAGAAAAAAGGACACCTATCCCAAAGCATTGATTTAGGGTACGTATGCAAAAGGGATATACACCGAAAGAAAAGGGAGATAAAAGGGATACGAGAAATAAGGTGGGGTCAGCAATCAAAGGTGTATATGTGTGTGATCTATGGGGGTGGATGGACTCTATATATGATCAGCTAAACCAGGAGAAAGAGCAACATAGGACAAATTAGGAAAGCATTGAATGGTAGTGGTAGTAGTAGTAGTAAAAGTGTACGTAGGGGCGAGAAAAATAGCCGTTAAGCAGCTGATGCGTTTAGTCCAACAGCACACAGAAGAATGCGCAACCAAGAATAAAGAAAGTCAGTTTCGTGAGGAGAAGAAGGGGATGTTGCTGGGGTTGGGGATGAGCGACTATCGCTGCAACAAGACAAAGAGATAGCAACGGAGGTTTTTGGGTTAAGCAAAGCTGATAGGGAGGTGCATGAGAAATGGATTAATGGCCAAAGAGGTATACACTTGTCTCTCAGATCAACTTTTGAACAAGGCAGCCAGGGATCCATACGACAAAAACAGTAGCTTGTGGGGTGCCAAATCCCGGTACGGGGTTTTCGTTCCTCTTTTCTCAACGTATGTCTTTATCTAAAGGAGAACAATGGTGTATGTTCTATCCCAAGTATACTGCAATGGGAATCGTTGCTCGAGTAGCATTAGCTTGACAAGGTTTTTGAATGCTCATAAGCTTTAATAAAGGTGTGTTCATGGAATAATATATGCACAGCAACCACGATATCTTAAATGCACGTCGACCATGTGTGGGGGGTTTTCAGGTGAGACGAGAAAACAGCCATAGTGATCTTTTTGTGGGCGGTATGTATGTATGTGTATAAAACAAGCATGCATGATCGAAAGCAGGTGCATGTGCAATTCATTTGAATGTAAACACGAAGTCTGTGTGTGCATTGATCGTGTCCTCGATCTGCGTTTCCTTTTGGGAATATGTGTTTCTCGTTTGATCTCCTTACCGTTATATGAAGGTCAGGGGATATGCTTGTCAATAGCCTGCAATGAATGTAAAGATCTACATAGACATCAAGAATCCAGATAACAGGGCGTATGGATAAAAGGGGTTGACTTGACAGTTATAAAAGCCTCGCCGACAAGCACTTTTTTCCTGATCATTCCAACAACACACAACAACAACACACTTCCATATCTCTTTTTCTTATCACTTTAATACAAAACATGAAGTCCTCGACCTGCACTTTGCCTCCATGCTCGGATTTGTTGGCACCTCCTCCTCGGAAGTCTTCCGTGCTTGACGTGAACAACTTATTGTCACCTGTTAACGATATGCCAGCTGCGCCAGCACCATCAAACGTGTACCACCATCATCATCAGCAACAATACTACCACCCTTACGAACGTCATGTTGGCGCCTACAGAGAACCACCCATGCATTCACAACCACAACATCAGATGCCACTCAAGGCTAAACGCAAGCGAGCTTCACCAGCACAATTATCGGTGCTTAATCATGTATTCAGCCAAACCTACTTCCCATCGACTGAGCTTCGCATTGAGTTGGGAAAACAACTTGGCATGAGTCCTAGGGCGGTACAAATTTGGTTCCAGAACAAACGACAATCGTTACGCACTCGTGAGCGTCAACAGCAAGAGCGCAAGCATGCCATGGCATCATCATCATCATCATCCATGTCATCTCCATCCTCTGGTAGCAAGCATCATTACATGCATCAAAACCATTACCCCTACTACACAAACGCCCTTCCACCTATTTCTCCACCCTTGTCTCCACCTGAGCAATCACCCTACCATTACCAGCAACATTCTTATGCTGAGCAACAACATCATCGTCGTCGCTCTTCATATGAATTGCTCCTTTTACATGTTCCCAACACACCATCATCAACATCATCTTATCCAAGCCCTACATCCATTGATTCTATCATTTTGCATTAATTGCATACTTGCACACACCCACAATACCATTGCCGCTCGCTCGCTCGCTCTTAACTTTTTTTCATCTTTATCCCCAACCAGCACCCCCCTCCGCTTTTGTACATTGTCTCCTTTTTCACACTTCACACATCCACACACACAACATACTCACTTTTCCACGCATTACATACCTTGCTTATGGCCTTTCCATTTTCTATCATCGCTGCCAACCTCGCGTACTACTACTCCTCATCTTATTCTCGCACTATGTCCTTACTTTTCCCTTTGTCAATTCTACTTTTTTTGCCTTTGTCTGCTATCTCCTCCCCTGGAATGACGCGTCTCGCATCCACTCAACTCCCTTTTTTCTTCTTGTATATGCATTCTATAAGCCCACTTCACATGTCATGGACGCATTCTTGGTCGTCACTTTTATCCCGAGTAGCAAAAAGTATAATCACGTGCCATTCAAGCACAACAACATCGTATCATCATCCGCCTGCAAATCATCATTTCTTTTTTCCCTTCTTTTACCGTAATACCGTAGTTGTAGTGTCTCTCTCTCTCTCCACATTGGGCATCCTTTCGTAAAATAAAAATGCAAAAGTATCTTGTCATGTACATCAAAAATCTCATATGAATGACGCTCCCACTATTATCCCTTCATTTAATTTCATCAAAAAGGATCGGGTGGTGTATGTCTAAACAAACCGATCTTGTCAAACATACAACCGGGTCATCGGATGTACATGGCTTACATAATATACATCTACATGTTTTGTTGTGAAGAACGCTCTATAAGCCAACACTGGGTTGCATGTGTATGGGGTAATTCAATACCCTTGTAATGTACATGATGATCTTGAACAAGACTTGGCTTGTATCCTTGAGCGGTATAGGGCCATGTTACCATGCATAAAGGAAGGCATCATTTCATTGTCGTAAGATGGTTGTTTAAACTCCACATCATCAAGGGGAGAGGCTACACTCTTTGTGTACCTGTATAATGTTGGATGAAAAAAAAGGAATTGTTGGTCAATTGGGGGGTTCAATCTGCATCAAGGGGAGGGGGTTGTTGAGGTGAAGTGTCCATTGTTTGTGGATTAGCTTTGCATATGAGGAGGAGCAAGTTACACTCTTTGTTCTCCTAATGATGATCCGGGAAATGATCGCTGGCCTACTTGGTGGTGGTGTTAATACCGTATGTGGAAGCTAGAAAGGGATACATACGGCTTTTTGACAAATTGAATACATCTTTACACATGCATTAGCCCTGCCATATTTCATGCTATACAATGCATGTCACACGTTCACATGCAACGAAGCGGGTTACATGTGTTCATTATGCAAATCACAGACGACATCGCGTTCTATGGTTCATTCATTTTTTTCGCTCACTAAGAATGGGTGCTATGTACTGGAAACCTCCTGTTCATTCATCTCTTTTTGTTTCTTTTTCTCCCATAAAGCATCCCTTCTTCCACCCCTTGTTGACTTGGATACGCCAGCCTTCTTGTTACGGTGCTTGGCCGTTGTTGCTGTTGTTGTTATGGCTGCTGTCGCTGCTGCTGCTATTTCACGGGATGGTCATGCAAGTGCCCTACACCTGGAGGGAAAAAAGAATCACATCGCATTTTACAAGGAGCATTCATAAGCGGGAGGCGAGATGTAACTAGACATTGTATACGAAGGAAATAAGCTATTCAGTGTTGATCAAATCTTCCAATGTGCTTGTTTATTGGTAAGATGGTTTATGAAAAGAGTATTAATTAATAAACACCAGAAGTATGTTAGCTTGTATAATGGCAACAGTAAAACATGTCTATTACAGTTGAACTTGGTTTTCTTTGTGTTTTCCCCCCTTCTTTCATCCCCTTTTTCTCTGGATGTTGATGGCACCATCGATCTTCTACATACTACTCTCTTATTATTCTGCCAAAAGGCTATCAACATTTGGGGGGGCACCCCAACTTTGAGATTAATTTGTTTGTAAAAGAAGGTACTACTCTAGGATGATGATGAAGACTATGAATTTGGTAAATTAAGGAGAGAGAGAGAGAGAGTGTGTGTGTGTGTGTGGGTGTGAATGAGGGATGATGAAGAGTGAGTGAATTATGCACCAGCTGTTGTTGCACAACCTTCTGTATCGCAGCAACGCGTGTCGCTCTCTTGATCCCGACAAGTTAACAATGCCGTCGTCTTTTTCGCCTGTGCAACGTCGTCGCCTTCTTTTCCAAAGCAATGTCTGCACAACAGCAACCACCCACTACTGAACAAGAACAAGCCAAGGAACCCGAGCTTACAGATGAGCAGATTCTAGAGTTTGAACAACGCATCAAGGATGAAGAAGCACTCAAAGTATGTTCTCGTTTCGCTCGTTTCTCCTGCAAAATGGGCAAAAGCGATTGACGTGCCTTTCTTGCTGCATAGATCCCCCTTGTATGCCAAGCCGAACCCATTTCCACACTCGAACAAGAATTCAAGAACAATGAACCCTTCCTTCGCAAAATCAAGGTACATGGTGTATATATTGTAAACCCCAGTGGGACATAAAACAAGACTAACATTCTATGGATTGTATATGCGTGTCAATGATAGAATATGAGCGAGACATCCGATAGGATCCGAAAGTGTCGTGGCGACGGTAAGGAGGATAAGGTGGTTTGGGTTAGGTTTGAGATTTGGGGGAGGGGGGAGGGCTGTTGAACAAAAGAGGAGATTGGTGTGCTAATCAGAACAATCCATCCACCCGTAGGCAATTGTTTTTTCAGAGGTATGGAAAAAAAAGTCAAGGGGTTGGGGTTGAAGAGTGAACACTCATGATGATCAACGATAGCTTTTTCATTTGCATGGTTTGAGAGTTTAACACGCGATCAGAATGCCTATCAAGCAGCCCTTGGCAAACTCAAAAGCACACCCGATATGCTTGAACGTGCTGGATTCCAGAAACTTGCATTTGAAGATTTCTACGATATCACACTTGAACAATTTGAACAACTTCCTGCTCGTGCCAGTGATCCGGATATGTTACTTGTCAGCTTTCAATCCGAGGAAATCAGCAACAGCATTGTCATGTATTTACGATTCATCGCATCAGCCTATTTGCGTATCCATTCAGCAGAATACGAGCCCTTCCTTATTGATGAAATGATCTCCATTGATGAGTTTTGTGCCATGCATGTCGAAGCGTTTGGTCGTGAATCGGATCATTTGCACATTATCGCCCTGAGCAAAGCATTGGATATCCCCGTCGAAATCGTCTACTTGGATGGAAGCATGGGTGCCGAAGCCGCCGTTCATGGATTTTGGCCAGATGAGGAAAATAAGCAAGAAAAACCACTTCGATTGATTTATCGTCCTGGTAAGTTACAATTACATTGGGAGGTCTCTATCACGTGATTCTCATGATGCTATTTCAGGTCACTATGATATCCTTTACGAGAAGACAAATTGATTGGAAGATAGTTTGAGGAAATACAATATTATAATGATATTGCTACATGGGAACGTGGAAAGTTGTATTATGAGAGTGGTTTGTCCAAAGACAACAAAAAGTGCAAAGGAGCTACATGTAGTTTTTTATGTAAAATGAGTGAGGAAAGAGAGAGAGAAAGAGAGAGAGAGATTGTGTGCAAGGTGTGTGCGTATGTGTATATGAAAAAAGGAAAAAGGAAAGTCCAAACTATGCTACAGGTGTCTCAGCATTGTCGCCATCGATAAGAGTTAACAAGTCTGTAAGGTCACGAAGCATTTCTGGATCCGAATGGGGTCGTAGCATGGCCATCATCAACATGTGTCGCACCGCACTCATATCCAACATTCGATGACCAGCCTTGGCTATGCTTTCTTGAGATGTACCATCTGTATTGTCTTCATCCATATCATTGGATCGATGATGATGATGATGATGCGAGGATGTTGAGGAAGCATCTGTACCGCACACTAATCGACGCACCAATTCCATACCACGCTTGGATACTACTTGATAATGCTGAATACCGGATTCGCCAAAGGATACACACAATCGTAGAATCATCATGGGCACAGTGCGATCGGCAAGGAAAAGTTGTTCCCTGAAAGCGTGTTCATCACTTGTCTCCGCTAGAATGGCCACAATGCTGTATAGACCCATCACCGTATACTCCAATGTTGCCAGTTGACTACCTGCCAATTGAATCGCCACTTTACCATCTGGGGTGAAAAAGTCGCGTCGTATCACTGATGATAGCTCCATCCAAATCTCTTTTAAGCTCTCCAATGATGTCTTTTCAGCTAGCTTGGCAAAAGACTTTCGATTTTCATAGTTGACCGAGATCTTGGCCCATGTCTCAGCAGCCAGCATGGCATAGTAGGTGTCAGGACCATTGGTTAAGAAATCATGCGTCAACCGGATAAAAGTGCCTGCCATATCGGGCTGACGGATGTGAAGGAGCATGGCAATGTTGGAGAAAATGAGGAGGATGCTCTTGCGGAAATCCAAAGTGTCCATCCGCCGTACACCCACAAACCATGCTTCGCGCCCTGATGTGTCCTTGCCTTCTTCATCTTCCACGTTGCGTGTGCTATCCATGACACGTCCCAGAATCGATACAAATCGCTCGTGTCGTGCAAGGTACTCCATGTTGTCAGGCATGAATGAAAGGTTCCTGAAAATGTTGAAAATACACAGGCATCGTTCTCGTAATGATAGCCATAAATCGGATGTCGTTTCCTCAAGCATCGGTATCAAACTCTTCATCTCATCCAGCGACATATCAAATAATTCAGCATACGTAAGGTCGTGGTCCGACAACTTTTTGCTCGAACTGGAAAGAATGGCTGTGGTGTCTTTTCCATTCACTGAAAACCTTGAGCATTCACCAAAAATGTCCTTCTCCATGTAGTCGAGCAAAATATCCAAAAGATCTTCGCAATATGCCAGCGACATTGTATGTTGAGAAGTGACAACCGTCAATACGTTGAGTGCGTTGGTAACCTCCATTTTCATCCCCGATTTTAGAGACATGATCAATGCATGTATATCCACCGTGCCTACCATTTTACATGAGTCATTGGATCATTGCTCCTAGTGCATGTTGAAACTCACCTAATTCAGTGAAATGAGGCACCATAGGCTTGATATCAAACTTGTCAAAGTATTTCAAATCAACACCACCATACGTATCCACATTGCGTGTTTTGGGAACATAAGTCGTAAGTGAGGATTGTGTCGATCCCTTGTTCTCTGCCGATTGAGACTGAGATCCTGCTGCTGCTGCTGCTGCTGGATTGGGTGAATTTGATGCTTCATTCTTGACTGCAGGGGATGGTTTAGGTGATGGTGTCTCCGTCTTTGGTGGTTGAGAAGGTGCTCTATTAGCATTCGCAACGTCTGCAGATGGTCCAGGAGATCCAGGTTTTGTCGACTGTTGCTGGGTAGTTTCAATTTGTCGATGTTGCTGTAAAGGTGTAGAGGTAGTGCTTCCAGGCGTAGCTGAACGACGTGGTGCAGGCGACATGGCAGGTTTTTGCATTGGTGATTGCTGGTGTGGATAATTGGGAGTGTTACTTCCAGCTGGGCTATCCTTTGGCTGTTCAGCTTGAGCAATCTAATCACATATAAATCGTATGTCAATGTATGGATCATCGCTTTTATCCCTCTTTTTGTTACCTGTGGCGACATTTGAGAAGGTGTTTGTCTGTTGGCCATTGGTGACGGTATATTTTGTTGTTGTTGTTGCTGTTGTTGTATGTTGCCTTGCATCATTGCCTGTTGAGAAGCATTCATGTTTTGCATATAACGTCCAAGAGCTTGTGATGGTATAACTCGGTTCTATATCCCAACCATCAATATCTTGTCTCTTATGATCCAATCCTCATAGCTTACCATTCCTGGTCCTTGCCCTTGTACTGGTGATGACATGGAACCAACCATAGGTGACGATACTAGCAAATTCATCCCTTTTTCAGCTTGAATGTCCTTGTTCATCTTCAACTTTCTTACCAGCATAATCATTTGGCATACGAGCTCCTCCCACATGTGGACTACCAGCTGCAACAGGTGATCCCTGGAAGTGTGCGTTGTTCATGGCAGGTGATTGACTAGGTGATTGTTTGACTACAACCACAATGTAAGCCAATAGCATAAAATGAACACATGCCCATCACATACCTCTATTCAACATGGCAGCTTGTTGTTGTTGTTGCTGTTGCATAAGGATAGCTTGTGGTGTATTGGGAGACATCATATTATCGCCACCTTGATACATGCCACGATTTTGTTGTGGAAGACCTGCATGAATGATACAACCCTCTTTAATATCAAAATACACATACACCACCTAATTCTTCCTTACCTCCATTGTTGGCGTTGGGTGCAAAAGGCATCATTCCAGCTTGTGATGCATAAATGGATGTCTGTGGATGTTGAGATGTAGCTTGTTGCTGAAGCTGTGGCTGTTGAGTCAATTGATTCATTGCATGCATGTTGGCTGGCGATTGTGGCATTTGTCCCATGAAGGGTTGCTGCTGCTGCTGTGCAGATACTTGGTTCATGAACATAAAGTTGGATTGATCAAAGGAAGACATATCACCACCACCACCTTGGGCGAAGGCCATATTGCCGAGATTAGGAGCTCCACTGAATCCCATATTCCCCATAGCCATGGCATTGTATTGCTGCATGGAAGGGTCGTTGGATTGGGGTTGCTGCTGTTGTTGTTGCTGCTGTTGTTGCTGCTGTTGCAGTGCCATCATCATTCGTGCATTGGCTGCTGCTTGTTGGGCTGTCATGGGGATGCCTTGTTGTGCACCCGAAAAGAATTTGGGATCCATTGTTTACTTCGTCGTATACGTGCGTCCAATGTACGCGTCTTTTGCTCACACGTTTGCTGAATAGAAAAAGAGTTGGGAGGCAATGAGCAATCTATGAACAGCAGTAAGAAGAAGAAAGGCAGACACGGATTTCGCGTTCAATGGAGCGAATCTCTTGGCGTGCAGTACATACTTGTTGATATAGAAGCTTCAACAGACGAGTTCAAGGTATTGATCAGCCGTGGCAAGAGTCTATGTTTGTTGGCTTTGTTGGGTACGTGTGCCTTGAAAGGGGGTAAAAGAAAGAGAGGGAGAGAAAGCGACAGAGAGAGAGAAGGATGATGGATTTGCGGAGGTGAATGCGTGTGATTGACGATCTATCCCACCCACACACCACCAACACATCAACCCACCCTGTCATAAATGTTTTCGCGTTGCTTGCTTATCATGTCAATAAGGAAAACATGCATTTATTCAAATAAAAGCCTCCCCCCATTTAATCGCCAAGGATACTCGAGAAAAGTGACATGCATGTGCCTAGATACGATGATCCAAACATATTGAGATGATTGACGGCATGGTATAACGTATAAATGGATAAGCGTTTCTCAAATCCAGGTGCCTTTGGTATCTTTGAATGATATGCCTTGTAGAATTCCTCATTGACACCACCAAATAGTTGCATGATACCTACAAATACAGCTGCTGTCAATAGACTATTCAGTAACACAGTGTGCGTTGGTTTTTCATTACCCAAATCAGATTCACTATGACCGTAAAAAGGTGCAGGATCAAAGATAACAGGGTTGCCTTGATCATCGGATGACCAGTTTCCAGACCATAAATCACCATGTTGTAAGCTTGGACGAATTGGATCCAATCCTTCGAAATAAGAGGGTAATCGATCCAATAACTCTTGACCTGCCTTTTTAACCTGAGGATGACGAGATGCTAAATCAAACTGATACTTGAGGCGACGATGAAGGAATTCCAAGTAGTCCGATGTCCATGTGTTGTCTTGAGGTGTACTTCCAATGGTGTTATTAACAGGGAAACCAAATTGATCAGGTCCAGGAGCCAAATGCATGTCAGCCAATTGCTCTCCATATTTGCGTTGGATATCTGGGCTATGCTTTCCTCCCATGGCGATATACTAAAAGAATCATTTAGAAAGATGTTGAATGGAGTAATCATTCAAAGCAATCCTTACTTCAGTAGCCAAGTACCCACAATTCTTCTTGCCTTCAAGAACTCCATGTGCGTAGGGCGTAGGAACACGAATGGTGTGTGTATCATCCAACGCCTTTAAGCCTTCCGCCTCACTAATCATGCCAGCAATAATACGCATCATGAATGACTTGAAACTCGTCCATTTATCATCCCACCATGAAAAAGATACCTCTTGAACATGTTGACAATATCATCGATTGATTGTCCGGATGACGTGCTACAACAAACCTTTACAAATATCTTGTTGCCAGTGTTGGTCTTGCAAAGGAAGGCATCGCTCACGTCGCCTTTTGAAGCAGCAGCTCTCAATATCTTGTTGGATCGCCAATCTCGTGTTTCTCCTTACCACCACCGATCGAACGCACTTGCTCAATCGTCTCATTTTCCGGAATGCGGTTGGAGTCTTGTAGTGCTGCTGTTACAGTACGCTTGATGGCGTTGCCAATGCTCATGTCGGAAAGAAAAGCTAGTGCGGTTGCATAAGACGGCACTAGTATCCTTATGTCACATACAACAAAATGGTTTCCTTTCAAGGCAGTAAGTGGACCTTAGCTCACATGGGTAGTTGGTCGACTTCACCTTCTTCTATTTGATTACACCTACCCATCAAAGCCTATTATTTGGTACGTATAAAGGATGATCATCTGTGCTTACGAATACTTACGGGTTGATTCTTGTCAGCATCTACGTGGTGTTTCATTGTTACTTGTGTTCATTATCTTCCTTGTGACAATCAATTCAATTCTCTAATAAGTCTTTGTGATCATGCTTTCCTGATGTTGATACCACAGCCCCCAAAAACACATCTACCCTGAAATCCCCTTCTCTTTAAGGACATCCACCACTGTATATTTACAACTATGTATCTTACAAGTTTATGTTACTAAAAGGAACGTGTGCTACAACGTTATTGACAAGATCGAATCACAAACGAAAGGGACATGAGTTTAACTATCGAATACAGCTTTTGTTAAAGACCCAATAAATCAATCACGCCCTTTTTCTCCCTCTGCTTTTCTTTTATCATAGCATTTACTACAAGTGGATATGCATCTACAATCCTGTATGAACCTTTTTCTAATACAATGCGTCAAGTGCCACACACGACGAGCTCCAATTTAGGAATGAAGGAAGGTCTCTTACACTATACAAGTTTAGAAATGGTTGGCCACCACAATCTCGTATTCAAAATAACCTTTTTTTAATCCAACTTCATTCACAAGAGATAGATTGAGAGATAACGGATTGCTCGAATAGGGAAGATACATCGAATTAGAAAGTTTGGGTGTGCATTGTGCAAAGATTGGTGGGTGGATGTGAGGTGATCTACAATGCGTGATGGTCAATCATACGCGTGGCGTGTCAAAACATGGAGTTGTATGATGATGGTTGTACATGGTTGACAGGTTGCACAAAGGATAATGGACAACAGCTGCTATGGAATAGCGTGTACATCACCATAATTGCATTCACCAATCGTTCAGGATCATAGCATCAAGAATGCACTCTTTTCCAACGCGTTGTATATATCCAATCCCTTCCATCCCATACACCAAACCAATACCCAGATCTAAATCCTCCATATCCATATCCATATCCATGAGAATTTGTATGTATTGAACAAAGTTGCTATGCGTAAATAAAGCTGCTTCTATACAATGACTATCTGCTGTTCACGTAAATAAGGCTGTAAGGCAAGTTGCTGCAAGTAAAGAATGCTGTTTGAGACAATGGAGTAAAGCCCCCTGCTAATAGCAATTGCTGGAATGAATGCTGCTACGATTGGTCGTGGCAGAGGAGTGTGTAAGAGCGTGTGTTGTGTCAAGACACTCGTGTGTCGAACTAGAGTGACAAGAAGGCTGTGTACACGCCATGGACTTGCCATTCAGTCAAAGACAATCGGATCAAGACAATCGTAGGCTTGACATGATGGGCTGAAGCAGGACAATCGTTGGCAGGTGGTAATCGTGCATGAATGGGGCAACAGTGGAGAATGGAGGAAGAGACAAGAAGTCGGCGAATGGAAGGAGTGCACATTAAATACATAGGGCGGACACCTCTTGTATAAATGCATGAACACTGTGTACATCAATTCTTGATATTGAGATTTCCTATCTCATACATGAAACTTTCACACAAGATGCTCTTGAACATGCTTACCACGTTGATCTAAAAAAGGCCTCATGTTTCATTTGAAAATTTGGAATGGAAGGATACAATGTGGGTTTACTATGTAAGTCGGAAATGGTGGTCAGCGTCAGATTCATGATTTATCGAAATAGTATGTATTACCTTGGGATTCCCTATTTCGAACTTGAGACTTTGTCAGAAGGTTCGCTGGGACATGCTGATCAACTCCATTCATTTAAAAGTCGCAGACTTCATTGTGAAGATTTAAAACGCGGGGACGGCCCAAATGGTGGATGACGGGGACAAAAGAGCGGACGGCCCACCGCCCCGAAGTTGCCCCCCTCCAACTTGAAAATTGGTCAGAAGGATACTCTCGAGCATGCTGATCAACTTTTTCTAAAAAAGACCTCACGATTCATTTGAAAATTTGGAATGGGAGCGTCCAAAAGTTTGAGAGACGGAGACATTCGCAGGGTCTGCGATTCAAGAATTAACATGTTTGCTGTTCAAGCGTAGCTCAGTCAAATCAGCTCGGATCAAGAAGATGAAAAGATGGAAATGATGGGCTGGATCAGGAGAATCGTTCGTATGCAGTAGATTGGGCAACAATGCTGATTGGATAAAAGTAGCTGTTAGCTGCCAATGTATGCACTGCAAATGAAGCTTGCGTACCTGTCAAGTATTGTCCCTGAAGTCCTGAGTTTAACTCGGTTGCACAAAAACGTCCCTCTGCGTCTTTGGCTCTATTGTAGTCATAGTACTTGACAATGAACAACGACCACTTCTCATATAGCATCACGCTTGGAGCATAGTAAAAACATAAAAACGCCCGTATCTTAAGATTTTACTATGAAGTGTGGGGTCTTTAAGAGAACAAGCTGCTCGGCTGAGTCAAAGCGATCTTGTGTCAAAGTATGAAGTTCATCGTGGCCATTCCCAGATTTCGCAATGTCGCTACCAGCAAAACTGGATCTGGGGGGTCAACCTCTTCGACGACGACCAAAAAAATATTTTTTGGACTAGTTGCGACATTGAACGCGAAACTTTCACACAAGGTGCTGTTGGCCAAGCCGAGCACATTGCTCTATTCAAAACCCCACGTTTCATTGTAAAGTTTAGAGATACAGGCACCTTTATGTTTGTAAGTGTGATGCTATAAGAAGAGTGGTCTTTGTTCATTGTCAATTTGTAGTGTATGTTTTATTCCGCGTCAATATAAGACGCATTAATATGAAAAGAGAAAAAAAAATTATGTAGGGGAACGTACAAAGCGGCCTTGAGAACGGAAACGTTCAATGAGAGTGTATGCGAGCGTAAAAAGATGGTCTTCATTGTTCATTGTCAAGTAGGTGGACCCTGACAGAGCAAAAGATGCAGATGGTCGTGTTGTGTAACACAGCTACACTTGCATGAATGAAAGGGTCAATGTATAATTACTTTATGGATCATCTAGGAACAGGCATGTATTGCTAGCTATCGGCCACTTTTATCCAATCATCATTGTTGCGAGATCCACTGCATGGGAACGATGCCCCTGCTCCAGACATTCATTTACATGATTAAAGTAGGTTGATCCGAGCTGATTTGACTGAGCTGCGGTCAAAGAGAGATTACATCACTCTGAACATAGAGCACGCTCGATGTAGCTCAACCGATGTAATCTTGTGTGAGCGTAACTCAACCAAATCAGCTCGAATCAACCTACTTTAATCATGGAAATGAATGTCTAGAGCAGGAGCATCGTTCACCTACAATAGAATGTACAAAAGTTGGGAATGCACAAAAGTGGCTATCAGCTGCCAATGTATGACATAAAAGTGAGGGTTGCGTACCTATCATGCACTGTCCCTGAAGTCCTGACTTTTTAGCTGAGTTACCCAAAGAGGTCCTTCTGCATCTTTGGCTCTCCAAGGTCTAGCTACTTGGCAATGAACAAAGACCACTTCTCATATAGCATCACGCTTACAAACATAAAGGTGCCTGCATCTCCGAACTTTACAATGAAACGTCGGGTCTTATAATAGAACAGAGCTGCTCGGCGGGGTGAAAGCGATCTTGTGTCAAACTATGAAGTCGATCGTGGCCGATCCCAATTTCACCCAATGTCGCCACCAGCCAAACTGGATCTGGGGGTCGACCTCTTCGTTATATGGAGGCTTGTTTAGCCTCGGTTTTTATTGGGAGTATGTCTGAGAGTGATACCCCAAAGACGTTACAAGAATGAAGAAATGTTATAGGAAGGAAAGGAGATGACTTTAGACTTATGTTGGATCATTGTTCCCCTTTGACAGGGAACTCACCGAGGAAAGAGTAGTTGGTGTGGACGAAGACAAAGATTTACCTTGATCTTTCAAAGTGTGACAAAGACGTTCAAGTTCAGGAATCGATAAGGAGGCAATAATGGTCTTAGCGTGGTCGGACATAGGATAACGCTTTTCAACATGCTGTACCATGGCGTCTCGATCAGGGGAAGGAGGCTGAGGTTTGAGATCAATTTGGTCATCGGGGATAAAGTCACTAATAATGGCATCATTGTGGCTTTCAAAAGGCGAAGGATCAACGCTGAGCATGGAGATATCTGAATTTGAGCTATTGACTGAATACGATGAAGGCGATGATGATGTAGGAGGGTGATAAGTGTCAGGTGTAGGCTTGACTTGACGGTTGGTACATTGGGCTGCTCGGTGACCTGGTTGGCCACAGGTCCAACAAAGACGGCTACGGCTAGGATGGCGGGGACAAGCAGAGGTCGCATGACCAGCTGTGTGACAACGAAGGCAGTGTAGCGGCATTTCAGCCCAAGTGGCGTGGAACGAATCATCTGATGTAAGCCAAGGGATAGTGTGGGAAAGCTGCTTGTACTTGTAGTTGGCTGGGATTTTCAAGGTAGCGTAACCTCGTCCCATGAAGAGGTTTGATGCATGATCACGGAAGATGCCATAGTCACTAAGGCTACCATAAGGTGCCAGGGATTTGCGAAGACCAAGTCTTAATTTGTCTAGTGTAGTGAATGGAAGATCGGAGAGTTGAAGATGCACTAAACGGGTATCAGCGGAAATGGGCTTTGAGGCAAGAATACATTCACCATCATCAAAGGTGATGCCTGTTACAGATGTCTCTTCACACTGCTTGGATGTGGGAAGGAAGAGCTCAACAATGCGGCGTGATTGATCAGAATGAAGACGTACACCACAATTGTCTGGATAGCATTCGTTGATATAGCAAAGTAGAGCAGCGCGGTTTTCGGGGCGAGACGTGAAGTCGAAAAACATGCTAGGACAAGAAGCTGGGGACCCACCAACCTTCCATACTCTGGAACGGA